TGTTGCCATACGTTAGTCTCTCTGCGTTTGTGTGCTGGGCTAATGCTAATGCTAATAATGCTAATGCGAGGATAATAAAATGGCGGCTTCACAAAACTTTTTGGGAGTTTTACGGGGCGTGGTTTGCAATCCGCCCAGCCAATCAGACTTAGGAACCTTTTTCTCCCACGAAAGGACGGAAAAGGGGGTCAAAAGGTTCTCATGAACTAATTTTAGTTCCTGATTTTTTTGGTGTGAACGCGACATATCGGAACTAAAGTGGGAAAAGTACTGCGGTGTGAACGCGCCTCATGTCTTTTTGACAAACTGTCTGTCTTAAGAATGACATGAATTCACACTTCATTTATGACCTGACAATTCTCACTAAGTCTTTTTAAAAATGTCGGTTAAATATTCAACTGTAGCCACGAGTTTGTTAGCTTAGCTTAGACACTGAAAGCGGATGGGAACAGCTAGCATAGCTCTATCTGAAGGTGAAACCTGCTCAAGAGCCTCATAAATGTATATTTTGTTTGTTTAATTCGTAAAAAAACAAGGATCTAGTTGCCGTTTAAGGAGTATTTCTTGGCGTGGATCAGAATTGATCTGCAGCTTCAGTTATGAGAGTGGTATTGATGTGTTTATCCAACTAATGGCTGGAAAGAAATGTCCTTAAAATGTTGAAGCATCCTTTTAACACGGCAGCACAACACAGACTGCTGCTGGCACACTAGCGTGATTATATATGAGTCCAGATAGATTTATACAACATGATTCATTACAAACTGAAGCATCAATATGTTACCAGCCGCTCTGATGAGTGAGCATTTGGCTGAGTGTGAGAATAATTGACCTAAAACAGATTTAAGAGTGAATTCAGTGTGAGAAAACACTGATCTCTGCACAGATTGTATGATGAGCTTCAGAGACAAAATCTGCAAAAACAGGATTTATCTCCTCTGAGGCTTTTCATGAGGATTGGTGGAAGGTGGCTTGGTCTAAAGAAAGCATATGAGCAGATCTGAGTCTTTAGGGATTTGGCAACTTTATCCTTAAAAAGGTTACGATTTTATCTAAATAAAAAATAAATAAAAAATCAAGTATATCCAAAGTGACTGAAGCACTGGGTGTTTCTCAATGTCAAGGAAGGATGCTCCAGAGCCACTATTTCAAGGATGCTACGTCAGCGAGTCCCGCCGAAGGACTGTTCCAATGTCCAGGATGCTTGGAATTCTACCAAGCCCGGCGTACTTCGTAGCGAGAAATTTCGAGGCTGCACATGTGTATCCTCCGCGGTCTTAAAATCCCCACAATGCTTTGCGCACGGACCAATTTCCCCAAATCTGTGGCGGAAAATTTAAGACCGGGCCTCTCATATGACGCACACCTGCACACTTGCTCGCCTGTTCCACTCTTCGTTTTCCGAATGCCAGGAAGGATTCTTGCCTAGCTTCTGAAGGAAGTGACATGTCCTACCAAGGAAGCGTCCTCGACATTGAGAAACACCCCCTGTGTGTTTGTCCTTGAGGTCTTCAAAACATGTTGAACAAATGTCTTTCTGCTTCACCTCTTTGAACGCTGTAAAGCTTCATTTTAGAAACTAATTATAAAATATTCTCCTCCACCAGAGAGGTTATATGATCGGTTTGGTTTGTCAGGATTACAGAAAAACTACCTGTCTGATTTGTATGAAATTTGGTGGAAGGGTTCAAAGAAAAAAGATATTAGCAGATCTGAATCTCTGGAGATTTGGGGATTTATCCTCAAATAAGTCATGACTGTATTCTTGTACTGATGGGACTTAATTTAAAATAAATTCCAACTTTATTCTTGAGATGTCTGTACTTTGTTTTGGTTGAATAATGACTTTATTCTCAAAATGTCCCGACCGTATCCTGGATAGGTTACGGTTTCATTTCCAACATGTTAGGACTTTATTCTTAAAACATTTCCAACTTTATTCTTCAGATGCTGCGCTTAAAATGTCACGACTTTCTCCTCGTCATGTCGGAATTTTATTTTAAAAAAAGAACATAAAATCACGTATAAATCCCAAAATATTACTATTATTATTGTTGAAATGTCACAAATCTAGCAAGAATAGATTCATGTTTTTTTTCCAATGGTGGCTTTAAAGAGAGCAAAGATTACATCAGAAAGGTTGTCAGACAGCAAGGCAATGCGGTGCAAATATTCTAAACATTGCGTACACTCAAACTGATATTGATATGGAAATATATTTGAATAAAGGTGATACACTGACTATGGTTAGGAGGCTAACCCTCCTGTTATCCTTGGGGTCAATTTGACCCCATTCAATGTTTAACGTCCGGCAGTGGCTCAGTCAGTAGGGGCTTGGACTGGGAGCCGTAGGGTCGCTGGTTCAAGTCCCCGACCAGACCTAAATATGGAGTGTGGACTTCTACTTGGAGAGGTCCCAGTTCACCTCCTGCCCTGCCGTGGTGCCCTTGAGCAAGGCACCGGACACCCCCCTTCCCCCCCACTCCCATTGCTCCCCGGGCGCTGTACAATAGCTGCCCACTGCTCCTAGTACTAGACTCCTGGTACTAGGATGGGTTAAAAGCAGAGGCCAAATTTCACTGTGTGTGCTGTGTGCTCTGCATGTGTGACCATTAAAGAGGGTTTCATCCCTCCCTATTCTATTCTATTCTATAACGTATCTAAAAAAATGGTTCACATGATTTTTTTTGCTTAGTATTTCATGACTTTTCCTAATTTAGTGAGGACTAATGCGTAAACATAAAATTAACATGAAAATATTTTTTAAATGTCCTGTACGCACTTTGTACGCATCGGTGTTCCTTGGGGTCAATTTGGATCAGGATGTTTTAGTAGTATAAAGCATATACAAATGTCAATATTTTACACATATTTGTGTTGATTGTGTAGGATGATATTGAGGTGACTATTAAATGCAAATGTATCATTGTAAAACAAAATTACCCTCTGCTTTAGTTATTGGTCCTTTAACAACGTCAACAAGATCTTACTTTAACATTTTATTTCAGTCAGTGAGATTTTATGGTGATTTATATATTTTTCGATAGTCACATAATAGGAATTCTGGATGTATAAAGGGGTCTGTAGGGGGGAAGGTTGGGGTAATGTTTTATTTAAATGGTTATTTAGGTAGTCAACTAAGATACCTAAAGCACAAAGAGACATACATGTTGGTTACAATTTGGAATATGATCATTGTCTTGAGTTTTAGGGTGTAAAGTAAATTTGAGGATAACAGGAGGGTTAAACCGCCACAAAACCTCCAAAGTATCCCTTCACGAGAGAAGTGACAGTGAAACAGAGGAACAGATCCTCCTCCGTAGGACAGCAGAGAGTTTATTTATCCATTTAAAGAGTCTGAATCTCTGAATGAAACGCTGATCTGACGCCTGATTAACAAACTGAGTTCCTCCTGCGGTCTGACGGACGGCGCTCGATGCAGAGCTGCAGACACCGCTGAGATTTACTGACAAATACAGGAAATGAAGTCTGTATTTAATCAAATCCTGCTCTGTGCATGATGCTAAAAGACGAGCAGGGTCACGGAGGATTGACCCCTGCAGAAACATCTTGTACGCTTTGCTGAAAAACATCACAGATATTTTATTCCTGGACGTCTTATTTCAGCTTAAAGTCAAGCAATGACACCCATTGATGGTACTAACTTAAGAGGATAGAAAGAGGCTAAGCAGAGACAGTCATCACTTTAAAAATAACTCTCAAAATAACTCACATACCCTAAATCTCATTTCCCCACAGGTACAACACAAATCTGACAGCCGCTAGGAGTCAAGTGGAGTTTATAATGTATAATATGCCACGTTTGCACTAAGACATTGATAACATATGTGTACCAACACTGGAAGAATTCAAACTACAGCAGAGGAAAATAAATTGTAAGAAATATAGTTTTGGTAATGATGAAGTGCCAACTACTTAGTAAAAAAGGATTAAATTGACAAGGTAACTAAAAATATAATTAAAAAAAAACTCTATTTGGAGAAAGTACATTTATTCTTTGCCTGCAAAAAGAGAAGCGGGATCATTATTGGGAAAAATGGCATTGTGATTGATTTTTTTAAATGTCTTATTTTTTTCTGAACGCTGTCATATCGCATGTCAAACAACAACAATCTACCAACAAACTAAGCAGAATAATTTGAGTTTAGGAGTTGTCGATGTTGAGAAGCCAAAACGTATTCCCTTTTTTAAGCGATGTGAAACTTAATACAAAAAACAATGTAATATATAACTAAATGTGGCATTAATTGAGTTAATTGTAAAAAAGTTCCCACTTGTTCACATGTTATGTATAAATGAAAAATGAATATATGAAAAAAATATGTATGCAGAGCTCAATGACAGTAATGAAAGCAGAGTTAACTTCACAAAAAATTGCAAATAAAAAGGGATTTTACTAAAGCAAGCAAACTCCAGGAGTAGTAGTAATAAACACCTTTATAGTTGTTGTTGTTGTTGTTGTTGTTGTTGTTGTTGTTGTTATTAATCAGTGTTTGTTTATGTGTTGTCTGTGTAAAGCCAAACTGTATATGCATATTTATTTATTTATATTTATGTGATACACAGATTATAACAACAAAAAGTGCCCACTTGTTCAAAGGTCATATACAAACCAATAAGTAAATAATAATAAAAAACAATCAAATAAACTCTGGCAAAACTGGTTAAACTCAACTACAGTAGAGAAGGGATGGTAAAAATATGTATAATGTAGCACTTAATTCATATCCAAAAATAAACTGCCAGGAAACAAATGTATAGTGCATGTTATGAGTTTTCTGTGCTACGCCACTTTAAACGCATGTTAATGACTGCATGTTCCCGGTGCAGATGGGTGCACGAGCCCTCTGCAGGCCTGCATGCCCCCCCCCATCCCCGGTATGATATCATGCAGCTAGCCGCCGTGCAGCTGCAGGTTAGCGGCTGCAGGATGACAGCTGCACCTTAAAGTTAAAAGGCCGGGGATCGGTGCACCTTACCTGGGGACGCAGTTCGGGGAGGAGCCGTCGATCTCCCATGTGGCGAACAGGTTCATGGGCACCGGTCTGTTGAGAGCCGCGCTGCCGGCGAAACTCAACCGGCCACTTCTCTCCGCCATGGTCCCGGTGAAGAGGGGTAAAGGGGGTCCGACACCGAGCTGTAAACACCGGGGCACGGTGTCCTGAGTGTCCGGTAAACAGAGCCCGTTCACGGTGCGATGTGAAGGGCGCAAGTGGAGCTCATGTCCCCGGCCTCAGGTCGGGTAGGAGCTGCAGAGAGAGCCGGAGCTGTGGTGCCTCAGAGCGGAGAGAGTGTTTACCACGCTGCTGCTCCGGGAGTATGAGGAGCGATCAGTGCCACACACAGAGAGAGAGAGGAGGGGCAGGAAGAGACTCATCTTTCATGAATTAAAGTGTCAGGGATTTCCAGTCTTCATGTGTTACTCAGTGTTTTGCACTCACCTCTTCAAACTGGCTTTTAATGTGTGATTGTTGTTTTGTTTAATTTAATGTGACTTTTACTATATTTATTTGTTGTCCTTTTTTACTACCTCTGTAAAGCGACTTTGAGCACCTGTAAAAGCGCTTACAAAATAAATGTATTATTATTAGGGCTGTCAGTCGATTAAAATATTTAATCGCGATTAATCGCATGATTGTCCATAGTTAATCGCGATTAATCGCAAATTAATCGCACATTTTTTATCTGTTAGAAATTTACCTTAGAGGGATATTTTTCAAGTTTTTAATACTCTTATCAACATATGAGTGGACAAATATGCTTTATATGTTTGTTTATTATCATTTGAATAATGACAAATATTCTCATGAATATTAAACACAACAACCTCTGAACATTACAAATATTCGCCTCAATTCAACCTGGAACCTCTCTCATACAATAATACATACTGTGTGTGTGTGTGTGTGTGTGTGTGTGTGTGTGTGTGTGTGTGTGTGAGAGAATGTGGAGAGCTGCCTGGACGCTGCAATCATGTTGCGCGCACTATCCGTGCTGAGTGTGCTGACTTTTCGTACAATGTCCCACTGTCTGGCTACCTGCATAAAGTCAAGTGCTCGGCGCAGTTGTCGGCGAAATGTCGCTCCTCTGTTTTCATTGAAACAGCTCCTTATATCCATTAGCGCAGCTAGCTAGCACCAGATGCTAACAACAACAACAACAACAACACGTAAAGTGTGCCTCGCTCACGCCACACATACACACACCCTCCCGGTCCTCCCGATGGCCAGTCCGGGCCTGCCGGTGAGCGTGGAAGTGTGGTCTGCCACAAGCGGGCGGCAGGAGCGGGGCTGTCAGCATCAGCTTGTAGATGGTATTTTAAACTCGATACGCTCTGAAACTACGGGGCGGCCGAGGACAAAAAATACACATGCGTTAATCGCGTTAAAATAATTAGTGGTAATGTGTCATATACTTAATATAATTGAGTTTATTTCAAATGTGCAGACTTGTACATAGAGAAGAGGATTAGGGCCACGTGAACATTTTCTACAGATCGGAAGAAATAAAGGTTTAGATTCTGAAAAAAAATTCAAATTATGAAGAAAATTCCAAATTGTGAGAAAAATTCTGAATTTTGCTGAAAAAGTCAAAATCGTAAGAAAGAAAAACAGATGATCTAAAAAAATGTGATTCTGAAATTCTGAAAAAAGTAAACTATATTATATATATATATATATACCAATATTCTGTTCGATGCCTTTATTCTCAGATCTAAAAAATAAGGCCCTATTCCTCCGTATTTTCACAGGGCCACATAAAAACCCAACAATATATATTATGTGGATGTGTCAGAAATAACATTATGACTAGATTTATTTTCAACTGGTGGCACTAAATCTTTCACCTTCACTGCTCTGAGTCTTCTTCAGCTTGCTCACCTGGCATCAATCACTCCTCATACTCTCACAGGACAACGTCATTGAAGGTCTCTCCTGAAGATGCGTTTTGCACACTCCTCTGGAACAGATATCCGAAACACACACACACACACACACACACACACACACACACACACACACACACACACACACACACACACACACACACACACACACACACACACACACACACACACACACACACTGCGAACTCACACACCTTTATGTCCGCGTGCCCCCTGCAGAGGAGGAAGAGCATCTCCTCCCTTATTACGCAGTGTGGTGCATTTGAAACCACCCACCTATGCCCACTGCACCTGCGCCAACACCTAATTATGAATGAAAGCAATCATTATAATAAATATTGATCATTTATGCACACAGACTTGTATTTTCTAGTTTGTTGAAATTTTACTGAAAGCAGATACTGCCACCATGTGGTTGAAGCTGAAATACTGAGTGACCTTATTATTCTCAAGTTCACATTCGTATATAATTATATATTTTTGGAAGAATTATTTACTGTTATTGTTTTCAGGGACTGCATGAACTGGGTCACTTCAAGGATTAAAACGAGCTGGTGTTTAATTTTCTCCTCTCAGTCTCCTTTCCCATGGCATAGGTCTACGGCACATGTGTCAAACTCAAGGCCCGGGGGCCAAATCAGGCCCTTGGTGGATTTAATTTCAGCCCGCAGGATAATGTTTAATTACTATTAGATCTGGCCCGCCGGTATATTGCACGCACACCTTCACTCCATCCTGAGGGTTTCCTCAGCTCAGAGCCTGACCCCAAACATTGATGAACTTGCACCCAAGATGAGATGCCAAGTATCTGGCTTGAACTAGCATCACAGAGCAGCACACTGAGTTTACATGGATGTTTCCTTCTGCACTTTCTTTCTTGAGACAACAGGGCATGTTTGGTTTTTTCTTTGAGGGAAATAGTTTTTTTGAAGCTGTTGTTGGCCTGTGGAAAAATGTAATCATAAGAAATGACTCTGGAAAAGCTGCAGATAGAGCCATAAGAAATGAATGAAACTGATTATTTAATGTTTAATGTTGTTTTTATAGGCAATCATTTAAGCTTTGTTAGTTCCAGGTTTAATGTGCAATAAGTTCATTTCAATAAGTTCTGCAATAAACATTGAACCAGTCCGGCCCTCGACTAGTATTTTTATTTTGGCCCACTGTATTTGTTTGACTCCCCTGTCTATGGCCTTGGGTTCTGCTGCTATCTCTCTTGAGGAGCAGCTTGGGCGCATTGTTGTTGCCAGTCTGACAGAGCACAAGCCGCCATGAGGTAGTTTACTATTCAGGGACGTAGGTTCCCTGGCGTACATTATTTTCTATGGACGAGAGCTCTAGTTAGATTCAGGGTCCATATTGCTTTAGTCTCACTGATGAAGAATGTTGATTATTACACTCCGAACTAGTTAAAACCTCGAGCAAGAGTTCTTCAGAATTGGTTTGGCAACTCGTGACACACCACCTGTCTTGTCAATTCTCCGGCCGTAACACGTGTTTGCCATCAAAGCTCCAGCTCGCCTCGTGCCTCTCTTGAGTCCTGTTTCCATTTTCCCCCACACGATGTATACATTTCCACTTAGTATGTCTGTGTTACATGCGAGAGGCTTTTGTTAAATTATTTAATAAGTTACCAATATTTCAATATTATGATTCCAAACAAATCTATTACATCAAATGTTCTGCCATTTAAGAAAAAACAAAACAATGTAAATACCAATCTAGTCCTTTATATGAAATTTCATTTTCAGTTTGTGACAGGACAGAATGAAACAGAGAACTTCAACAGTTTGTGAAAGCTTTATTTGTCAGAACTGCACAGACCAACATTCACAAAGTATTAAAAGAAAATTCACTGTTCCTTCTTACTAAAAAAAAAATGTAATGACAATACGCAGTGAGTGTTTTATTAGTATCAAATCAATAACCTTATTCAGAGACATTTTTTCCTGCTCAACTAAACGCCCCACAGGCCGAGGCTGCAGATAAAATAAGTAAAACGGAGACGCAGAGGTCCTGATTCAGCACGAATGAATGATCATTACACAAGAAATAAAACACAATGACGTTCACACAACAGGTCAGTGAACGTAACACGTGTCAGAATCACAGTTTCACGGCAATGCCAGGAGCTCACGTTACACACAAAAAACACGCATCAACATTTTCAGGGAGTAATGAATCCCTGCTAACGTCTGAACGCACAGGGGGGTGGATGGAATCAAACATGGCCGACGGAGAATCAGTGTTTTCTGTCGCTCTGGATTTCATCAAATTAGGAGAGGATTTGAAAAAAGGGCGGGAATTTCATGTTTCCTGTGGAAGCACATCCAAACTAACAAAAATAGCCAATGATTAAAAATAAAGATAAAGACACGCCCTCTACAGGCCTGTGGAGAGAGTCTGTTTCATGCCCCCCCCCCTTCAGTGTTTGCTGTCAGCGGAGGCGGAGCGGGAACGTGAGCGAGATCTGGAACGAGAGCGGGACTGTTTGTTAGGAACCGGCGCCGGGGGGGAGCGAGATCTTGGGGCGGGAGAACGGGATCTGGGGGGGGGAGTGCGAGATCTCGGGGCCGGAGAACGGGCGGGAGAACGGGATCTGGGGGCAGGAGAACGGGCGGGAGAACGGGATCTGGGGGCAGGAGAACGGGCGGGAGAACGGGATCTCGGGGCGGGAGAACGGGATCTGGGGGCAGGAGAACGGGATCTGGGAGGGGGAGAGCGAGATCTTGGGGCGGGAGAACGGGAACGGCGGGCGGGAGAGCGGGATCGGCGGGGGGCAGAACGAGAACGGGATCTGGAGCGGGACTTGGAGCGAGACTTGGACCTGGAGGGGGATCTTCCGGAGGCTCGGCCCCCGCCTGACGCCTTCTTCTCCGGGGTTCGGCTCATGGAGCGAGAACGGGATCGGCTCCTGGAGCGATTGCGGCTCCTGGAGCGGGACTTGGAGCGAGAGTAGCTGCGGGAACGGGAACGGCTCTTACTGTGACTGCAGGGGGGAGGAGAGAAAAGAACATTATTAATAAATATAATAATTGATTTAACTTGCAACAACTTATGGGCTATTCCTCTCGTTTTATCTAATCAATATGCTATTTTTAGGCAATAGCAAAAAAGTGTTTTGCTCAAAATACCAAACAGATCACCCATTCTAGCCATGCCTCATATCCCTCTATTTCACTTCCCGTTTCAAAAGTGCTGATTTGGGGTATAAAGCTTTTTTTTTTTTTTTTAAAGAAAATAAATTTGATTAAAAAAAAGGAGGGGTCTGAGCTCATGCGGGACCCGGCAGCTACTGTCTAAACTAAATACTGCCGTGATGAAACGCCATATCATGGATTATCAAGGATTGTTTCTGAAACAGTATGGAGCTCAAAGGCTTTCTCTCTTGCCGGTTATACCACAAGGTGAGTTCCTTTTTATTTCCTGCTTCTTCACACACATGCTCTCCAGTACAGGTTAGCTCTGAGCGTTAGCGATGCTAATGTAAACACCGACCATATTATGTCCAAAACAGTCGGGCATTGTTTCTGATAGCAACGTTTCTGATAGGGCCGTGGGTCCACATTTCAGATATTACGTCATATCGGACGCAAATCTGGATCAGCTCCGTTGTAGCCCCGTTTTTAGAGATTTGGGTACGGAGGAAAAGAGAGAGGGTTTTATTTTCTGACGCTGCGTGAGTTCCCTGACACACCGGGGACACATCTTTATGTATAAAATACATCAAAAAGTGCATTTTGCATGATAGGTCCCCTTTAAGTGCTGTAGTGAAAAATAACATTTACAAATTATTCTTTGCATTGAATAAAAATTAAACCGACTCGCTTAGTTGACCGATTGAGTTTTTTCATGATTATCAAATGCTTAGCTAGCGTATGGTTTGAGACAAGAAAAATAAATATAACATATTTTAAAATATCTTTGGTTTACATGAGTTAATTGTTTAAAATGCTTGATTTCACAACATTTTAAGCACATCCCTAACATTTAAAAGATATGTTACAATAAGTAACTTTCCAAACTTTTAACCATTGCTGCAGGCAGGGTCCGGCTGACTCCTAACCCTGCACTAAAAATGCTTAAAGAGAAACTGACCTCCTGCTGTCCTCAAAGATCTTGAGCTTGCGCCCGTTCAGGTCTGAGCCGTCCAGTTTGGAGATGGCGTTCTTCATGTCGCTGCGGGAGGCAAACTCCACCACTCTGAGGGGACACGGGAGAAACATTAGGGACAAACTCTTAGCGATATTTAAAGTTTTTTTTTTAAAAACAGAGTAGAAACTCACCCTTCATTTTTGTTGGGCCTGTGAGCGTCCACAAAGGTTACTTCACCTGCTTTTCTCATCAGGTCTTTGAGGTCCTGTGTAAAGCATAAAGCAGGATTAAACAGGCAGAATAAACACTTTAGAGAGTTAGAGATCCGTCTCTGACCTGCAGGAGAAAGGAGCAGCAAACAGTGAAACTGAGAGTTTTATAAAGCTCTGACGTACGTCTCATCCCAGTGGCGGTAACATAAAGAGAAAGCTTTGTGTCGCCTGGAACTGATTTTATTGGCTCCATCAAAGAAACAAAGTCAACTCCATAGAGAGACGCCTGACAGGTAACAGCAGCTTAATGTTTACATTTTTATCAAAACCCATGTATTTTTGCATTCATTATTGCGTCTGGGTATGTGAGATAAGCCTATGTATTTATTGGAGGTCGTTGAAAATAGTACTCTAGGTAAATCAAAGGGCTGTACCAAAGGTTTTTTGTGTTCGTTTGACTGTTGATGTAATCCCCACCCCCCAAAATAAATAAATGACTCTTGTTAGGCTATCCTAGATATTATACATGTGAAAACTTCTGTAACCAAATCAATTCATCTTCCAGGAAATCTGCCTCCCACTTCGAAAACATCTGTTCTTATCCTTATGTGTAACTGTGCAAAAATGCCAACAGAAACAATAACTAGTCATGCAAAAAAAGCAACATAGTAATCAAAATCTGATTTTGAATGTCACGTTATAAACGAAACGTCAAACTCTTCAGTACAGCCCTGGTGAGAGGACCAGATATTGGTCATGTGACCTAAAGATTTGGCTCTGCAGTCCTAAAGTGTTCACATGTTTTGAGCATCTACTCCCCCCCCCAGAACCACCCGACCCTGAACAAACCCAATCACATGAGTTTATGCTACTTACCGCTCCAAACCCAGGGAGATATTAGCATAGAGCCACTTGTCCAAATAGCAAATGGGAACCAATGCAGTGTTAAGCCTTTGAGAAACGACCTCGGCCTTGACCCAGCATCCGGCCTCCAAAAGCAAGGACCCACCAGACCAGAGAGCAAGTAGGGGGAGGGGTGTTTGCCCGACCCAACACCCCCCCAGCTCCATCAGCAACAGAAAAAGACCCAAACGAGAGAGTGTAGGGGGGGGTGCCAGCCCACAGAACCTCCAGACTGTGGCTACGGACCTCCTAAGGCTACCGTATCCTGCGCTAGACCACCAGCCAAGACTTTAGACCGGCGGCAACTGCGTGTAAGGAGAGGCACCAAATGGACACTATTCAGAAAAACAACCAGGAGAGGGCGCTACACACTTCTCACGCCTCCGAGGAGGGTGTGCATTCACCTCTGAGATATAGATTTAAATAAGGAAACTAAAGAGTGCCACGTCCTAAAACCCGGAAGTAAACTCCTTCCGGTTCCTTCGACAAAAAGCAATGCAATGTCTCCATAGGATTTTGGAAAATAGCTCGAAATAAGGTCCGAGACGGATCACGTTTTGTTCATTCGGATAATATCCACACGTCTACCCTACTTTTATAATTTTCGAATCATAAATCTAATCAATAGAAAATTATAAAAGTAGGGTAGACATTATCCGGCTGAACAAAACGTGATCTGTCTCTTAAATGTGTGTCAACCACAGACCTTATTTCGAGCTATTTTATGAAGAAATTCGAGCTATTTTATGAAGAAATTTGAGCTATTTTATGGAGAAATTTGAGCTATTTTATGGAGAAATTGCATTGGTTTTTGTCGAAGGAACCGGAAGTGGTAAAATGCTAACTTACTTCCGGGTTTTAGGACGCGTCACTGTGGCACTCTATATCAGAGAAGACTTTACAAAAAAAAATAAAAATGTTTTGGAATCCCTAGCCGTTAGCTTTTGTCTGGGAAAAATAGTAAGTAGGTGAAGTAAAAAATAAAAAGCCTAGGGGGGGGGTTCTATAACTATCTATTGGGGTTCTTTCTTGCCTTTATTTTATCTGTCTAGGGAAGGGACGATATGAACATTTTATGAACTTAGAAATATAAGTAACTAAATTACAATCATAGTTTCTTAAAATGGCAATAAAAGTTTACTGGACAAACCGTCCCCTTATATTTATTAAGAAAAATGATATATATATATTTTTTTAAAGGGTAAAAAAATCCTAAATTCTTAAAATGGATATCAAATAATATTAGAAAAAAATTATAGTTTAAAGTGTAATAAAAAAATAAAATCTAAATATGGGTAACGTGGCAATAACTAAAAATATTGCAGCGATAAAATAACTAAATACAATGATCAAAAAGGTTGCATGACCAAAGGTTATATATATATAATTAAAAATATAAAAATAAAAGTGTTAGTCTGTTTTTTTTCATTATAATTTTTGCATTTTCAAATCCGCTTCGCCTCGTCACTTGGGAGGGTAAACAAAACTTTATATGTGATAAAATCCCATATCGCCCCAAACCTAAATCTGACTTCAGATAAATAGACCCGGCCCAATCAAATGAAAGCTGCTAAGTTTAATTAATAAAAAAATATTACATTACAGTTTGATACATATACAGTTTAATAAGGTCTGTAATCAGATACATGAGAAGGTTTCGTGCTCTCTTACCTGCCAGCTGATTCTGGAGGAGAGGTTCTCCACTATGAGCCTGTGGTCCGTCCGCACTGGAGGGCCATACCTGTCCAGTCTACACAAACCAACACAAAAGCCTTTAATACGAGTACATAACAATAACACACCTTTCTTAATGTATCCTCACAGCACAAACAGTTCTGCTTCACAGCCCCGGTTGTATTTACTTTGTTTTAGAGCAGAGTCAACTTGAATCACTTGATTATAGCCATGTGTCAAATCCATTTTATGTTCAAAGTTTCCCTGACACCTGAATTAACAGAATATTTCCCTTTTCAATAAGTAAAACTCTTCCCTGGTTAATCAAGGTGTGAGGAAGCTATTTTTCAAGCAAACATACCTGGAACCACTGCTGCGAGATTGCCGGTAGCCTCCGCCGCCGCCGCCTCCACCCCCACCGCCGCCTCCACCTCCTCCCCCTCCACCACCACCGTTACGGTCGCTGCCACCGCCGAACCGCCCCCCCATTCCTCCGGGACCGCCACCTCTTCCTCTCCGGGAGCGAGCGTGCTCGATAGTGACCCTGAACACAAGATTATTTATTTTTAGGACAATATAATCGGATGAATAACAAACAATATATTCCCAATAGGTTTATGGGGTAGAATGTATGACTTCTCCTAGATATAGCCATAATTCGTTATAGGTGCATTTTGTGTTCAGTTTAATAAAAGGTAACCGCTTCCTTCTTGTAAAGTGAATTGTTGTATTAAGACACTATAATGAAAGCAGCAAAAAAGAGTGCTGGGTATCGAATGATGTGCTTCCATTTGGCCAAGTACCAACCATTTAGTCTGTGTGAACATGTTCAAGTATGAAGTCATTTTTACCTTTCACTGCACAACTCTTTGCCGTTCAACTCGTACACGGCATCATCTGCATCTCTGTGGTCATCAAACTCCTGAGAAGCGAAAACAACAAAGTTATTTTTCACTCAGGGAAAAGATGATCAGGACTCTTTGATCTGCAGCTTGTTGTTGGGCCACTCACCACAAAGCCAAATCCATTCTTCAGATTGATTTCCCGGATCCGTCCGTATCCTTTGAAGAACTTCTCCACATCTCGCTCTCTGGCGTGCGGGCTCAAGCGGCCGATAAAGACGCGACATCCACTCATTGTCATCTGGGGAGAAGGAAAAACAGAAGACCAGGTAAATATTTAACCAGAATAGAGATGAGTATTATGTTGACTTTATAATAGAGATCCAAAGTACAATCTTAAGCAGCAAAAGGTGAATTACTGATCCATTTGTGAACACTCTGTAAACATGGTTTTGGGAAACCTGTTTTATTTCATGCAAAGGATTAAAAGGAGTTTCACATTAAGCCAGGTCTAAATGAAAATTCAAGCGAAACTGAGAAAACCTTAACTAGATCAAAGACAAATGATATGCAAACTCTGGTGAAACCAGTTTCACTAGTAATTACTTTAAAACGACACTTGTACTGTCTTTTTAGAGGCCTCTGTAATCTCACAAGCTGAAATTTACCTCCCCCAACATTTAAATTTAAGCCACTCAATTGTATTACCATTGTGGATTGTTTGGCTTTGTTAGTGAAGTTATGCAAATCTGCAAGCCCTGCATATTTTAATAGCATTTGTCTGTCAAATGTTTAATCTAGTTGCCTGTAAAACAAGTCTCTAGCAAAATAAAGTACAAGTTATAAATCACAAAAGCCATACAATAATTTCCATCTACAAGAACACCATTATGTTCACAATAGTTGGACCAGCAGGGAGTTACATGTTCATTTTAGAGGTAGTACTGTAATCTAGGTAAACAAACAAAGGTTCTCAAATAATGTGTCTTCCCCGGTTGATATAGACTTAGTGGACAACGTATAAACACATTTTCTCCATCAACCCTAAACTGGGCCCCTTTCTTCCTAGATAAAACTAAATGCAGCATAATGAAAGTATTTGGTGTCTATGAACTTAAAAGTTGAACACATCTGCCGTGTAGACTTGTACAATGCACATTATCATTAACACAATTACCGTTGAATCTTCTTTTTCAAAACTCCTGACAACTGAGTGATGGTCGTTGTGATCTAAAAATGTAAAAAGTAATCACTGTAAATTAACAGATCACAATTTTATACAATTTGTTGGGGCATTGCGATGGTTAAACAATACAAAAGAATACTATCAATATAATTAATACGCCTCAAAACATAATTATGAAACGTTAGATACATCAAATAACTAGTCGTTTCAAAACATCTAATAGTAACTAATTAACAATATTCACGAATGGTTGAACCATCACTTGGGCCCAACTTTAGCTGCTAATGTATACATGTAGAAAACGTTACTAAAATGATCGTTTGCATTCCACCTTAAATAATGCTTCGTTGGAAATAACAAATGTACTGAGATGGAAACTACAATATTCTCCTAAATTAGCTGTATAGCATTGAGCTAAAACACAGGCATTTTTTGTAATTCAAACTTAGCTTTTCGTTGCATTTTTGGTTAACACAACAGCACCAAAATAAATCATATCGCAGTCGAACAAAATTACCATTTAGATACATATACACCTCGTCTATGATGTGATAATGTACCGTAATATAAATCAAACGAGCAATGTTTTAAATACGTCTTATAGTAGTTTATTAACAATATTAACGATAGGTTGAATCATCACTTGGGCCCAACTTTTTGCTGCTAATTTAGTCCTTAACTACTAAAATACACGTTGAAACCGTTACTAAATTATACTTTAAAATGCTCAACTACACCTTGAATAACGCATCTTTGGAAATAAGAAAAGTGTAGAGCTGAAATATATTAACCAATGTAGTCCTAAATTAACTGTTTAGCATTGATTTAAAACAGGCTAATAAAAGATGCTAGCTGTTAGCTCGCCTCGAGGTCGACTTCTCTTAGCTTCATGCTAGTTAGCCACCGACCGTTAGGTTAAAAAAGACACAATTTAACCGTTAAAAGCAAACATATCCCCACTGTTAGTTAATTGTAAGAAACATAGAATTATTTAACAGCATTTCAATATGATTCTTACCCAGAATTGGTCTCTGGTTGTCGCTGTTTTAGATGCTTTCGTTCCTGCAGCTTCAACTTTAACTGATTCGTTTCCAGTGTGCGCGAGCGACTTTATCAAAATGGCGAGAGATACTAGAGTCCAAAGAGGAGAGAACCGGAAGTGACGTGTTCAGGTTGTCAGGGTTGAGTTTTTCTTTTTTGTAGGTTGAACTGTATTTATTTTTTTGTGAAAAAGTAAAAGTTTTGTAATCAAAATAAGTATTAGCATCAAAATATACTTAAAGTATCAAAAGTTAAAGTGGTCATTGTGCATTTTGGTCAATTTCAGAATAATATATATGATATGTTTTATAATGATTGATTATTAAAGTGTTCTCAAAGCTGGTAAAGGTGCAGCTAGTTTGAATGACTTTGTAATGTATACTGCAGGGTAGCTTGTGAATTCATTACTCCAGGTGGAACTAAAGTCTGATTTAAGACTTGATTATATTTCACACATAGACTGTATGGATTTCACATCATTAATCCCAATCTGTGAAGTAACTAAAGGGATAGATTACATACATGTAGTGGAGTAAAAGTACACCATCTACCTCTGAATTGTAGTGGAGTAGTACAAAGTAGGCTAGCATAAAATGGAAATACTCAAGTAAAGAACAAGTAGGCCTACCTCAGTAGTACAGTACTTTAGTAAATCTATTTAGTAACTTTACACCACTGAAGTTTACCACTTTTGTGTTGTTCTAATCAACATTACACAGGTAGTTTTCACTCATTACATAGGAATGAACCGCAGCATTTTTGTTAAAACACGCTTAAATGTGAAAAAATAACCGAAAATGTTCCCGAGCTTTAAGGGGGATTTTGAGAAAAGCCAGAATTCCGAGATCATAGTCAAAAATAAAGGAAATCAAGATAAAAAAATTATCAGAAGATATATTTATTTTGTTCAGAATTCTGATATTAACGTCAGAACTCCACTGTTGTCTCCATGATACCTTCGTCTATGGATACCTTCCATCAGATGAAGTTAGGTAGTGCTTTAATTTTCAGTTTCGCCCCGAGTCCCCCGACCCGAATGAGTATTTGACCATTTAGTATTTAAGGTAAAAAGCGAAAAAGCAATTTGAAACGATAATATCAAACAATATATATATCGTAGACATTTATCATAAGTCTTGTTTAATTATATATAATGTCACTGTAACTTTAACAAGAGTTTACATTCACGCCTAGCTGCTAAATGTTCTCAGACAGACCATCGATTTGACCATTTGTCAGGCAATTATCATATGGATCATCTTAGGTTTGTTATGTATGCAAGTTTCGCCTGTCTGGCCAACATTTCAATGGCCTGTAATGTAAATTCCCTGCTGAGACCTCCCCCCTTTTGTCTTTTTCCTGTATTAAGTGCTTGTTTTTCCTGTTGTTTCTGTGTAACAGGGTCAGGTCTTGGTGCTATCTACTAGAGCTGGAAATATGATTGATTCTGTTAAAGGTGGGGTAGGTAAGTTTGAGAAACCTGCTTGAGATACACTTTTTGTTATATTCCATGGAATGCTCTTAACATCCCGATAGCAATGAATATATTAAGTGCTTTGACAAAAAATCCATAAAAAAATGTCATCTGTGGAAGCTGTAGTACTGTAAAAAGCACGACCAATCATTTTAGCCGGCCCGGCTAAAATAACTGGATGGCCTACCTGCCTGTCAGCCTTCCATCTGTGCACAAACTTATCTCGTGCCCTCATTGGTCATGTGCGCGTTCGTGTGTGTTGGAGGAGGGGCTCTGTAAGGAAGTGGCAGATTTCTTCCGGCTGTGTATTTTCAAATTCTAGCGATCTCGAGCCGGTTTCTCCAAAATTACCTACCCCACCTTTAAATGCTATAACTCTTTATAAAATAACACAACTTCGGTTTAAGCTTGTATATTTGTTCTTTCCTTTTCCAGAAGTAGGTGATTAAGTGTGGCATTTCCAACACAATATATATATATATATGCATTTAGTATTAAAGGTCCCATGTCATGGCCATTTCTGATCATAATTCCATTGTTGAGGTCTACTAAAATAGATTTATATTGTGCAATGTTCCAAACTCACATTGGTTTCTCATACAGCATCTCTGTATAGTATGTGTATTCACTCTCTGTCCTAAACGGCTTGTTGGAGCTCCTGCCCCCCCCTATGAGCCCCAGTGTACTTTGAGGGTTTGTGACTTTGCAGACCGTTTACATGCAGAAAAACCTACATAACACACAAGGGGACGGGTAATAACCGGAAAAGCATGACATGGGACCTTTAATACAGTTTATATCTATCTATATATCTATTTATTTGTATGTGTATATATGAAGTTGTCCCACATTGTAGGCCTCAGCTCAATAATCAAAACATGTTCTTTGTTATTCTGGCTCTTTATTCTAGCACTATATCATCATTCTTTAAATGGCCTTGGGTTAGGAAAAGGAAAAACAGAGTCAAGGTTGATCCAGAAAATAATACCGGTCCGTTCTGTGTAAAGACTTTGAGCATGGATCTCTGTCAACTCAAAATATACAAAAAATATACGAACAAAATACGCTTGGTGCAATGTAAGACGACATCAAAGTATAAATAAATATAGCTTATTTAAAATCATGGAGGAGAAGTCTGATTTCCTTCCTGAGAGAGGGATTAAAATCACGTATGAGCTGCTTCACTGAGCGTTTGCATTTCAGAATAAAGACATGAATACAAAATGACATTGTAATCACTACCAGGGGGGATAATAATCATTCATGTGTTTTTTACCTGCATGTCTGATACAAAAACAATGATTACAATTAATTATATGACATCATATTTTCCCTTAACGAGGATCTGAACGTATCAAAGTGATATTTAAAAGTCTGTTAACTCTAATTACAATGTATTCAGTTTAAATACGTAATAAAATATGCTCTTAAAGGAATGAGTTTGACATTTTGGGAGATTCACTGTCTTGTTTTCTTGCTATAGAGTAAGATAATGAGTTTGATACCACTCTCTACTGAGAGATACATATATAGTTAAAAGCTGCTTAGCTTAGCATAAAGAATGGTAACAGATGGAAAGTGCTAGTGTAAAGTATTTTACACTTTTTGTCAGGGTTAAGCTAACAAGGTATACTTGGTATTAGATAAATTATGCATTAGTCCCACTATTTTGATTTGTAGTGAATGGTTAATGTAGTTTTCCATGAAGAAAATGCCCTTTTCTGTTTTATATCATAATAAAGTGAATATCTTTGGACATTTAAATCACCTGAGACTCTGAGAAACTTGGATTGACATGTGTTTCACTATGTTCTGATATTTTATAGGTAAATAATACAAAAGTTATTCATAATAAAAAATAATATATTAAATTGTGAGCTTTTAGTGTGTTGGTAGGTGGACTTTGTTACCTTTGGACAGGCTAGCAGGTTCCCTCTGTTTGCAGTCTTTATGCTAAGCTAAGCTAGCCCAGTGTTGGCTGTAACTCCATATTTACTGTACATAATTTACACTCTGCAAGAAAGCCATGCAGTGGATTTCCCAAAGTGTAGACGCCATTACTTTTACAATGGTCAGGTCAGTTCACCCTAAAGTAAAAAAACAAAACATAAAATCCTACTTTTAAGCTTTTCAAAGTTTGATTTAAGACATGTTTTATTACCAGTAAAAGCCTTTAGGCCGCAGGACCCTGTTACATGAAATGTAGATTGATTAATTGAACAACAGGTAAAAGGAAAAAAAAATACTTTTGGGTTATGGGAACTGTGATTTAAAGGACAATACTGATAAAGTCTCAGGTTTCAGTGTTATTGTTGGAAAAGGTGAACAGCAGTATCACAGAGGAACATTTCCCGGGCGTAAATTCACTTTCCATATCCTAAAAGTTAACGCACCGTTATCATATAAAGACCATTTGTATATAAAAGCGTAGACAAAAGTTGTACTGCTTCACAAAGTCAATTATAGTCCTTGTAGCAGCTTCTCTTTGTGTCTCTGATGTTCTGAACAGTTCCCCTGTTTGGTGATGACTGTCCCTGTTTGTTGGTTTAAAAACAGAAATACTTGAATCTGTAATCAGAAATGTGGCGACCAGCGTTGCCAGTTGTACAATAACTCTCATATTTCTATGTGTTGGGGAATAATTTGCCCTGCATGTTCTCCTTCGCCCTCTGACGCAGATGACCAACCTTGAGCAGCCGTTATCTCCCATAAGGAGGGGCTGCCCTAGCATTTTGTTGATGTTGCCAGTTTGTGACCGGGCAGTTCTCGGTCAGAGATAGTTATTGTTGTGGGACACCTGGAACACATCCTTCTCGGGGTGTAGATGACCTCGAGCCATAAGCGACAACAGATGTGATTCAGTGTCCTCAGCTGTTTAGTTTATCTATTGAAGAATGTTGATTATTACACTCTGAACTAGTTAAAACCTCGAGCTACAGGAGGGTGCTTCAGAATTGATTGTGGCGTCTCAACCGTGTGGTCAGACCGTGACCCGTGACATGTCTTGTGAATTCTCCGGCCGAAGCTCCAAATAAACCGTCAGTGTTTGCCATCAAAGCTCCAGCTCTCCTCGTGTCTCTTTGAGTCCTGACTCCAATTGCTTCAGAAGTTTCTCCCACACTATGTTTTATGTACTTTTTTTCAATAATCTTGCCTTTTGTACAATGTACTTAGTACTTTTGTACATTTTGCTTAAAATTAGAACTCTGCAACGTTGCATTTCTTAAAGTTATACAATCACGGCCATTTGTTCTCGTGGTTAACAATCATTTTCTTTAAAATACAATAACTTATCATCTTATTGCAAAGTATGGTAAGGACCTTGATAATCTTTTACGTTTTTCGAATCATAGAATATAACATATCACATTTTAAATGATTGTTTCCCGTGTTTGTGACTTGTGTAAGTATGGAGGGACCATGGTCATTTTTACGTTTTCGACTTATTGTCCAGTATACGGATATATCGTCAATAATCTTTACATCATCGAACTGTATAGCTCAATTATTTTAAGTTATCAACTAATAGTACAATTTACGGATACCACCGCGACCCTTTTTACGTTTGGGATTTATCATATAATAATCTTGCTTTCTGTACAATCAATAATGCCAAAAAGTGCCATCATGTACGATCAATTTGTGACATTCACGGTTAAAGTCAGGACCAGCTTGATAAAATAATGACATTTCTACGTCTGTCTTTACACATCTGTCCTCATGGGACTCATTTCGAGCCAATCATGGGTCAAAAGTGTTTTTTGTAAAATGTTCACATATTGGTCCTCGTGGTTATGATTTGCGTACGATCATATTCCCATTTCTAAGCCTCCAGGACGATAGCCTAACATTCCCTCTCTGGCAATGCTGGTTATTTGTACGTTCTTGTGAAATTCCTTCAACATGCAACATCTGCCTACTGACCTCAAGGAATAATCCCCTCCTCGTTAAACCCTCTAACATGTCCAACCAGTAAACTAGTAAATTGTCAACGGGGGGGGGATGCTAGTGACTTATCCGACCGTCCCACCTCGGTTTCGCAAGTACATGCCGCTAGTAAATTGTCAATGGGGGTGGGGGGTGCTAGTGACTTAACCGACCGTCCCACCAAGGTACCGCTAGTTAATTCCGCTAGTAAATTGTCAACGGGGGGGGGGGGGGGGGGGGGGGGGGGGGATGCTAGTGAGTTATCCGACAGGCCCACATCGTTCGACCGGCCCACTTCAGTACCGGCCCATCGGGATTCGTCCCAAACGTCCCGATGGCCAGTCCGCCACTGTGTCCCAGGTTAACGCTGTGATTTCCACACTGAAAGAGATATCAGCTGAAGGCCACAGAGAGGTTATTGAGGACTTATTGGAGTTATGCAGATTCGGAGGTCGAGTCGTTCTACAAAAGCAGCTCTGAAGGCAGGGAGCAAGGCTGACAGAGGTTTAACAGTTTGTGGAAAAAGAGCTGAATAGTTACAAAGTTCAGATCTACAAGAGTCCGAGGAAGAGTTTGCCATCCTGTCGTACAGGGGTCTTAAATCCCAGTGTTATGAGTCTTTCCTTTGAGGACCATCGGTCTGAGGTCAGCTGGTTGTTCGATCCCACTAAATCCCCTCTGAGCGTCTGAGGGTGTTTCAGACCCTGGTGTGGCGGCAGCTGTGCTTGTCGGTGGGGGACGAAGGGTCCTCGTCGCTGGACTCGCGGTGCTCCTCTCTGTGGAGGCTGATGTGGGTCTGCAGGGCGGCGGGCGTCAGCCACTCCTTGGGGAGGCAGCTCTGCAGGAAGGGGATGCAGGAGGAGAAGTAGGCGAGGCGGTTCACCCAGCGCGGGGTCTCACGCCCACACAGCAGCTGAGGAACAGAGAATATGGGGATGGGAAACAAGATGTCTCTGTTTTATTTTATACAGATTTGAGAGACATGTGAAAACTAGAATTTCACAAGTAAACAACTACTTTTTTCTAGGTTACGCACAATAATAACGTTATTGAGTTATTGCACGATGTATATGACATTTCAATTATTGACTAATCTTTCGAGATATGGACACCCCAATTTTTACGATATTGAATAAACGTACAACATATAAACATGGCCTGAATAATAAGCAGAAATGAAGTATTATGATAATTGACATATTAATTATAATTGTAAAATGCTTTATATTGTGTTATAATTATTGTTATAAATCAATATGAATATTTATGAGTGCTTTTAAGCAGATTATGTGTTTTTACATAACTAAAACTTTGAATCAATAATTTTAATTTTGTGTTTTTATGCGAATAACCTGTTTAGATGACACTAACAACATAAACAAAATAACATTTAAACTTCACTGGTGGAGTGGAGCCTGATTATAATTCTGTAGATTTGCGCTTTAGACTGAAATGTCTTCTGGGTAATTTACTTACTCTGCCCTGTTCTGTATGTTATAGTTTCCTATCACTACGTGCATGTAGAATCAGAAGCGTGTGTGTTCTCTGACCTCGGACAGCGAGGAGGAGAAGTGGTTGCAGTTTTTGTGCATCAGGTGGTACGCGTTGCCTTTGAACTCTCTGCCCAGCTCCTCCATGACCTTATTCATGTCGTCCTCCGCGAAGTCCGTGGTGCCCAGAACTATGGCCTCCCTGTGGAGGAGCACTCACCATCAGCATTAAATACCTCTCAGAGCACTGTGTGTTAATGTGAGTACTGTGTGATACTGTGTGTGAGTGTGAGTACTGTGTGATACTGTGTGTGAGTGTGAGTACCGTGTGATACTGTGTGCGAGTGTGAGTACTGTGTGATACTGTGTGTGGACTGTGTGATACTGTGTGCGAGTGTGAGTACTGTGTGATACTGTGTGTGGACTGTGTGATACTGTGTGTGAGTGTGAGTACTGTGTGATACTGTGTGTGGACTGTGTGATACTGTGTGTGAGTGTGAGTACTGTGTGATACTGTGTGCGAGTGTGAGTACTGTGTGATACTGTGTGATACTGTGTGTGAGTGTGAGTACTGTGTGATACTGTGTGATACTGTGTGTGAGTGTGTGGACTGTGTGATACTGTGTGTGAGTGTGTGGACTGTGTGATACTGTGTGATACTGTGTGTGAGTGTGAGTACCGTGTGATACTGTGTGATACTGTGTGTGAGTGTGAGTACCGTGTGATACTGTGTGCGAGTGTGAGTACTGTGTAATACTGTGTGTGGACTGTGTGATACTGTGTGTGAGTGTGAGTACTGTGTGATACTGTGTGCGAGTGTGAGTACTGTGTGATACTGTGTGACACTGTGTGCGAGTGTGAGTACTGTGTGATACTGTGTGTGAGTGTGAGTACTGTGTGATACTGTGTGATACTGTGTGTGAGTGTGTGGACTGTGTGATACTGTGTGATACTGTGTGTGAGTGTGTGGACTGTGTGATACTGTGTGATACTGTGTGTGAGTGTGAGTACCGTGTGATACTGTGTGATACTGTGTGTGAGTGTGAGTACCGTGTGATACTGTGTGCGAGTGTGAGTACTGTGTGATACTGTGTGATACTGTGTGTGAGTGTGAGTACTGTGTGATACTGTGTGTGAGTGTGAGTACCGTGTGATACTGTGTGTGGACTGTGTGATACTGTGTGTGGACTGTGTGATACTGTGTGTGGACTGTGTGATACTGTGTGTGGACTGTGTGATACTGTGTGTGAGTGTGAGTACTGTATGCTAAAATGAAGTATTCCTCACTTGAAGTTGAATGTCTCCCCCAGCTCCGCGGTGTTCCCAGGAGTGATCTCAAAGATCCCGCTGAAAGGGTACGGATGGCCCCCGTATGCAAACTCTGAAACAAAGAGGAGTAATGAGTAACTAAGTACTTTTACTCAAGTACTGCACTTGAGTACTCATTGAGGTACTTGACTCGAATGTGGAGAATTGTTGTTTTTCTGCTACTTTATACCGATACATCACTACATTTAAGGGGAGAATATTCAAGTTTTACTGCACTACATTATGTCTTCTTTCTAGATTAAAGATCATTCAAACTAAATAGATGAAACTAGTAAATGACCATATGTAGAGGAATGAAAATTAGGCCGACAGTACACCTTGTTTTATCAGTCTTATACCCAAAGATTAAACAGAGAAAACTGCACTTCAATACAGTTTTGCAAACAAATACTTTAAACATTAGCACATTATCAAAATAGTTTGCAATCATTTTACTGTCAATCAACTTATTGATTAGTAGAAGATCCAAAATACATCATAGAAATAATTGCGAGTTAAAACTCTTAATTCTTAATCTCAGGTCACAAAAAAATGAAATTCTCTGACAATGATATAATAATAAACATGCAGCAACACTGGGCGGAAAATCTTAATACACCGTTTTACTTTTGACAATTAAAGAACATTTTGATGCCAACACTTTGGTACTTGAGTATACATAGTATACACTGTGGTATTTATACATATACTGTTAAACTCTCCAAATGGAGGAGCTAACAGCTGTAATCACACAGCACCAGTTAATCACCGAACACTGTGTTTAAATCATTAGTCTGGTTAATTACAGACTGCACTGTATTTACTTACAGCGGTATAATAAAGCAGGGAAGAACACGGTGTAGTGAATAAGGTGCATTACATAGTAAGTTTCATGTCATCTGAATTGTGCAAAAATATGCTGCAAACTCAAAACAATCTGCAGAAAATCCTCAAAAAGGAGGCACAGGCTGAGTGAGTGACACACACACACACACACACACACACACACACACACACACACACACACACACACACACACACACACACACACACACACACACACACACACACACACACACACACACACACACACACCACACACACACACACACAGAGTGACTCTGCGGTGACTCAACCCAGAGAAACGGGGTCACGGTATTATAAACACAACTCCATATTTAGTTTTTAAACCCAGACTTTATTTGTGTCTGAGAACACAGCCTCAGTCTCCGACGTGATGCACACACGCATACGCACACACACACACACACACACACACACACACACACACACACACACACACACACACACACAACCAATTAAAAGGGTCTTACCTCTGCCATAAATCTCGATGCCTGAGTGGAAGACTCCAATGCCCAGATTGGAAGTGTACTCGTTTATCCAGTACTGCAAAAAGAGAGAGATATCAATATACTGTATATCTTTTTTATTGATACCAACAGAACTGATGTGTGTGTGTGTGTTTAGACAGCTGGATGAACACATTAAAAGATCCCTGCCACACCCTGAGGAGGAAACATGTCCAGCTGTCCATCATTAATAATAAAACATGTTTCTGAGCTCAGGATGATCAAATCAAAGCTGATCCACCTCTCACTTTGTGTCCACAGAGAAATGCTTTCTACTGTTATTAGCCCTCTAGCTTTTAACGTTTTCACACCAGGAACACTGATGGGAATTTTATAACAAGGTGTCACCGAGAGAGAGAAGTATCAACCAGGAGAGACATACTTACTTTACCAGAGAAACATTTTAGCAGTGAAAAGCTGACATGACTTTCTCTTTGGTGAAAAAAAGTCCTGGTATCACACTTATGGGTGCTACTATGAATAATTTCACATTTCCATCAATCTCTCCTCAACCAAAGAAATTATTTGTCAAGTGAAACCTCATCAGAGTTTACTGATGATATACATGCATTTAAAACAATTACAGATGATTGAAGAGGGGAAATTGACATACACTCATACGATTATGTAAACTAATGGTTTAGCTTATTTAAAGGAACCCTGTTCTAGTCCTTCTCAGGTTCCATATCAGTATGTAGTGTCTCTACTTTAAAGAGTCCTCTCCTGCTGATGTTCAGGTGTATATCAGTATGTAGTGTCTCTACTTTAAAGAGTCCTCTCCTGCTGATGTTCAGGTGTATATCAGTATGTAGTGTCTCTACTTTAAAGAGTCCTCTCCTGCTGATGTTCAGGTGTATATCAGCATGTAGTGTCTCTACTTTAAAGAGTTCTCTCCTGCTGATGTTCAGGTGTATATCAGTATGTAGTGTCTCTACTGGGACATGTCTCCATGCTTTAATGTTCAAAAAGCTCTTTATTTTTCTCATACTGCCTGTGCTGCAGCACCTCTTTTCACCCTCTGTCTGAAACCAGAGCCCAGTCTGCTCTGATTGGTTAGCTGGCCGGCTCTGTTGTGATCAACCGCTTAGAGATGTCCCGCCCCCTATCATGTACAGTGTGTTGGAGTACTGTGAGTCGGTCCACATAGTGATGTCACCATGTTACTGAAGTAAACAAAGGAGTCCAATGGAGGCGTTTCAGGCAGGGGGGTTGGGGATTTGTGGGAGAGAAACTTCCTCTGGTATGATATAAAACAGAAAGAAGCATATTTTGTAACACTTTTTAGCCTGAAAAATTATTTCAGCAGCCCATTGTTTGTAGCTGTAAACACTCCTGTGATGATGTGCATGCTGACACTGCTGCAGCGAGCCATGCAGTCAAATTGATTTCATACCGAAGACGATCGATATCCCCCCCCCCCACTCACTGATTCACTCTCCGGCGGATGTTACGGCTTCTCTGTGTTTATTTCTTCCTCGGTAGAAGAAGTATTTAAGGCTGACTGATCACTTCCTCTCTCAGCAGAGACACGGCGGACATACATCTGATGTTAGAGCCGCTGCCACTCAGGGCCAGTGATGGGAGAAGTTACTTTACTGCAGTAAAAGTACTGTAGAAAATACTCTGCTTTAAAACCTTATTTACATAAAATTACAGGTAGCCTTTTATATGCAGAAATGTCCCTGCCGGTGTTTTTAATCAATCAATCAAATTGTATTTATATAATTTTCCAATTTCACACTTTATATTTATGTCTCAGGAGTATTTATGTTTTTAGTCTTTGTTACGAGATGTTTCTGGATTCATATTACTGCTGCAACAATGTGCATGATTCATTTTACTGCTGACAAAATCACTGCAAACATGTGGTGATGTGCTTTATATTGTGGCAGCTGTAGTAAAGATACTCTGTGTTTCTGCAGCCACATGTTGCATAATCTTATTTATTTACACTGAGGCCGTTCAGGGAGAGAGAGCAGGCAGTGGGCACAGGTCTGAATGAGCAGCTTTGTCCGTGGTGTGTGTTTATGTGCACATGTGTGTTATTGTATGTGTGTGCATCATGAGAGCAGTAGGCACAGCGACAGAGGGAAGCTCTTGTTTCAGAGGCATTAAGTTAGCCAGGCTTTTATCCAATCACTGAAGATGGATGAGACTGTGCTCACCAAACTCATATTCAAAAATCAGTCGATTTAAGGCGAGATACTACAGGGAAAACTCAGTTGTCAATGCACTGGTCTCCTTCCGATATAGTTGAAAGAAAACATCCACATTCAGGAATTTGTTTTATTAACTTTGAATGTTGAAACTGGAGAATTTGTTACACCAAACTCTCCAGTTTCTTTCCTCTCTATATTTTGAAGCTTTTTACAGAGTTCGATGCTCACACATCATTCACACACTCATTTATACACAATTTATTACTAAAAACATGATTTTTTTGCATGTCTTTTGACAGTATTTATGGACAGGTATTAACATGAAACTTCCCCAGTTTAGAACTTACATTAAGATAATTATTTTTTGTATTACTTGTTTTCTGCTTTATTTAGAAATGCAAGAGGCATTATCTAATGCTAACTTTTGGTGGATTTGGATAAATCTGCAGACACAAACAGACAAAGTTTGTAAAATAAACTCCTGAATGTGGACTTTGGATGCTTTCTTTTCACTAGTCTGAATGAAGACATTATATTGAAGCATAATAGCCAGCACAGAAATCTCAGAATTGGGCAGTGGCAGTGCATTAACATGTTTTTGCCTGCAGTGTCTCTCCTGAAAGTGCACTTATGAAACAGGTGCCTGCTATTTCTGGTGGTGCATTCACTTCCTCTGCTGGTGTCAGGTTACAAAGAGCCAGAAACAGTAAATAAAACTGAATAAAAAAGTGATTTCTTACCATATTATACACGTTGAGGATGACAGGTTCATTGGCCATGGTTTACCTGAACTGGAAGAGTCCACCCCCCCTCCTCCTCCACGTTTTCTGGTTGTCAGGACTTCCAGGGATGGAGGCTGATCATTCCCCCGCAGGGTGGCTGGAAAAAGCGAATAAAGCAAGGAAAATGTCCCCAAAACTACATCCAATTCTGGTTAAAGGTGTATTAACGAAATAAAAGCCACCACAGCAGGTCAACATGTCATTAAAGACGCGTTAGAGGTGATTACATTATCCACGATAAGGGCCTACAGGAGCGGGGATCACGGTCATCCCGGGCGGGAAAAGGCGACAGCTGGGGCGGGGAGATATGGACGATGGAGGCGGAGTGCGGGTCATTTTCTCCTGGAGGATGGTGGGAGAGAACCGGGTTAATTACAGCAGCATTCCCGGCAGATGAGGGTTCAGCATCCAGCCTCCTCTCCTCGGCAGGACTCCTCCAACACGGATCCGTTACCAACCGTTATTCTAAAGAGCCGTTATCATTAAATGAAGTTTAAGCCGAGATCCACCCGTGCTGCGCCGCTGTTCTCCAGCTCTGCCCCCCCTCCCTCTCTCCTGGTGGGGATTACATCATATCTGCCTCCGAGGCAACATCCTCCGACAGCTGATGGAGACGGGATGCTACTTGTGGGTGAACAGGACGGACAGGACCACATTTTATCACTTAAACACAATTTCTGTCAACCAGACACAAAATGCCTGATATAACCCCAGTAGTGTTCTGAGGCACGAGAACCGACCGTTAAAACCGTTAGAATTCAAAAATCACTTTGTTCTAACCGTTGCGGCCAGTTATAACGTGTATACAAGCAGTTTAGGTTTTTACAACATTAATTTACGTTATCCCTCCAATATATTATACTAATAAAAGCAGTATTACTAATATGGTAAAATATAATTGTACTCTGAAAGGAGTTTTTGTCGCAACAACGTCCACTTTTATTTTGAAGGTAGGCTAAACTGAGACAACATTTGGTATTATGCTACCGTTAGCTAACTTTATGCATTTAGCTGTCTCCAAATCTACCATTAGTCCAACAAAACTATTGTTCTAAATCCAATTTTTGTCATGTATTTAATTAACATTTTGCCTTATTATTAACATTAAGAGAAAACATGGTTATCTCATCATTTCTTTGGTAAGCCTACATTATGTGTGAAAAAAAACACCAAATGAGCCTGGAACAGATGAATTCAACATGAATTTTATTACAGTAGGTTCCTTAAATGTTAATCACAATATTTTGCATAATTTATTCATTAGTGCTTCCGATCTGTGTTTTTTTTCTGGCATAATGCACATATTCACAACCCCACTCAGCAGAGCGACATGACATCTATTTACAAAGAGGAGCCACGTACAGTCAGACATAAACACATGATGTTTGCACTGCAGACTACAAAACGTGGACCATTCACTCATTCATGTTTTCTATGGAAGTTACTGCAGGAGCTCCATGATTGTGGCTAGTGCAAAAAAACATTTAACATTTTTGACAGCAACTAATGAATCTTTTTTTTTAAAACTCCTTTACATTGAACTGGCTCAAACTGCACTTAGTGTCAAGCTGTCAATCCTTCACAAGAATGTTCCTCCATTACAATAAGCTCTTTATAATATATACTTAAGGAATGATTTGTTTCTCATATAAAGATTTGACGGTTCACCCTGAGTGACCGCGTGACACTGTATAATAATGAACTAAACGTGAAAATACCTGGTGATAGGTTGCTTTAAACAAAGGATAAATCTGGTGATAATCTATATTTTTCTCACTGAATACCAAGAATAAAGTGATTTTACTAAGATATAACGCCTGATATATGTTATGCCTCTGTGCCATAGAGCATTTTCAGTTTTTTAGGACTCAATCCTGCACCATTATGGGTGTTGATTTTCATTTGTATCATGATAATTGGAATGGGTAGAAAGCACTGAAGTCCATTTCAATTCATCGCATTAGCTGCAGGCTTTTTTTTTTTTTTTTTACTCCTCCCATGATTCTGTGCAACAGTGCAAGATGAAAACCATACCTATTTTAACCCAAACAAACGTGAAAGTAAAGCGTTTTCCACTTAGATATTTGTTTTTCAGTTTGTAAATGGACCCTAAAGCTTGAGGATTTATATTTTTCTGCATAAACTTTTTCTGTGTACGGCGGCCGTGTGTTTCTGCCTGAGCTCAGCCCGGCAGCAGGAATGCTTTTCCTTCCTCTGCTCCTTACAATCACTATTTAGTTACGTTCGTTTACATAGGGAAGGGTGTGAAGAAGCTACCATCACTTTATAGAGAAAGTCCAACAGCTGCTAATCTACAAAAAAAACATCTTAGACTTTGTTCCCTCTTTCTTTTCTTTGGCCTCTAGCAACGTTTTTTTCATCTTTAAAAAAATGATTTATTATACAGGCTGTGTTAAAAGGGCCTCCTTTGTTGCCGCATGTAAATGAAAGCACAGAGGGCTGCAGCTCCGGCTAAAACAACCAGGATCCCCAGAGCCGAGAGCGGAGCGTTGGGATCGGGCCCTGAGCCCAGCGGTCCGTTTGAGTGAGGAGGCTGCAGGAAACACAGATATAAAAACAAGAGTATTAAAACTGCACCACAACGAGGGATTTCTGCAAAAATGCACCTGTTATTACCGGTTTAAAACATGTGGAAAATACATAGAACACCCACCAACTTAAGGATTTAGAGGGAATCCCCTTTGAAAAATAAGATCTGTTTTGGTTTATTCATTTTTACAAGTATAAATCACATACATTTGAGTGTTTTTAAATAACATTTTATATCTTTGCTTTTAAATGAGTGTTTTTAAATGCCATTTCATAATATGTTTCTTAATGCTCTCTTAAGCCCCGGACACACCAAGCCGATTTTGGCCGTCGATGGATGTCAGGCCGACGATGAGCGTCCTGTCGCCCTACTCAGATTGGTGTGTCCCGCACCGTCGTGTCTTTTCGGCCGTCCCGACACCTTTTTGGCCGATTGACTACGGTAGTCAATCGGCCAAAGGCTGTCGGTCAAATAAATCACTCTGATTGGCTGTTCAGCTAGCGAATCAGTGCATGGGAAGCGAAACGGAAGTGAGGGACCCAAACAAACTATTAGGAAGGCAAATCTGAGATTTCATTTAACTCCAGCTCTCGACACAGGTTCGGGAAAGCCCCATGAGCTTCTCGCTGTAGAGTGAAAATGGAACGCACACGCTATTTGTTGTTTGTTTATATCACGCAGTCTGTTCTTCTTCTCTCGGTGTATCACGCAGTCTGTCTTCCGGTTGTTGCCTCTTTTGAATGACGAATACACACTACCGCCGCCTGCTGGTAATGCGCAGTTCGTACGTGCTACTTGGCCGTCGGCTGAAGTCTTTGCGGTGTGTTCCAATGCGACTGTTGGCCAAGACGCAGGAGACGTGAGGCGACACAACAGTCGGGTCCGTCTGTGTGAGTTCTTTGGTGTCAGCTTGGTGTGTCCCTACCTTTAATGTCTTTCATTTTTGTAAAGCACTTTGAATTGCCACCCTTGAGTAAGTGTGGAGTAGTAGATGCAGGGTTTGGGTTGGATTAGATTGTGTAAAATATCATGTTTTTAAATTAATATTGAATTTGTGTGTCGTTATAAATGTAACTTTCTGGCAATTACAATTAACGCATTAGTAGTATTAACGTCCCCTGAAACAACATCCTACCTTGAGTAACTACACACACACCATTTCCTCTCTTTGCTCTGCTAATATTTATATATTTGATCAAGGTGTGACATCTGAGAACAACTAGAGATTGTAGAACTTGTAAAACGCCACACGCAGGCTTTGTTGTTTGCAGAAGGACTACTAATGTGAAAATGGCGTTGGTTAGGTGTGACCCACATGTTTACATTTTGTTGGTAGAAAGCACCAAAAGGTTTATCCTATCATCATTGTGTTTACATGTGAAATACTTTTTATACCAAATCCTCTTTTGTGTCCTTGTGGATGTTTGTGCCAAAGTTAAAGAAATATATATAAAATAATATGACGTCAAAAGTGATTGATTGTAGTAAGAGCATAAAAGGTTTTGTATTTCTTTGTTAATGTGGTAACATTTCTACTATGATGGTTCTTTTTTTACCATTTCTGTTCTGTATGCTGTACTTTTTTGGGCAGCTTTTATGTTGTGTGAGCCAAAGACACATTTTCTATTGTTGTAGACAACAAAGAAAAATACCTGAAGAAAAAGAAGCAGGTCATTCCAAAAAAAAAAGGTACATCCTTAATTCTCACCCTTTTCAGAACCAAGAGCTGCACGTCCTCTCCGGCCATCCTGAACAGATCCACCGTGGCTTTGTGTGTCAGACCCTCCAGCTTCACCCCGTTTATCTAGGAAAACAAAAGCATTCTTTATCACCTTTTATCAAATGACTGCTCCTTTATACTTCTACTCCACTACACGTTACAAGCCAGATTTTTACTTTTTACCGCACTACATTTATCTTTATTTATACACAGGTTTCATACACTTTTTCACCAATGATTTTCAATTACTTTTCCATGACCTTTACCTAATTTTCCATGACCAAAGAAATTACTCTTTCTCAGCGGTACCACTGAAAATAGTTTATTTTAACATGGAACAGGAAAATAAGGTCTGCATATGAAACATGTTGTGCCTATCTAAAACAAATCAAATAGGCTTACTAGCTTCTACAGGATAAAGCAACTAAAATCTCTCACCAGCAAAATACCTCGTCAGTTAAATGCCATTTTATGTTTCATTACTATACGATACAGTATTTATTATCATTATAGTATTACTATTTCGGCGATTAGCTCAAATATGAATTATATTTTATGCAACTTTAGTTACATTTCCATGAAAAATATTGTTTTCCATGACTTTTCCAGGGCCTGGAATTTGCATTTTGAATTTCAATGACTTTTCCAAGTTTGTAATGACCTTAAGAACCCTGTATACAGCTTTTTACAGATTCAGATTACTGGTTAAAATATCCAGCAGCAAATTAGCTCCACCTTTACCAGCTGTGATGAACACTTTAAAACATCAATTATCATAATAATAATAATTGGTTATATATCATGCAATGAAGTACTTTTACTTTTGGTACTTTAAGTATAATTAGGTGCTAACAATCTTACGCAACCCTAAAAAAAAATGTATCTTTATTGTTGTGTTTTCTGTTTTCAAGGCCCGGGGGTCAAATCAGGCCCTTGGTGGATTTAATTTCGGCCCGCAGGATAATTTCTAATTACTATTAGATCTGGCCCGCCGGTATCTTGCACGCACACCTTCACTCCATCCTGAGGGTCTCCTCAGCTCAGAGCCTGAGCCCAAACATTGATGAACTTGCACCCAAGATGAGATGCCAAGTATCTGGCTTGAACTAGCATCACAGAGCAGCACACTGAGTTTCAATGGATGTTTCCTTTCTTGCGACAACAAGGGCATGTTTGGTTTTTTCTTTGAGGGAAATTATTTTTTTGAAGCTGTTGAAAAATGTAATCATAAGAAAAGACTCTGGAAAAGCTGCAGATCGAGCCATGAGAAATGAATGAAACTGATTATTTAATGTTTAATGTTGTTTTTATAGGCAATCATTTAAGCTTTGTTGGTTCCAGGTTCAATATGTGCAATAAGTTCATTTCAATAAGTTCTGCAATAAACATTGAACCAGTCCGGCCCTCGACTAGTACCCATTTTGTTATTTTGGCCCACTGTGTATTTGAGTTTGACACCCCTGCCCTAGTGGGACAATAAAGATGGACTGAACTGATCTTTGACTTGGGTAAGATTATGAATGCATGACTAACTAGGAACAGAGTATTTTCAAAATGTAGTACGAGTAGTATTATATATATGTGTCTCACCGCCAGGATCTTGTCCCCTTCATTGAGTCGTCCGTCCAAACCAGCCGCTCCATCGTCTTTAATTTTGGACACGTATATTCCACTGTCATTCAGCACATACTCCTGATCCATACCCCCCACTATATTGAATCCCAAGCCTATAAACACAACAACATAAACACACATTAGCATGAGATAGAGGATTTAAGTGTATCTGGGTCAAAGTTGATGATTCAATCATGATATCTATCTCAATGGATCAAAGTGCAAGAGGCTTCGGACACTGTAACCGACTGATACTGAGATAACTTCACTGATACTTCACTATATGTTACATAATGGGACTGAATCAAATACTCTCACTTGAAGCCAGTGATGTAAAGTAACTAAGACTGTACTCAAGTACTGTACTCAAGTACACTTTTGAGATACTTGTTCATGACTTTAGTGTTTCAACTGTATGCAACTTCGTAGATAGGTAGATACTTTATTTATCCAAAATTGGTAAATCATGTTGTCAAAGTAGCCGTGTTGTCAAGCATTACACTAGATTTTACAAGTTAAAAATATTTAAAAGATATAAGAAACAAATAAAAATAAACATTCATTTTAGCAACAACTATATACAAAATCACAATAGAAAGAACATATATCACTAGAGTATCTACATCATTGAATAAATTGAATACTCAATACAATATACATACTCACTAAGATACAGCAATATATAGAACTTGTACTTCTACTCCACTACAATTCAGAGGTAAATGGTGTACTTTTACTCCATTACATTTATTTAATACCTTTACTTACTTTACAGATTTTGATTAATGATGTGAAATATAATCAAGTGTTAAATCAGACTTTAGTTCCACCTGGAGTAAATTCACAAGCTGCCCTGCAGTATACAAAGTCATTCAAACTAGCTGCACCTTTACCAGCTTTGAGAACACTTTAATGATCAATCATTATAAAACATATCATATTTATTATTCTGAAATGGACCAATCTGCACAATCACTACTTTTGGTACTTTAAGGATATTTTGATGCTAATACTTGTGTACTTTGACTTGAGTAACAATTTTGATTGCACGACTTGTAACAGAGTATTCCTACACTTTGGTACTTCTACGTTTACTCAAGTACAAGATCTGAGTACTTCTACTTTTACTGAAGTATAAGATCTGAGCAATTCTACTTTTACTTAAGTACAAGATCTGAGTACTCCTCTGACCTCTGATCACTTCAAGCTGAATAAACTTTGAATGGAGAAACTGTCAGATAGCATCAGGCCAACAACACCGCTACTTTTAAAACAGCCCTGAAGTCATTATTTCTTTAATTAAACTAACACATAATAGTTTTACTATCTTCAACAACCTCACTGCAACAGTTTTAGTGCACTATAACACATATTATGAAGTTTTATTCGCACATTAGCCGTTAGCTTCACTGTTTGACAGCGTTGATTTGTAGCTGCTACTTAGCTAAGCTAACATGCTAACTGTGCGTCCGACTATTCAGTCCGTGGTCTTCTTACCCGCAGTGCCTCGCTTCAGCTTTATGTCCAACATGTTGGATGGCAGGGAGCCGTTCATGTTGTAAAAGATAGCAGACAGATGTTTAATAAGTAGAAGAAGGGACAAACTATTTATCTGAAGGTGAACTCATTGAGGAGTTTCGTTTTCTTCCTCCGGAGGATGTGCTGCCGCCTGACGGACAGAGGCGGAACCTTTGAATCACAGATAGGCATGAGAAAATAATCCGGACTGCTAGGAACCTTTCAATAAATGGATATTACCAGAGGTGGAATAGATACCCAGATCCTTGACCTGAGTAAGAGTAGAAATATGATAAAGAGTACAAATTAAAAATATCAAAATTCTAAAAAGCTCTGAAAAAAACGCCTGAATTCTATAATAGTCATAATAAAAAATAAAAAAAGGCAAAATTCTAAAATAATTCTGAAAATGTCTGAAGTCTTGAAAAAAAGTCAGCTTTCTGAAAAAACAGATTCTTTTTTTTTTAAAGTGAGAATTAATAAGAAATTCTGAATTCTGAAAAAAAGTCATAAATCCCCCCCAAAAAGCTGAAAAAAGTCAGAATTCTGAAAAAAAGTCTGAATGATAAAATAAGAATGTCAGAATTGAAAAAAATGCATGAATGTTTAAGGTCAGAATTCTGAAAATAGTCCAAATCTAAAAGAAAAGTCAGAATTGTCAGAGAAAGTCAAAATTCTGAAAAAAAGGACATCAGTGTGATTCTTTCTAATGCACAGAAATAAAACCCGTATAGAAACATTCGTAACAGGGAAAGTATTATTTATTAAGTGCACAGGCAAGAAGCTCATGAAGAGTGTACAATACTCTGAATCAAACAGTCAGTCCTTTTTTATTTGTTGCCCTTTATTTTTATTAGCATACATTATCTCAAAATATTGTTCCACCTTTATCTTTGGCAACATTAATTTGAGGCTCGCTTTTTAAGACTTCAACATGAAATCAATCATTCGTAAAACCTTGACCTCGGGAGGATTAATAGTGAGGAAAGCAGAGTATAAATATATTTGAATAAACTTCATTATTGACCTGCTGAATGTAAAGAGGGGAAAGGTTTCAGGTTCACACTCATGCATTAAAAGGCTGATCCAGATCCAAAATACAGCAAACTATTGGTAATATCCAGCTATTTCTTTATTAGGTATAAGTTAGTATTTCTAAAAGGGAAAGTTCACGGCAAAATTATAAACATTTCTCGACTAACTTCAGTGCTTATCATCCAAATCTAGAAAGTTAAAGTGTGAGTTGCAGAGAATTGAAGATTTCAGTCACAGGAGGAACTATTTTCTTTCGCACATGCTTCTTTCTGCGTAGTGAGACGTTAGAAATAAAATGATCCCGCCATGAAACGGCTCACATAATCTGAGGGTTATATTTGTTAACAGTAATGACTTTTTGGAAAGAGGCATAGCTGTTGAGTTTTGAATTCTTTTATTTTTTTTAACGCTTTGAGAACCACTACGATAAACTCAGACCTGATTTTGATCTTACATGCACACAAACCATAGACCACACTTCAGGAGAGGGAAAACACCAAAAGGCATAACAGAGCGTACATTCCCTCGGATCTCAACCACTCACACTAAAACTAATCTAAATTGATAAATAGCACTATAAGTGAGTGAACTGTCCGTTTAGACAGCCTGTTTTATATTCACTACTTTACTATTGTTAAGTCATAAAATATATCTGATTGTGAGTTGCAGAAAAACTAAAAATTCCTATCATCCAGCAAAAAAAAAAAGGGAGGACAACATGTGTAGACCTGCGTTAATCTGCCTAACGACCGAGTGCCAGGTGAGCACTTCTCTGAATCTTATGAAGCCTCCGTCAGAGGAAGGGTGTGTGCAGGTCTCCGGAGCAGCGAGTGTGTAGCAGCTCTGGGGTCAGATCATGTTGGGGGCCACGCTGTGGAGCACCATGTCCCCCTGCACCCTCAGCAGGGTCACCTCCTCCATGCCCCCCACTCTGTGCTCGAACTCCAGCAGGTGGGAGCCGTCCACCGCCACCTTAAAGCAGTCCTCGTCCACCAGGATCTTCAGCTGAAGGAGGGCAGAAAATACACTTTAGAACAGGGGGGTCCTAACCTTTTCTCCCCGAGGGCCACATAAAGAAAAATATACGAAGGTCTGGGCCACTCACTAGAGGTATGTTGCCTCATAAGTTCAGTTATAAGTTAGCAAAATCAACCAAATGTAGGTTCATTATGCTTGTGAGTGTTGGCAGCTCATCCCTTAAAGCAGAAGCCTCAGATTGATTATAATAAGGAGAAATAGGAAGTGTGTATTTCAAGCTTGTTAATAAGTCATTGGGCTTTTTTCTTATCAACTAAGATATGTGAGAACATTTTTCCAACTTTAATTGACTGAATTTATTTGAAAAGTGGTCTTATTAACACATGAATACTACTGTGTGATATATTTTTACATTTCTAGTTAAGAAGTACAATATAAGACAAGCACAAGTTTCATTTGTGGGCCGTATTCCATTATACTTTTTTAATTTGCTGAGGGCCGATTCAAAATGGTCCCCGGGCCGTAGTTTGGACACCCCTGCTTTAGAACAACAAGCCTAACACAGGTTAGTTGAATACTTGATTCTGATTGGTCAATTTGGACATTCATCAGTCTGCTAAGGATGCTCTGATCTATTTGCAGTCAAATCCATCCGCAGAAAGAAGTCCGGTCAATTAAACTTCAGCTGTGGCCAAAAAACATTAGTTTTCCTCCATCAGAAAAGACCAGGAAATCATTTTGAATATTATTTTTCTTATTTGTGGAGAGCAGGAAACTTTGGATTCATGGTGGCTCAAATTAGGAAAATACTTGGCGGACATATTTTAGAGTTATGATAGTTACGAGAACTCATGTTACTTATGTTATTATTAGAATCAGAAAGCTTTTATCTGTCCCTCAGTTGGGAAATATACAGTGTTGTAGAAGCAAGGTAAGGATAAAAGCAGATAAAAGAAATAATAGATATCTGTCTATTCGAGTCAGTGAACGTCTGCTGTTTAAGGTATAAAAGCAAAAGTGAAAACAGTTTAAAATATTGTGTTATATTGTCAATTATGTGTATCCCTCACTTGACCAAACGCTGTAATGTATCATAGAAAAAGGAAAAACAAGTGACATTGACATTTTATGTACAAAAATAATACGAAATATAAGTATATTTGGATGTTTTGAGATTTCAAACCCTTTACCTCGAAGCGGCGGCCCTGTCCGAAGGGGAAGTGTCCGTCCCGCTCCTCCGGGCCCCAACACCCCCCCAAGTTGGAGTTTCTGATGATGGTTTGCTCGGAAAATCGAGGATTGAAGTGAAAGACGACGTCTGAACCTTTAATGAAGTCAACCTGGAACCTGCAGGAGGTGAAATCAGAAAATTATCACTTATTTTAAAAGATTGTTTTAATTGTGCTCAAGAGAAGCCTCAATTCACTGCCAACAACAATCTGTTCTCGATCCAGGCAACGTCCTTAAAATCAAGTTAAAGACCCAACACAGCAGTTTAACACAAGAATTAAACTTAATGCATGCAATATAATATCATTATAATGCATTATAACTATACGATTTTCATACAAATGACCGCAAATAAAAGATAGAATTCTTTATAAATATTGTTTACGGATATATTATGTTAGATTTATTACATGGCTTAGTTGAATACTCGAAATACTGAAAATTAAGGCTATCAACTTTTAATACTTTCAAATCTGTAATCAAAAAGCTCCACAAAACGCTATTGAAGCAGTTCCTGCCGTTGCTACGTAGTTCAAACAGTAACAACGGACTATTTTTCTTAGCGGATGCATGTCATTTTAAATCAATAATAGCCTTCTATTTTTTTAAATCAATAAAAAAAAATTCTAAATCTATAAAAGCATTTCAATTAATATTGGGAGTCATATCGTTACTTTGAGAATGTGGCCGTGTAATAAGCGGGATAATGTGCAGCGACTTGGTCATGATGGGGAAAAGAACACCCTTCATGCTGGCAAGCCTGTCGGGTGTTCTTTTCCCCAGAATGACCGCCTCGCTGCACATTATCCCTTACGTATTGCTACAATGCATTATATTATAAGTAAGATTATAGAAATGGGCATCATAGAAAGTGATACTACTAATCACACCAAAAAAAAATAAAAAAAAATAAAAGGTAATTAAACGTAAAAGGTACCGACATTATTCACAATATAGTACAGTAGAAAATTAAAAATTAAAACAGTAGACTCTGAAAACACAATTAAAAATAAACCTGAAAATAAATAAAGCAATTTGAATTTGATAAACAAATAAATCAGTGTGAACAGCATAATAAAATATTTAAAGTGTGTATACCTTTCTGCACCGGGAACAGGCTCTGCTTCTATCGTGATGACGAGTTGTGGTAATATTCCAGAGTGAAGAGGAAGATCATACGGCATCATCTGCAGGAAATAATAACATTTAAAAATCACCAAAATACATTTAAATTCCTGTTTGGAAATTAAGTCAAATAAATCATAATGACAAATTGTGATTGACTTTTTATTAATCAAAATACAGAAACAAGTGAACAGTGTTTACCCCGTTATATGATAGTAGAATTGCTCACATTTTATCTCTGTCTGATAAACAGCCTTAGGAATACTTCTGAGTTTACAGATACTTCTTATGGAGGGTATTTTTAGTTAAACATTATTCAAGACTTCCACCCTGCCCACATTCCTGTGTACGAAACACCCAAATGATTCATCTTCTCCACTTAGTTCAAAACTCTGACGTCATCCATAATGACTAGACAAGAAAAGGTCATAAAGTAAAGTCAACATTTTAACTGCAACAAGTGAACAAAATGACACGCAACAAAAAAGACTTGTGAATTATAACCATGTACAAAAGTTACAAGGAAGTGTGGAAAGATATATTTAATCAAAACTGTGATTTTATAAGAGAATACAAAACATTGATATGAGTTTCTGTGTAAAAGTAAATCATATTGCACTTAATTCAAACAATACGTTGGCAGACTGAATTTAATCTGCTTTTTGTGTGAGTATCCACATTTCGTTGATTCTGGAGGTGACGTCCGTGTCCGACTGAAAACTTGAGTTCATTGCTTTCAATTATACGGTGGATTATATCTGGGCTGAAAGACAAGAATAAATGTTTTGATAACTATGCTTGAATATTTATTGATTCTGCTTCATGTATTTGCTTTGCACCCCAGCAGAGCCCAAGAAGTAGAAGAAATAATCAGAAGGCAGCCTCACTGAAAATATATAATCCCAAAGTAAATCCCAACAAGGCGGGAAAATAACGTTCTTCTTCCACCAGCACACACCACACCATCTCAAGTACTCAAGAAGAAACCTTATACTAGAGTAAAGACAAATATTTAAAATATATATATATGACCAATGCCGATAACTAAAGAGCAGGGCGGCTGGTTTTTTGCTGTGTTTTTTAAAACTGATAATATACTAATATTTATTAATAATAACACATTTCTGAATTTAAATACACATCTATAGTAGATCTGATAAATGGTATTATATAAAACTTTGGAATGTAATAAAAAAAACCTTTATAACAAAAAAATATGTACTTTCTTGCACTTAACAGCAAGCATCATTAATACAAGATTTGTATCTTATATAAATAAAGAAGTTGGTGGCTGAGTGAAATATATTTAATAAAATAATGGTCGGCATTCTGAGCGCAGGCATCAGATTATGTATTTATCTCAAAATTCTTTGTATTAGCCTGGTTAACTGGCCATTGTATTATTTGGTTAACCTCTAATCTAAATATGACAGCAGGGGGACTGCTAAAGTTTTTGGCAGTGACGCTGGAAGTAGTTTCCCAAAGACCTGAAACCATGAGAGTCTCCAGCAGAGTGAAACCATGAGAGAGAGAGAGGCAGCCGAAAGCAAGCAGCAGATTACTGAACAGAGAGAGACTCACCATGCCTCCTGGAGCGGGTGGACCCCCGTATGGACCCATGGGTCCGGGGCCGGGGCCGAAGCCGCCGGGGGCCGCAGGGTATCCTCCGGCTGCAGGGGGGCCCCAGGACCCGGTGGGCATGGGAGGGAAGCCTCCAGCAGGGAATCCTGGGAAAGCTCCAGGGCCGGCTGCGGGGGGGAATGCACCCGGACCCCCCGGCCCGTACATCCCGTTTCCTCCGGGCTGACATCCAGGATAAGGCGGCAGATTTTGATATGGACCAGGGGGGGCTCCGGGGCCAGAGGGAAAGGGTCCGGCTGGGTAAGGGGCAGGGCCTCCGGGGAGCTGTCCTGGAGCTCCTTCAGGGGGATAATGCCCGGGGTACTGAGGGGGGAACTGCCCGGGAAACTGGCCCGGGGCTCCAGGGCTAGAAGGGAACTGTCCTGGAGCTCCAGGTGCAGGGGGGTACTGTCCGGGGATCCCAGGCCCGGGGTGGAAGCCTCCAGGGGCAGAAGGGGGTCCCGGGTACTGCCCTGGTGCTCCGGGGCCACCAGACTGATATGGGAACTGCCCCGGGGCCCCCGGCCCGGAGGATCCAGCAGGGTATCCCCCTGGACCTGGAGCTCCAGCGGGATAACCCCCTGGACCTGGAGCTCCAGCGGGATAACCCCCTGGACCTGGAGCTCCAGCGGGATAACCCCCTGGACCTGGAGCTCCAGCGGGATAACCCCCTGGACCTGGAGCTCCAGCGGGATAACCCCCTGGACCTGGAGCTCCAGCGGGATAACCCCCTGGACCAGAGGATCCAGCGGGATAACCCCCTGGGGCAGAGGGCTGGGTGGGGGCTCCGGGGGCCGAGCCGGGCCACCCCGGGTTAGCAGGAGGTTGATGGTTCCCTGCCGGAGCCGACGGGTTGGTGTTTCCCATGTTCTTCGCTTTGCTCGGAGTGTCGTCTGCCAACGCGTCTGTCAGCTGGAGAGAGAAAGTGACAGGGACTCTTGATTATTTAAGATGGGGATTCTTTTCTAAATGAATCCATTAATTGTGTTGTCTACATGTCAGAAAAATTCATCTTTATAATGCATTGTTTTACAAGTACAAAACCTAAAGGTAAGATGAGACTGACCTAGGTACAGATATGAACTTTTCTAGAATATATAGAAGAGAAAAGCAGGAAATCTCCAGATTTCAGAAACTCAAAACAGCATTGACTGACATGTATACATTACTTAGATTAACCGATCATAGAAATAGTTGTTTATTTTCTTCTGGATACACTAACCATTACAGCTTTACTACGTTTACAATAAAGGAAGGTGAAACCATTTAAACGGTTCAATCCTTTAAACTCACCGAGAAATCTGCCATGATCTAAAAGAAAAACACAAGATGGAAACTTTCATTAGTTATATGAGTACGTTGTAACAACCAATTATACATTCCAATCAAATAAAACCTTGAATTACTTCTTGTTTGTTTGTAGCCTTTATTTAACCAGGTAAAATCCCATTGAGATCAACGATCTCTTTCAAGGGAGACCTGCAGCACGTTGGTTACACATAAAAACAACAGCAAACAAAAAGGACATCATACAACATAATTACAGGGGTACAAATTAGAAACCTATTCACAATGACAGGTATCAAATAACATTTCATCCAGCCGCGCTTTAAAATTATGCAAGGGAACCAAAATGCTCAGTTTCAATTTTTGTTGAAGAGTGTTCCAAGCTAGAGGAGCAGCGCACATAAAAGCTTTAGTACCTAAAACAGTCCTAGCACTTGGCACATGTAATAAAAACACATCCTGGCCTGGGATCTCAGGCAATAGCTACTTGCGACTCTCTGTGAGATCAGAAAGCGGATATAAGTTGGGAGTTTACCCAACATGGCTTTATAGATAAACATGTACCAGTGACAGAGCCTCCGTACAGTAAGTGAAGGCAGACCTGCCCTGGCATACAGGGTACAGTGATGAGTAAGTGCTTTACGATTAGTAACAAATCTCAGTGCACTGTGATAGGCGGCATCTAACTTGATCAGGTAATGGGCAGGTGCATTCATATTAGGGATGCCAGCGATTATTCGATTTTTCGAATATTCGTTACAGTCTCCATAATCGAAAATTATTTTTAAAATTCGATTTTATTTATATATTTTTTTATTATTATTTATGTTTTTCTTTTTTTTCCTGGCTTAGTTTCAACCAAAATATAGACTAATGCTAATAATAGTAATAGTATTAATAATTGTAAATGGCCATTGGTCACACCACCAGTTTGTTTTACTGTAAACTTGGAGGAAGCCGCAGAGTGCAGACTGCTGCTGCCTGGTGCAGACTGCTGCTGCAGCCTGCTACACACCGACCCCGCCCCCCCCCCCCCCCCTTCTCCGTCTCACGTGCGATTGATTTATTGGCGATATACAGAACAGTGAGAACAACACAACTAAAGAGGAACAAAGCGGCACGTTCAAAGAAGAGTTCCTCGTGGAACTACTTCGAACTGACAAGTGCAAACGAAGTAAAATGCAAGCTCTGCGAAAATACTTTTTGTTTTTTCTCTCCCGCGGGGGGGGGGGGGGGGGGGAGGGGGGTTGGGCGAATAATCGATTAATATTCGCCAGGGCTGTCCGATTTTCAAATTTGATCATGGTCAGTTTCTGGCATCCCTAATTCATATAGATCAGATCACCATAGTTCAGCACAGGTAAAAAGGTCACAGAGACTTTTCCTGGCCTCAAATGAGAAACAGGACTTGTTTCTGAAAAAGAAACCTAGCTTCACCCTCAGTTTTTTAAGCAGGTTATTGACCTGAAGTTTAAAAGAGAGGCAATCATCAAGCCAGATACCAAGGTATTTATAACAGACAACCACTTCAAGTATTTTTCCTTGCGTAGTTAAAATATCCAAAGCAGTCTCTGGTGTCTTTTTGGCTTTTGAAAAAAGCATTACCTTGGTTTTATCAACATTTAAAAGAAGCTTTAGTTCAGAGAGCTGAGTCTGAATAATATTAAAAACAGCCTGTAATTTAACAACTGCCTCCTTAATGGAGGGACCTGCACAGTACATCACGGTATCATCTGTATAAAAATGTAAAGTTGCTTCATCCACATTTTAACCTAAGCTGTTTATATAGATGGAGAATAAAAGTGGACCTAAAACAGAACCTTGAGGAACACCATTTGTAATGTTTAACCACTCAGAAGACAGCCCATCAAAATGAACACATTGGGACCTTTCAGAGAGGTAGTTCACAAACCACCCCACTGCATGGCTGGATATACCAATACTGGCCAGCCTCAGCTTCAAGATATGATGATCGACGGTATCGAACGCTTTGGAAAGATCAATAAAAAGAGCTCCACAACTCTGCTTTTTGTCTAAGATATTAGCAATATCATTCACCACTTTCATTGTGGCAGTGATGGTGCTATGTTGCTTTCTGAAACCTGACTGATGTTTACATAGGAATAGGATGTCATTTTTATATAAAAACACCTTTACCTGCTCACTCACTAGGCTTTCAAGAACCTTGGCCAGAACTGATAATTTAGAGATGGGCCTATAATTATTTAATAAGGTGGCCTCCCCACGTTTTAGTAGAGGCAGGACATAAGCTGACTTCCATACTTTTGGAACTGTGTTCGTGCTGAGGGAGAGGTTAGCAAGAGAAGTAAGAGGTGGTGCAATAAAATCTGCAGCTATCTTTAAAAAGAAAGGTTCTACGTTGTCCGGACCAGCCGGTTTCTTAGGATCTAACTTTGATAAGGCTTCATGAACGGCTTCAATAGAAAAAGGAGAACAACTGAAGGGGTTTTCCAAACCACGTTTTTCAGAGTCACAGACTGTGGTGTTCACAGTAGCAGAGTTAGTAACAGAATCAAACAGAGAGCCACAGGACACAACATTCACATCATTAAAACAATTGAACACAGTGGCCCTGTCCGATATAGTGCCAGATGCTGTGGTAAGGCAAGGAGGTAGCTCATTACGGATTTCACCGGTGGATAACGATTGTATGGCTTTCCAACATTTTCTAGGATTATTCAGGTTCTTTGTGGTAACTGACAGAAAATACTTAGACTTAGCACTTTTGATTTGTGATGTGAAGCTATTTCTTAGCTGCCTAAACACATTAAATGTTGAGGCCTTATTTTCAAAGATGCCTTAATTAAATTAAGCACCAAAAAACCCAAATATGAACAAAACTAAAACATGAAAGAATAACAATAAGACAGCCAATAAGAACACAATACCAAAAACAAGTAGTAAATAAAACAATCATATGCCACAACATTAACATTTATAAGCATATTTCTAAAAAAACACATTTATAATCCAAAGTGCGTTGTGTTTTTGGGAGTTTCAAAGCTGTCAGCAGGGCTGGTCTCAGGCTGACTAAGTGTTTCCATCCCCGCCTGCTGACCAAATAAACACATTTGGACACAGCCGAAATACATTCACTCAACTTAAATATCATTATGAGAAGTTACACAGACTGACTTTAGCTGCATGTTTTTAAATGATCCAGTTAACAGATAGTTGGCTATTAGCTGTTAGCAGCTAGCTGCTAGCTTGTGTGTTATATTAGCTCCTCGGTGTTAAAAGAGAGTAAAAACTGATATTTAATGTTACCTCTCAGAAGATGGACTCCTCTCAGGTGCTGTGTGGGTAAACAGGGAGGATTAGTGCAGCTGTTGGGACTCAGTTAGCCTGCTAATTTAGCCTCCCGAGGCAGAAAACTACAAGCTAACGTCAGCTCTGCTCTCACAACTACAACTCTGGAGCAGGAAGCGCGCACACGGTGATGACGTATTCTGATGGCTGGGCGCGTTCCCGAACACACGCAGATAATGTACACACCCCAACAAATTAAATACATTTAATTAAAGTAAAAAACAATTATAGTTGGACAATTATGTTATGAAAATGTTTCAAAAGTAAAAAACGCATTTGAAAAAACCATACGATTATTTGATGTTCCTTTCACTGGTGTTAGTACATTTACTCAAGTACTGTACTTAAGTACAATTTGGAGGTACTTGTACTTTACTTGAGTATTTCCATTTTATGCTACTGTGTACTTCTACTCCACTACAGTTCAGAGGTAAATGGTGTAATTTTACTCCACTACATGTATTTAATACCTTTAGTTACTTTACAGATCTGGATTAATGATGTGAAATATAATCAAGTGTTAAATCAGACTTTAGTTCCACCTGGAGTAAATTCGCAAGTCATTCAAACTAGCTGCACCTTTACCAGCTTTGAGAACACTTTAATGATCAATCATTAGAAAACATATCATATATATTATTCTGAAATGGACCAATCTGCACAATGACTACTTTTACTGTCGCTACTTTAACTATATTTTGATGCTAATACTTTTCTACTTTCAATTGAGGAACATTTTGAATGCAGGATTTTTACTGTAACAGAGTACTCCTACACTCTGGGACTTCTACTTTTACTCAAGTACAAGGTCTGAGTACTTCTACTTTTACTCAAGTACAAGAACTGACTACTTCTACTTTTACTTAAGTATAAGAACTGACTACTTCTACTTTTACTCAAATACAAGATCTGAGTACTTCTACTTTTACTCAAGTACAAGAACTGACTACTTCTACTTTTACTCAAGTATAAGGTCTGAGTACTTTTTCCACCTGTTTTTTTTGTAACCTCATTGTGTTGGATAGCTTAATTTTAAATAATGTACTTTTAAATGAAGCTTATTCTCCTTGTAAAACATGTCTAAAGCACAGTGTGTAATAATAAAGTATGAGCAGAGGTTTATGACCAAGTTATAAAGGGGGGGTGCTTGTTTCTGATTGGTCAAACCAGTCACAAGATGATGTGAAGTTAAAAAAAAAACATTGAAAGCGTCTCTACCATTCAGAGCAGCTGCAGAATCAGGGATTTCTCTTTAACGCTACAATAATGGTAAGTTATTCCATATTGTTCCGAGGTATATGAGGTAATTTCCCCTTCTGGTTTCCCACCGCTTAATAGTGTGTTTTTAATTAATGCAAAGTTCTGGGGATTATTGAGGAAAAAGTGAGGTTTGGCAGATTGACTAGCGCTAGCCTGTTAGCCTAGCATGAGTTCCACCCTCCGTCCATTGTATCAGCACGAAGCTAGCCATAATACAAAGGATGCGCTTCCGGTTGTGGATTTCAAAATGAAACTACGAAGAAACATTGAGGGAAATCATGAACGCAACAAATTAGAGCAAATAACACCATTTGAAAAAGAAAATCTTAAGTACAATTGAATACGTAAAACAGCGATATATATATACCTTTTTGAATACTGTAAAAACAAGTGAAGTAATTATCACAAATACATATTATAATGTGATTTACAATATTAAGAATACAAAATAATATTCAATATACAGATATACAAATTAATCTAGTTGTGCTATATATATCAGTAAACAACTCCTACTTAATAAACTGGTTAACTTTTTAAGTTAAGCATCAAACAAAAAATAATGTATTATGGCATCAGACATGAATGCTTTTATTTTGAAGTGCTTCCTGTAGTTATGTAGCTAAACCTGGTTAGTTTGTCGAAGCTAACAGTGATGTGTTTCAACACGTCTGGGTTCGGAGAGCTTTCTCACTAGATCTCTTATCATGATGAGTTATGTTTCTGAATACGTATCATGACAGCTCGACATTCTTCAGAGCCAAAGATGTGTCTAACTTTTACACATGAAATGCTTTAAATGAACAGAATAGTCTTATTTCCGGGCTGAATTAGCTGATAGCAGTGAGCTAGCTGTCAGTGTGGCTGCAGGAATGTACACCAGAAGTGAACCTGTGGCCACCTCCTGCTTTTACTGTCCTGCCCCATCATCTGCTCGTGCATGCATCCTGCTTCCCCTCTCCCTCTCTCCCAGCCACAGACTCTCCTGTTTAATCTGCAGAGATCTGTGTGAGCTCAGTGAAATCCTCACTCCCACCAGCCATCTGTGCAGGAAGGTGTAATTATAGAGGGGAGTCTGCAGAGAGTTTTAGGTTTTTTGTGCTGCAGTTATGTAACGTGACAACTCAATCCTGTTGAGACTGGAGTTTTGTGTGTTCTGTCTAAATAAAGCCTGTGGGTCAGACTGGAACTTCTGCAGAAAGATAGTTCAAATAAGATAAGATAAGATAAGATGGTACTTTATTGATCCCAATTTGGGATGTTGTTGTTGTTGCAGCAGCATAAAAGACAAGGCATTTTACAATAAAACAAAACAAGAAAAGAAAATAGAAAATATACATGTTGAATTTGACAAGATATTATATATACAAATATATATATGACATGGAATATTAATATTAAATATTGAACAGATTATATATGTGTAAAATGTACAACGTGGTTTTATTACAAGAGAAACTATGGAGCAGAGAGTTCTCTTCCAGCCAGAGGTGATTTATTGGACATTGTAAATAAGATTTTACTATTGCTAATTCAGATGCTGACGTATTGCTTTACAGACGGGCAATTAATTACATGAAAAACACTTGAAGCTACAGTACACATGATTTAATTTCAAACCTTTATTTATCCAGGTTGTATCCCATTGAGATCATTGATCTCTTTTTCAAGGGAGACCTGCTCAAGTAGGTTCCACATGAAACATTAAAAACATAAACAGAGCAACAAAAGGACATCATACAGTAGCATTACAGGGATTACAATTTACATACTATCCACATGAACAGGTACCAACAGCTTCCGATTCAGTAGCATCCAACCGAGCTTTAAAAACATTTAGTGGCACCAGATTGCTCAGTTTCCATTTTAATTGCAGACTATTCCAGGACAGTGGAGCTGCGCATCTAAATGCTATCTTCCCTAAAACAGTCCTAGCAGTTGGCACATTTAATAAAACCACAGCATGCGATCTCAGCCAGTAGCCACTTACAATTCGCCGTGAGATCAGGGAGCAGATGTAGGATGGAAGTTTCCCTAACATGGCTGCCATGATGCCATTAACATACAAATAACACAAATCCCAAGACTTAAAAATCATCTGTCAGTAATACAAATGTCTTTCGGTGTAAAACAAAGTAATGAAAACCCAAAGTTCAAAAAGGTATTTATCAGCGATACAAATTTCCATCAGTTTAAAATAAATGGATCCCAACACAAGTGCAGAAAAGGTTTTCATGATAAGATTCCCTAAAAAGAATGTCAAAGTGAACTTTAGTGTCAATCTTTCAGTTTGTGTGTACAGTACAGACAGAGAGATCGAAATGACGTTTCCAACAATCCCGAATACAAAAATACAATTATACAGATATGTATACAAATATGTATATCCTATATACACACAACAGACACATTTACATAAGGTCCACCAAACATGTGTCCATTACTGCAGCACCTTTCTCATTATTAATAATATAAGTCATTGTATTTAGTTGTAAGTGCATGTATTTCCTGTTTCCATCAGAGTGAATCACTGGCGGTGTGTGATGTGGACGAGGATCTGGTGAAGAAGCTGAAGAAGTTTCGTTTCAGGAAGGAGACGAATAACGCCGCCATCGTTAGTGAGTGCTACGAATATCTCATGTTTATAAATGTGTTTTAACCCTCCTGTTGTCTTCGGGTCAAATCTGACCGATTTACTACTTTCATCAATCATAACTTTTTTGTTTTACATTCGATTGCATCAAGGCTTCATGATATCCTTCACAGTAGACGTTTGAACATATAAAATAGCTGATCACCACTTTCATTGAACTTTGGATGATTTAGTCAACTTTGTAACACCCATGGTGTTCAAGGTCAAACATGACCACCATAAAGAAAAGGAATTAGTAACCATCCGGATCAGATAAAACACACACATGCACACACACACACACACACACACACACACACACACACACATGTATATGTATGTATGTATATATATATATGTGTATGTATGTATGTATGTATGTATATATGTATATGTATATGTATGTATATATATGTATGTATGTATGTATATATATGTATGTATGTATGTATATATATGTATGTATATGTATGTATGTATGTATGTGTGTATGTATGTATGTATGTATATATGTATATGTATATGTATGTATATATATGTATGTATGTATGTATGTATGTATATATATGTATGTATGTATATATGTATATATATGTATGTATGTATGTATATGTCTGTATATATATATGTATGTGTATATGTATATGTATGTATGTGTATATGTGTATATATATATATATATATATATATATATATATATATATATATATATATATATATATATATATATATATATATATATATATATGTATGTATGTATGTATGTGTATATATGTATATATGTATGTGTGTGTGCCCATCCCCCCACATGGATCACACCTGGCACACGCAATACATGTTCAGTGTCTATTCTTTGTATATTTACTGCAGTTTTTCATGTATACCAGTAGTCTGATACAATATGTACAGTTTGAAAGGGTGTTAAATGACATTTGGTGATGATTAATGTTTTTTGTGTTAATGTAATAGCAGTTAAAACAGGGCCGGTCAAATTTGACCGCAAACACCAAAGTAAGGGGGGGGAACGAAGACAATAGGATTAAAGTCAAACATAAATAGGATGGCTGCACAAAAATCTTAATATATCTTCTTTTTGCCAGGTTTCTTTTTAATTCAACCTTTTAGTATTTCATTATTTTTCATACTTAATTCTTACTATGTGTTATTTTTTTATTCAACATTATTTTATTATTTGTTGCCCCTCAGTGAAGATCGATAAAGACAAGCAGCTGGTCATTCTTGAAGAAGAGCATGAGGTAAGTTAGCCATTAAACTCACACATCGCTCTGCATCAGCTTTAAAAGTTAAACTTTGTGCTAATCTAGATAAAGTTTTACTCCGAACATGACACAACAGAGAGACTGTACTTTGAACATCTGTCTTTTTTTTTTTTAAAGGACATTTCTCCTGATGATCTGAGGGAGGAGGTTCCTGAGAGACAGCCGAGATATCCTTTCAATATGTGACTTATTTTAATAATCATTTTTAATCTTACCTTGCAGTCTGTGGAGTTAATGCACTCACAGCAGCTACTGTTGTTTATTATCAAGTAAAAATACATTTTAAAATTGATTCACTACAGGTGAATAGGGTAACAAATGTACCAAATGAAATCACCATGAAACTTCCTCTCTTCATTACTGACATTAAAGGTCACCTATCATGCTATTTTTAGGCAATACCATAGGTCTCAGATATATAAAAATATATAAAAAACATGTCTATGAAGTGTTTTGCTCAAAATACCAAACAGATCACCCATTCTAGCCATGCCTCATATCCCTCTATTCCACTTCCTGTTTCAAAAGTGCTGATTTGGGGTATAAAGCTTTAAAGGGCCCATGTCAGCTTTTCCAGTTATTACCCGTCCCCTTGTGTGTTATGAAGGTTTTTCTGCATGTAAACTGTCTGCAGAGTCCTGACCGATCAGAGCACACTGGGCTCACAGGGAGGGGGGGGGGCAGGAGCTCCAACAAGCCGTCTAGGACAGAGGGTGAATACACATGCTATACAGAGATGCTGTATGAGAAACCAATGTGAGTTTGGAACATTGCACAATATAAATCTATTCTAGTAGACCTCAACAATGGAAATATGATCAGTAGAAATGGCCATGACATGGGCCCTTTAAAAAAAAAAAAAATTTGATAAAAAATAAAAAAGGAGGGGGCTGAGCTCATGCGGGACCCGGCAGCTACTGTCTAAACTAAATACTGCCGTGATGAAACGCCATATCATGGATTATCAAGGATTATTTCTGAAACAGTATGGAGCTCAAAGGCTTTCTCTCTTGCCGGTTATACCACAAGGTGAGTTCCTTTTTATTTCCTGCTTCTTCACACCCATGCTCTCCAGTACAGGTTAGCTCTGAGTGTTAGCGATGCTAATGTAAACACCGACCATATTACGTCCAAAACAGTCGGGCATTGTTTCTGATAGCAACGTTTCTGATAGGGCCGTGGGTGTCGATATTACGTCATATCGGACGCAAATCTGGATCAGCTCGTTGTACCCCCGTTTTTAAAAGATTTGGGTACGGAGGAAAAGAGAGAGGGTTTTATTTTCTGACGCTGCGTGAGTTCCCCGACACACCGGGGACACATAGTTATGTATAAAAGACATCAAAAAGTGAATTTTGCATGATCGGTCCCCGTTAAATAAACTTTTGAAAGTGGATTTTTGATGTTGTCATTGACCAGATGTGTTGAGCCTTAACATGTTGTTTTAGTTATTAGGTATTAAGTGAAGACAGTTAAGTTCTTCATATCTATTTCTGTCTGGACTGCTCTTTGTTTCAATGAATTTCAAAGTGAACTGTCCTTAGCACGAGGAACATTTATCCTCTACAGTTATAAATACGTACACGACGACGGACGCGTCTCCTATCCTCTCTGCTTCATCTTCTCCAGCCCAGCAGGTAATAAAGCACTTTTTAAAAGAATGCAACATTTCGTTTTCTGCCATTTTCTATCATCAGGGACATGTTTGTTTATGTTTGTGTATTTGTGTTGGACAGGTTGCAAACCAGAGCAGCAGATGATGTACGCGGGAAGCTTGAACAAACTGGTGCAGACTGTGGAGCTGACCAAGGTGAGTGAGCTGCCTCCGACTGTGGTGCTCAATCATAAGTACCTTTTGTATTTGGGACTTTAATCTTTATAGTATTTTAGGTTTTTTTCTCATAAATGTGTTACTTTCTTCTTGTACATTTATCACTTAAATCCCAGGGAATATTTAAAATGTATTACTTTCTAATCTTAGAGAAAATGTGTGATACTTCCTCTTAAATATGTTAACTTTAATTTAATCAAATGTTATTTTTTTACCACTTTTATCCCAGAGAATATTTGAAATGTATGACTTGACAAGCTCAGAGAAAATTCCTGTTATTTCTTGTACATTTCTGACTTTAATGTCATACAATTAAGTGTTTTTCTCATGCATTTGGTAGTTTTTCTTTTAGATTTAACCTATAATGACCCCGATACGCCTTCCTACTTCTCCCTTATTGTGATAAATACATTTTATAATGTTTCTTTCAATGTTTTTTTCCCCAGGTGTTTGAGATCAGGAACACAGAGGACCTGACGGAGGAATGGCTCAGAGAGAAACTCGGCTTCTTCGGCTAAACTCCTCTCACCGGTGTTCGTGGATGGGAGGATGACGCACAACCTCTGGAGGAGAAAACAGTTAATGTCTCCTCCTCTGCACCAGACCTGATTCAAATACTGTTTCCAAATACCTTCAGTTTTACAGTTTACGGCACACTACAATTCAGTTTGAACTAATCCTCTCAAACTGAAAACACTATTTGACGCAGGTCTGCTTCGCTTTTCATACAATCTCTCCATGTGCCAGTTATGTGTCTGAATTAAATTAACACTCCAATAGCTCCTAAAAGATCTGAAATTAATCACTATCATCCGCCCTTATTGGCATGACATTCAGGAGAATGTAAAGGCATTATAACAACAGATTTACTTTCTTCCAGTCGTTTATTCACAGCGTTTCTCTAACTTACTTTTGGATTCTTTTTCTTTTTCTGGTGTATTTAGGGTTATATAATGTAACCAACACACTTCCTGCGAGAAGATAACATAGATAATAGAGTTTTAAGTCGGTCTCCCCTTCAGTATTAATTTAAGGGCATTTCAATTGTAACTTAGTTAGTTAGTCGACTAATAACCGATTATTCGTGGAGTAACAGGAAACCTCTCAAACATGGAGATTTGCTGCTTTTCTCATTTTTATATAATTAAATTAAAAAACAAAACATTTAAAGACATCACCTCAGACTTTGAGAAACTGGGATGGACATTTTTCTGACATTTTATACACTCAACATTAATCGATTAATCTACAGGATAATCTGCAGGTTAATTGATTTTGAAAATAATTGTAAATCCCCCCCCCCCCCTAAAACTGTCCCATAACTCTAAGAGCATTCCTAAAACGTGTGTGTTATGTGTTGTACCTCCTTCTGTGTTATCGCGTGGTGCTCATCACACTGCAGATCTTCTGTTTAGAGAGAAAACATGATGCATTATGGGTAAAGCTGTAATCTGCCTTTGACCTGCATATTTCTCACTCCTAAAAAAACAACATTTCTACTAAAGCATTCCAGATTGAACAATGTATACACACAACAAACCTCTGTCTATGACACACACACACACACACACACAGATTGTTAGCTAATATTGTGCATCATAGTTATTGCCGTTATTGCCGTTATTAGTGTTTCTGAATGTTGTTTCTCATCCTGATGTGATTTTGATCTCTTAGCACAGCGTTGACAATGTGACTTTATTGTAGGTAAAGGACGGCATCGGGGAAATTTACATTTTCCAACAGGGTTCGACCAATAAAGCTTTGTGACGGCTGATATTTCTGTTTCTGAATGTACCCAGCAGCTCCTATTCTGCGCCAAAAAAATCTAATATTTACAGTCCTGTCTCTTAAGTATTTTTACAGAAGCAGTAAATTCGTATTTAACGATTTTGTTGACTAATGGATTAGTACATTGAATTACAAGATTGCTTAAACTCCACAAAGACTCATGCAAAAGCTCCTCTAGTGTTGAAGCATTAAAGAACGATAAAACAATCTGTGAAATGACACAGAAACCAAAAAATTAGCTGAATAAACAAAGACTGAAATTACCTTTTATTTTTTATTTTCTAGCTTGAACACATTTCAAAGCGAATGCGCTGGATAACATAAATCGTGTCACTTTCCAAACACTTATGGACTCTATATTATGGACTATTGTATGTCAGTTTTTCCTGTGAAGCAGCATTTTAAACACACTTAAATGCATCTATTAACAGCAGGAAGACTAAACCCAGATAGTTGAAGCGACATGAAATGTACTTAACACAACTGTATATTTCTGGTGGTTTTATGTGAGAGAAACTTCCATTATCAAGATGTATACAGACAATAATTAGCACGAATGTATTCCTACAGTGACACTGCTAAGTCTACCATAACAAGGCCTTTCCTTAATTTTAGGTGTCGTCCTAAATACGAAAATGTAAAAAGGCCAAAAACTAAATATGTTTTGTAAAGGAGAAGCAGAAGGTTATGGGAAAAGCTTTGTTGGGATAATTTCGGTAGAGATTTGACTTAATGATATGTACGCACAATCACACATACCCATAACAATGGAGTGTAACTGTTATTTTATCTGCTGTTTACTGATGCCATCAAAGCTTAGATTTACACTGTCAGCTCAATATTAGTCAGTCATTAGAGTTAGTATCTTGCTGCTGTAGCAGAAAGTTAGTTTCTGTAGTCGAGCTGAAGTTATACAACATCCTTTAAAGGAATTGAACGTTTTAGCACACTACGACCTGCAAACCCCTTTACATTTTATTTGAAATGTGCAATCTGCTGATTTCAATGTGAATATAAAAACCTATTCTGCTGTTAACGAAACTCTTTGAAATGTGGAGAGCTACTGTAAAAGAGGTGCATGCTTTTAATGTGAAAGGGTTAGAAAGGCTTGAAAATAAATTTCACTCATACATGCTGCTCTGTTACATGCAATTTAAATGATTATGATCATTTTATAAGATTGAATTTATTTGCATATAAATTCCTAAAAAAGGGGGGGAACACCTGCATCTCAAACATCTGGTCTCAGCTGTTCTTGGAATATTTACAAGCACATTTTCACAGAAATGGGTTGAAATAGACTTCATTAAATCACATTTAAATACATTTTTTAATTTATTGTCTTTTTGGTTTTGTTCTTGGTTTTGTCCTGTGGATCTATAGCTGGCTTCCCTCCTCTGTTGTGACCTGTTGTATTTTTAACAGTATTTCCAAAGTGTTGTTCAGCTCTTGGTGTCTTCTCTGATGAAATGCTTACTTATTTTTCTTTCCTTTTGTAATAAAAAACACACCTGAGATGTATCATTACCAGCTGCCTCATGGCATCAGTGAAACTTGACATATTTGTATTTTCCATACTTGATAAAGTGTCTATTGTCCTGTTGTCCAAATAAAATGACAGTGATGTTTACCCCTCTGTTTTCTGGAGACTGTCGTGTGAACATGTTCCTCTATCAGATTCATCATTGACCTGAAAGTGAAAATATAAAATTAATATAAAACGAGCAATCATGGAAACAATTAAACCATGACAGGCCTTAGCAACAGTGATTTTACAGCTGAGTGGCGTTGTTAGGGCAACGATGTTCTTATATATTATATGTGTGGGAACCACCCACCACAGGCAATTTCAGTAACGTTGGAGTTGGAGTAGGAGAATATGCCCAGAAGCACATAAATTACTCCAGAAGATGGCAGTATTGCTACCAGCTAGCTAACTACTGACTGTAGAAGAAGACCAACCGACAAACCTCAGCCCGGTGACCGACTGCCTGCCTCTGCATCACCGCCACGGATCGAGCCAGGACCCGACCCACAGAACCGGAGGAAAAATGGCGTTCACATTCGCGGCCTTCTGTTACATGCTGGCTCTGCTGCTCACAGCGGCTCTTATCTTCTTCGCTATCTGGCATGTGAGTACACGTTTGGGGCCACTGTGAGATAAAGACTTTCGGCCCCTGGCACTGATTAAAAAAAGAGCCAGGAACGGCGATTTAAGACCGGGGCTAACGTGTATGCCAGGCCGTCTTTGGGGCATTTTCCCCGGGACATTTTTAACCGTTTTAACGTCTGGATTGGACGTTAGGTCCATAGCAACTGCCGCGTTTAGAAAAATACGTCACCTCAACCGTTCTAGAATGAATGGCATTATTACACTCAGCCGTTGGGCTAGGAGCTAACGTTAGCTAGCAGTAAAAAAAAACATCAACTAAAAACTATTAAATCGTTTTAACGTAACCCTCTTCTACTATGAATGTGTTATTAACCGTAGTTCTTATTAAATAACACATGTCTAATCATGTATCATGCCTGTTCAATTATTATAGATGAGATATTATTATCTGATAGCTTGTTAGCAGGCTTAGCTAACAGTAACGTCAAACTGTGATGGTGCTGTCAATCATCAGAGATTCTGTCTTTTTCCACAACATGTCACAGTTTCTTGTTTTGTTATTGTTTATTTTACTTTCACAATGTCAATATAATCAGTGCAGATTGTAAACTTTACTCAGTGGTGGGTAGTTGAGTAAATGTTCTTGAGTACATTTACTCAAGAACAATGTTGAGGGACTTGTATTTTACTTGAGGTAAATCAGTTACTATGGATTATAAACAACACTTAAATCAGACTTTAGTTACACCTGCAGTAAATTCACAAGCTACCCTGCAGTACATAATAATTACAACTAGCTGCACCTTTGATAACACTTGAATGCATCAATAATTATAATCAAGTAGTAAACTAAGTATATTTTGATGCTAATGCTTTTGTACTTTTACTTGAGTAACATTTTGAATGCAGGACTTTTACTTATAACATAGTTTTCCTACACTCTGGTACTTCCACTTTTACTTAAATTCAAGCTCCGAGTACTTCTGCTTTTACTTTAGTTGATCATTACTCAAAAGTTGCATTGTTAATGTAACACGTTTACCACATAAATATAGTTTGTTGGTGTAAATAAACATGAATTATGTGTCATTTAGAATAAAGAAAATTACATGGAATGTGGATGTGAACATATTATTAAATATCATGTCATTACGATGTTGTTACAGACAGTAGGTTTCAGTTGTAAACAACGAGAATATTTGGCCAATATGAGGCCATCTGTCCTACATTGCTATGAGGGGTAACGCTAAAACATTTAGTCTATAGTACAAAAATGTATCAAAAATATTTAAAAATAATTATTTGATTTCATCCTGGCATTTTACAGGATTTGCTGCTTTATTTATCAATTGTTTGTGACCATTTTGTCGGACAAAAATTACAATTAGCAAGCTTCTTTGCCTCTTGGAATTTATAATGGCCGTTTTTCACAATTTTCTTCCATTTAGTAAAATAGATTATGATTGATTCATTAGAGGGGAACATTACAGATAATTTCACAGTGAAAATAACCATTAGTTGCAGACCAATTTCGAAAAAAAGAAACATATCTATAGTATGAATGTTGCATATGAAGTTACTACTCTTAGTAAAAGATGTGGCATTACAATAACAAAGTGTCATATTGATGATACACACTTATGACCCTGCAAAAGATTCCACGTATACCATATTAGAATATCCAAAAACTAAGAAAATATCCAGTCTCGTATTATGATATTGTAAGGGCACAACATTTGCATCATGTACCAGACAAATGCTGGTAAAATATGCAAGTTGCTTTTAGATTTGCATCCCACAGGACAAAAAAACAAACAATGGTCGTCTATTGAATGACAGGTCAAATACAACATTTGCATTCGGTGATAAAATAGTTAATTTTACAGCCTGAAAACTGATGCATTTGCATTTGAACATACTACAATTCTCCCATCTTACTGAATCAATTCAAAGCCTTTTTTCATGTCATAAAAATGTACATTTACATTGAGCTGCCGTTTGTGATTTCTTACATTGTGATTGTCTTTCTCCCGCTCCAGATAATAGCATTTGATGAGCTCAAGACTGATTACAAGAATCCTATAGATCAGTGTAACACTTTAAATCCGGTAAGTGACTCCACCGTACCTCACACACCCTCCTTGCCTCTTTGCATGCAGTAAAAAGCTCTGTTGAAATGTCTTTTTATTTACTTTAGGAGGACTTTATCCGCCTATCTGTCTTTTTTCAATCATTTCTCTGCACTGTTATGCTAAATAACCTGCCTGTTGTGTGAATTCAGTGATCTTTCCAGCTGTAAAAACTCTAATGCTTTTGTTTTTTCCTAATCTGCTTCTATTTTTTATTTTTTTTACACTTTGTTAACGACAAAAAGACAATTGAAAAGGTCAAACAGATTAAGAGAATCAAAATTGCATTAAAGGTTTGTACCAGTCTTTAAAATGCCCGCTCAGTTCAACTCAAGTCTGCAGTCTTGTCATTTTGCACGGAGAAGTGTTTGCAAACGTCTTTTCAGTTCACTAATCTCAGAGTTAAAGCCGGAGTTTAGCCCGGGATTAGACGACTGGTTTATTTTTCCTGTCCTGTAGTATTTATTTATTTATTTGATTTTTTAGTGAGCATTTTAGACTGATGAAAGAATGATTTTCTTAAGCCTTTTAAAGTGTTGCTTTAAGGGTTTGAGCATTAATGGAAATCAAAGATTGTGCTTTCTTTTATTGTTTACACCTCATGTAACCTCATTTGTTTAGCTGCATATTTAGATTTTAAGAGCCACAGTGTGTGTTAGGGCTGTGCAATTAATCGTATTTTAATCTCGATTACGATTTTGGCTTGCAACGATTACGAAAACAACGTAATCGAAATTAAACGATTATTATTTTTATTAAAAAAAAAAGAAAATGTAATTTTTATTTTTGTATTGGTTTTTCAGTCGAATTATACTTAAAGTTCAGGGTAATCAACTGTTAAAAACATACTGTTCACATTTATTTTTCAATAAATGGATGTTTTCAAAGTAATCGTTTTTAATAATCGTGATATCAATTATTGACCAAAATAATCGTGATTATGATTTTTGCCATAATCGCACAGCCCTAGTGTGTGTAGACATTTGATTATTTTAAGTGTAGCTGTTAACTGAAAAGACTTGCAAATGCTCAAACATGCATGATCTTTATTACAACCTACCCTTTGTTGCAAATAGTGTTACAGTTATCTCAATAGTATATCCCCAGTCAGAACAATCTGAAAACTTGTCGTGAGTTTGAGATTAAAAAGTATATTGACCCCGGACCTGAAAAAGCTTTTAAATCACAGTATTATAAAGTAGTAAAGATATAAATTCAAGCAGGATTTTTCTAGCAAAGCTTTTTAAATAGCGGGAACTCTGAGCTGTGGATCATGGTACAGCTTGATTGTTGAAGTTTATGTCCTTTTAATTATGATTATTTATTTCAATGGATTGCAGGCTGCAGTTTGATTCATCAATTAGAAAAACTAAGCCACCATTTTGAACTCAATTCTGTCTCGGGCTGCACCGAAAAGTTTAAAACTTCATTAATTATCCATAATTTATGTAAGTTTAAAACATTTTGTTTCTAAGAAACCAGGAGATGCTGCTGTCTGCTAATACACGTTGTGCACTAACACTTTTTTTAAATTGTTTTATTTAAATTAATTTATATTAACATTAACATTAAACATTTATTTTTGTTGATACTAATTTTAAGTGCAATACAGATGAACATAATTAAATCAAGACAGTGACAGTGTTTAATACATTTTAATGTAAGTTCAGCAATTTTGTACCTAATTAGATATTATAACATCAGTGTTTCCCACAGAATTTGATTCCCCCGGCAAGAAAAGCCAAAGGCCCCTTAAAAAATACATACGAGTTCATGGCTACTGTAGACAAAGTTGTTGTTGCCATGTGTTGCGTTGTTAATGAGTGAGACACACCGGAGTTGAGGATCTGTGGGGTTTATTCTCCCAAAAATATAATTTACAATTTAGGCATTTAGCAGACGCCTTATTCCAAAGCGACTTACAATGACCAATTACATGGACGTTCTCCCTGGAGTAACTGAGGGCTAAGTGCCTTACTCAAGGTCACACTAGTAGTGGTGTTCCAGGCGGGATTTGAACTCGCAACCTTCCGATCATCAGCCCACCTCACTATCCATAGATTAGACCACCAAAAAAAAATGTAAAAGAAAAAAATATATTATTATTTTTTTTTTTTATGAGATCCATTTGTGGCGGAAGATATTTAATTGTGGCGGCCCGCCACAATTAAATCAATGTATGGGAAACACTGAACATTTTATTTATTTAAATATCGGTCGGTAAATTATTTGTTGCTTTTCAAAAAAAGCGTTTTCACTGCGTTCTAAAAAGCTTTTGCCCTCCCGCTTACCGTACATAAAGAACCGTGCTCTAATGAGTAAGGTTCATAAAGAAAGTTCGTATAATAAAATCTAATCAGATTCATCAAATTGATTTAAAATGTAGGTTTTTTTTCAGGATGAGGACAATCATTAATACCACGACAGACGTGTGCAGCTTCGTTGGCAAACCTCAAGCTTAGAGTGTGAAAAATAAGTAATAAAAATAAAGACATTCGGTGCAGCCCTAGTTTTGGCTCCAGCCTCGTCACCTGCGGTTCTGAGCAGATGGCGGCAGAATCCCAACACACAGCAATATTTGGCAGCAGCTGATTGGTTAGTGATTTCAGGAGTAGGAGGAGAGATTTTTCTGTTCTTGTTTTGGATTTGGCAGCACAGTGCAGGATTTCCACTCCTCCCTTTCCTGCACCTTTCCCTCACCTTTCCATCTGTGGACTGCCTCCCCCCTCCCCCTCACTCTCCCCCCCCCCCTCACTCTCTCACTCCCCCCCTCTGCCCTCTGCACTTTTTGAATGCATGGCTTCCATGTGGTGCCTCCATCTGCCCCCCCATTACAGTGAGCGGCTGCTGCTGCATCCTCACTGCTCTCAGCATGGTCCTGTTTACAGTGTGTTTGTCAGGACGCTCTGCCGTCACTGCATAAAAAAAAATAATGTGCAAATCTTCTGCAGAACAAGTCTTTGATGGGTTTCCCCTTTTGATCTGTGGTCAGATTTGATGAGCCATGACATGTAACCAGGGTGGGAAATAAGCCTTTTTTTATCCACCTGCAACAACCTCCTAGATTTTTTAATTCCACTAGTAACTCTCTTTAATTAACACAATTATAAGTCAGTGATAAAGCAGGATGCACGATGTCTAATATTTACATGTTTGCTACAGATAAGACAACTCATATTTTCAATGTCAAGTAAGGCAAATTAACAAAAATGCATCATGCCACAACTCTCTTGCTGCTTGATACAAAAGGATAACCATTTTTGATGACAAGTTTACACAATAATCTATATGCAAAAATCACTGCACATGTACTCTAATTGTAAGCGTCTTGGATACAGTTTGTTGCTGGTGTGAGACAAGCAAGCTTTATCCACATCTAACAATCACAATCCTTCATTAACGAATAGGAGAAACATGCAGAAAAAAGAAATGTAACAACGGTAATGTGGGAAAGATGTGGCTACAAAAGGATCGGCCAAATCCAAATCAGGAAGGATTGGTGCAATATCGTGCAGCCCTATCTTCCTCTGAAACCCAAAAAATATGTATTAGTTATAATTTCTCTATCTGAATTATATATAATAATGCACTTACTCAACATACAGTATATCGTGCATCCCTAGTGCTAAAAGCTACCTGGCTGCAGTCACACATTTACATTTTGTCCCACATTAAGCAGAGGACATCTGGAGGTAATGATAATCCTCGCTGTGGGAGATGATAGCCAGCCAAGTGGGGTCTTTTCTCCTCATGTTAGTGTTAAAATCACTCTCATTTTGCAGGTGGCAGGCCTTCATTTCCCTCCCTGTTAACTGTGTTACGCAGTATGTCAGATGGGTGCATGATGAAGCACTGTTTACATATTTAACCTGCAGCAGAGGGGCATGAGAGTGCGACAGGAGGCTTAATAACATATTGCATTGTTAAATAAAGCAGCTCATTAATATTTCACTCCTCCTGTCTCTGACTCTCTGTGGAGCTGACTGCAGTTTTTAAATAGCTCTTTGTAAAGAGGCCTCATTATCTCTCAATGAATGATTAAGTCTTTCGTGAGGCAATTTAAAGATTTGACTGGCAGTAAACGAGTATACAGGATTATAAGAACAAGGGGAGTTGGGTTCACGGTTAAATGCTTGTGTATTTTAACATGTTGTTTTTATTTTGCTCTGTTTTTAAGCTGGTTCTCCCAGAGTATCTCATCCATTTCTTCTTCTGCGTGATGTTCTTCTGCGCTGCCGAGTGGCTCACGCTCTCTCTCAACCTGCCGCTGTTCGCCTATCATGTCTGGAGGTGGGTATCGCTCATAAATAAATAACCAGTTAGAATGCTTCATCTATTAATACACGATGAGCCATTTTAGTGTGCAGGACAAAGTACAGAATAGTCAGATTCAAGGAGGTATATCATGTTCCCGTTAAAATGTCTTTTTAGGATAATTCACATCAAGTTCTGCTTTTCTCGATTTAATATCAAATTTAAAGTAATATATCTGGGATTTGGACTGACAACAACACATCACCTTGGACTCTGAGTAACAGGGATGGACATTTTTCAGTATTTTCTGACACTTTACACAACGAGAATAAATAAAACCAAACTGTCAGCAGATTAAAGCGATACTAAAAATAATCGTTAGCCGAACAGCGTGCAGGGAAAACTGATTTGTCAGAAGAGCAGTTAAAACCTCCTGAACCATGCAGGAATCCTAACTGGGAGAAGCTAAAGACTACAACTCCCATGATGCCGAGCTGCTGGCCAACAATGCCCCTGTCTTTGTGTCCCTGTGCTGCAGGTATATGAGCAGACCGGTGATGAGCAGTCCGGGGCTCTATGACCCGACCACCATCATGAACGCTGACATCCTGGCCTTCTGTCAAAAAGAAGGCTGGTGCAAACTGGCTTTCTACCTGCTGTCCTTCTTCTACTATCTCTACGGGTACAGAAACTCTTTTAACTTAAGTAATAAGTTATCTGGGGATATGTAGTTTGTAACAATCATGGAGTTAACTTCATCTTGGGCAATCTGCCATATTTCAAAATGTAAAAAGTCTAGAGCAAATTGGGTTTTCTAATTAAGTATGGTGCTTATTTGCCTTCGAAACTCACAATTATTGTGTTATTGAATTATGCTGCTGTAATTCAGCGGCAAATTAAACTGATTTCAGATGGGATTTAATTGCAAAAGTGGGTCGAAAAGGATGGCAGATAACGGGATAATGATTAAGAATAGTAAAAAGTCTGGTTGCAGGACGACAGCATTTAAAACGCTTCATTCAGACCGTGGCTAACATTCATGTAGCTTTATGGAGTAATGCTTGAACGCAGCATAATGCAAGTCAATCGCACTTCTGTCAATTTTACTTTTATATATATTTTAACAATATAGCATTATAATGTTAACAGGTGAGTTTACTCTCTCCTATCATTTTTTTAAAGCCTTGCTATCATGCTATAAGCTCCCAGGACCAGAGGTACCAACGCGGTTTGTGAATTTAAGCATCGACTTGCTATCGAATTATTGTTTCTTGTGACGTCCCTACACCTTATAATAGAACGTAATGACCCTTAGGTGAGAAATCCAACGTCCCTTTATGTTAAAATCCAACCCCTAATTGTTTTCTAGGACATAATGACACTGAATCTGAAATCTCTTAACTGTAGAATCCAACATCCCGTAACTGTATTTGAGGACATAACAACCCTCCGATGTTAAATCCAAAATCCCTTAACTGTTATATCCAACGTCCCTTAACTGTTTTATAGGACATAACGGCCCTTAACTATAAAATCCACCCTCCCTTAACTGTGTTATTTGACATAACGGCCCTTAACTATAAAATCCAACATCCCTTAACTATAAAATCCACCATCCCGTAACTGTATTTTAGGACATTATAGCCTGAGATTTCAGATCCAAAATTCCTTAAGTGTAAAATCAACATCCCTTAGCAGTATTATAGGACAAAATGACTCGAGATGTTAAATCCAAAATCCCTTAACTGTTATATCCAACGTCACTTAACTGTTTTATAGGACATGACCTCTAAAGTAAAATCCACGGCCCTTAACTATAAAGTCCAACATCCCGTAACCCTAAAATCCACCCTCCCTTAACAGTGTTATTTGACATTACGGCCCTTAACTATAACATTCAACATCCCGTAACCCTAAAATCCACCCTCCCTTAACTGTGTTATATGACATAACGGCCCTTAACCCTAAAATCCACCCTCCCTTAACTGTTATATGACATAACGGCCCTTAACTATAAAATCCAACATCCCTTAACTGTGGCCCTTAACTATAAAATCCAACATCCCTTAACCCTAAAATCCACCCTCCCTTAACTGTGGCCCTTAACTATAAAATCCAACATCCCTTAACCCTAAAATCCACCCTCCCTTAACTGTGGCCCTTAACTATAAAATCCAACATCCCTTAACCCTAAAATCCACCCTCTCTTAACTGTGGCCCTTAACTATAAAATCCAACATCCCTTAACCCTAAAATCCACCCTCCCTTAACTGTGTTATTTGACATTACGACCCTTAACTATAAAATCCACCCTCCCTTAACTGTGTTATATGACATAAAGGACCTTAACTATGAAATCCACCATCCCTTAACTGTGGCCCTTAACTATAAAATCCAACATCCCTTAACCCTAAAATCCACCCTCCCTTAACTGTGGCTCTTAACTATAAAATCCAACATCCCTTAACCCTAAAATCCACCCTCCCTTAACTGTGTTATTTGACATTACGACCCTTAACTATAAAATCCACCCTCCCTTAACTGTGTTATATGACATAAAGGACCTTAACTATAAAATCCACCATCCCTTAACTGTATTTTAGGACATTATAGCCTGAGATTTCAAATCCAAAACCCCTTAAGTGTAAAATCAACATCCCTTAGCTGTATTAAAGGACAAAATGACTCGAGATTTAGAATCCAACATCCCTCAACGCCCTTAAATGTAAAATCCAACATCCCTTAGCTGTGTTATAGGTCCTAATGACCCCTGAGATGTAAAATCCAACATTTGAAGGTGTCTAACTTGTTCTTTCTTGTTTCTAACAGGATGATCTATGTTCTGGTGAGCTCCTAAAGGAAGCTGAAGGATGCCAGAAAGCAGACTTCAAGGCGCTGATGATGTTAGTGCGGGAAACTGGACCGACGCTCAAACACCTGACAACAGACAAACTCTTAAAAAAAACAAAACACACACAGCGCATTTCTGGAAACATGAACCCCGATTTAAAGAGAATATCTCGTTGCAGCGTTCCTCTCATAGCACTAGTTAAAATGTTTTGGAAACCAAGGAAAAACCTGAAGGACAAGTTAATTTTTCTTCCTTTTTATTGGTGTGATGATTTTGATGCTTTGGGATTTAAATAAAGTTTGTTTTTTTCTCCCAGATTTTGAGTGTTTACAACTATAGGCAGACGGTTGCTGCGTTAGCTTTTCCTGTGAATTAGATTCTGGGCTTTTAGCAGCTAAATAATACCTGCAGCGTGATTCATTATCGTCACTAAAACCAGTAGTTAGCAGACGAGACTTAAGAAAATTGACGTTTTTTTGGAGTGTTGCACGGGGACAATCATAACGTGGTTGTCGCATCAGTTTTTAATCTGATGTATTTAGACGTATCATCACATCTTGTAATCCCTGTTAATACGGTGGCTGACGGGTGCAAACGTGTTACACCGGCCCAAAACTCTCCATTAGGACCAACACATTCAGAAACGATGCAAATATGGAAACATCAACAAACTCTGCAAGAAGCTCAAAACACAACGGGAACCAGGGGACACTAATAAGTGACGCACACAGCTGGGACCGGAGCGCTTGGTGAGTCACGTTTAATCCTGAACGTTCAGACGTTCAGGATTAAACGTGACTCACCAAGCGCTCCGGTCCTATCTGTGTGCGTCACTCTTTAGTGTCCCCTTGTCTCCCAGCTGTGTGCGTCACTCTTTAGTGTCCCCTGGTTTCCGTTGTGTTTTCAGCTTCTTGCAGCGTTTTGTATTTGCAGCGTTTGGGTTCTGCAGCTTTTAGTAAACGCTGCGCATGTTTCCTAAAGTTGGTGAACGTTTTCTTTATGCTGCATGTTTCCTCAAGTTGGTAAAGATGTTTCTTCACGTGTTTTGGCACATATGTGTTTTTATATCCGCATCGTTTCTGAAGCTGCAGCGTGTTTCTCCTGATGGAAATGTTTCAGGGCCGCTGTAGCGCGTTCCCACCCGTCGGCCATTGTATGTGAAATCCATGGCAATATGTTTAAGTGTGAATCCAGAGTAGCCAGCAATGTGTTTGTGACTTGTATTTCTGTACTAAATTACAGGTAAACTCAACAGTATATTCATATGTTCAGCATTATTGAGCAACACTGTTCTTCTGATTTAGAAATTTGGTAGAAAACTTGCTATACTGTTGACTGTACCTTTTTACATTTCCTATGTTTATGTGCTTTCTGTTCATTTCAGCACCAAATATTCCATCGTTAGGAACTCCAGTGTTTATTTATTCTGTTTTTTTTTATGTCTCCAAGATATCAAACACTCCTCGTAGTGTCGGGTCATTATCCAGCAGTTTAGAGTTGAGGCCGTTGGACAGGACGTTTTCATAAATACTCTGAGTATTTATTGCCATTTATCAGGGAACGGGACACTGAACATTTTTATGTATTCATTCATGTCACATCTAGAAAATGACAACTTGAGTTTATTTGAATCTAAATAAAAAAACTATCCCACTGTTTTCTGGACTCAAATCATATGTTTTTTAAAAGGAAATTAGTACATGGCTCCTACAGCTTGTTGCATGTTAGATTTAAAGGTCACCTATCATGCTATTTTTAGGCAATAGCATAGGTCTCAGATATATAAAAAACATGTCCATGAAGTGTTTTGCTCAAAATACCAAACAGATCACCCATTCTAGCCATGCCTCATATCCCTCTATTTCACTTCCTGTTTCAAAAGTGCTGATTTGGGGAATAAAGCTTTAAAAAAAAAAAATGTTGATTAAAAAAGGGGCGGAGCTTATGCAGGACCCGGCAGCTACTGTCTAAACTAAATACTGCCGTGATGAAATGCCATATCATGGATTATCAAGGATTATTTCTGAAACAGTATGGAGCTCAAAGGCTTTCTCTCTTGCCGGTTATACCACAAGGTGAGTTCCTTTTTATTTCCTGCTTCTTCACACACATGCTCTCCAGTACAGGTTAGCTCTGAGTGTTAGCGATGCTAATGTAAACATGCCCCGACCATATTACGTCCAAAACAGTCGGGCATTGTTTCTGATAGCAACGTTTCTGATAGGGCCGTGGGTCCACATTTCAGATATTACGTCATATCGGACACAAATCTGGATTTAATTTAAGACCAACTTTTAAGAAAATCAACTACTAAGGGTGAGGGATCATTTTAATTAAAGTTAAAATTACTAGGTTTTCTTTGGTTTATTTTGAGGTTTCTAAACAGTTATATTTTTTTAGATGAAAGAAAATTAAGACAAAAAGCATATTTGTATGTATTTTAAAGACATTTTATTTACAAATAATTTCTAACATACTTACATTTTATTATTTTATTTAAGGTTCTGTGGAAATTTTTTAAATAATTGTACTATTAAAATTATTACTGATTTGTGTTAATGGGAGAGGGAAATCGGTAAAAAATGTTTTGACCGCAGTTACGTTAATTATAATTGAAAGCTGTTTAAAAGGTAAAAGAAAAATGTAATGTAAAAACAACAGGAAAAGCATTTTTCAAAAGATATTTATTACCAAGACACGTCTAATCTTATGACAATTTAGTTCAAAGCCCTTTTAACTCATTTTAAGGATCTGTGGGATTGTCCTCTGGAAGCCAGTAGATATGCAATTAAAACAATGTATATAGCACCTTGCCAATAACATGTAACAGCTTGCTAAGTTACAGATATAGAGAATAATTCAGAACACACACACACACACACACACACACACACACACACACACACACACACACACACACACACACACACACACACACACACACACACACACACACACACACACACACACACACACACACACACACACACACACACACACACACACACACACACAACACACACACACACACACACACACACACACACACACACACACACACACACACACACACACACACACACACACACACACACACACACACACACACACACACACACACACACACACACACACACACACACACACACACACACACACACACACACACACACACACACACACACACACACACACACACACACACACACACAACACACACACACACACACACACCACACACACACACCCCATCCCCCCATGTGAATCACGTTTTCATCTAGTTTTCAGAAATAAATATTTAATTTTCACCGCGACACGCAGCGCTCTCTGGAAACAAACTCTCTGCTCTGCTGGTACGCTGCGAACCTTTCCCGAAACTCATGCAGGAAGTTGTATTGCTGCGGAAAAATGTAACGGAACGTTGTTAGTTCACATGTTTGCTCATTAAACATGAAAGCAAAAAAAAAATGAACATAGTCAAATCGATTATAAGAACATAACTAAATTATCTGGAGCACATTTTGAGTTTTTTTTTTTTTAAAATCACATACTGGGTAAAAGATGCAGCCTCAAAGGTCCCCTATTATACTGTTTTTCATCAATATATTATAGGTCTCAGATATATACAAAACATGTCTCTGAAGTGTTTGGCTCCAAACACCAAACAGATCATTGCAGCATTACCCATAATCCCCTCTGTTTCAGCCCTGTTTCCAAAGTGCTGATTCTCTGTCTGTTACTTTAGATGAAAATAAGGAGCCCCTCCCCACGCCCCTCTGAGAGATATTTGGGTAAAAAGAACACAATAGCCGCTTTCACACCAAGTACTTTGCCGTACTTAGTGCCCAGCACTTAGTGCACCGGCACTTAGTTCCCCCATGGAACTAATTACAGATCGCGTTCACACCGGAATAAGTTCCCTGAGGGAGGATTAGGCAAATGAAGCCGCCAACGTCACTTCTTCTTCTTCTGCTTTGGGTTTACTGGCAGGCCGCAAACCACTTCACGGCGTATACTGCCACCCGGAGTCCCCGGCCGGAAGTCCCCGGAGTTGGGGACTGGCTTCAGTAGAAGCTGCTGGGACTCCCAGCAGCTTCTACTGAAGCCTTCCGAGTAAATCGCCAGAAAACCGACACCTCCTCATCACTCCGCCGCTCCCATGTTTTTTTTTGTGTTGCCATAAGTTAGTCGCTCTCCGTTGGTGCGCTGGGCTAATGCTAATGCTAATAATGCTAATGCCAGCAAATACAATGGTGGCTTCACAAAACTTTTCAGAGTTTTACGGGGCGTGGTTTGCAATTCGCCCAGCCAATCGAAATTGGTACTTTTTTCTCCCCAGGAAAGTACCACCTCTCTAGCAGGCACTAAACATGGGGGTAAAGGTTCTCTGAACTAAGTTCTCTTTTTGGTGTGAACGCAAAATTCCAGGCACTAACGGAAATAAACGGGAAAAGTACTCCGGTGTGAACGCGCCTAATGGTGCTCCAGGAGGAGATTCAGGTGATAAGATGAGGGGGGGGGGGGTACCTTGATTGATTGGTGATTGGCTAATGGTTACACAAGCCAAAAGATCGTTATCATAAAGTGGCCAATATCTGATCAGCTCATTTTCAGACAGGTTTTTATATAAATGGATCAGGACAAAAAGAGAGAGAATCTTTGTTCCTGAAACTTTCAGAGTCTCTTTACACAGAGGGGACACATGTTGATGTAGAAGAGACATGAAGAAGAGGGGACACATGTTGATGTAGAAGAGACATGAAGAAGAGGGGACACATGTTGATGTAGAAGAGACATGAAGAAGAGGGGACACATGTTGATGTAGAAGAGACATGGAGAAGAGGGGACACATGTTGATGTAGAAGAGACATGAAGAAGAGGGGACACATGTTGATGTAGAAGAGACATGAAGAAGAGGGGACACATGTTGATGTAGAAGAGACATGAAGAAGAGGGGACACATGTTGATGTAGAAGAGACATGAAGAAGAGGGGACACATGTTGATGTAGAAGAGACATGAAGAAGAGGGGACACATGTTGATGTAGAAGAGACATGAAGAAGAGGGGACACATGTTGATCAAATCGACATCACACTTTTGGAAAATGGTCAGCTTGAAAGCTAAGTATGTGCATATTTAATGGGGATAAACATGCAAACGCTGCAGTGGACTGTAGTTATTTAAATGCATGAGATTGAGAGGATTGTCAGAGTAATGTCTCACCTTCACCGTCTGAATGGCTCCTCCTCCTCGGTGCTCCCTGAGGATCTCTATGGCTTTGTTAGGAGTCATCGTTACAGAGAGCTGCAGCAGCAGGCAGGCGGCGACTGGAAACAATAAAAAACGGTTATATTTAAACATTTAAAGAACAATTTGATCTTGATTTTCTAAATAAAAGCATGAGTGAAATATACTTACTTAATCCCGAGCGTCCCAGGCCTCCGTAGCAGCTGAAGAGGAAAGAAAAGTGTAAAAATATCTCGTCAAAACAGTGAAAGCTGGAGGAAAATTGTGGAATTGTGTAACGAGAGAAGTCCCGAGGGGAAATATGTCTTAGTTAAGAGACTTTTGGCTTTCCAAATGATATAAAAATAACTCAAATATTTAAAAAAACACTAGGGCTGCATTGACCTCTTGATTTTCAACAAACCCTCGTTAGAGGTTTACCTGCCTCTCTGGAGTCTGATGTCAGATATCCTGCAGACTAAGTGGCCTAGAAAACCTGGTGCATTGTATAAACAGCCATTATACCCTGCTTCACATTAAAAGGTTACTCTCTGATGCATTATGGGTAATCAGTTTCCTGGTGAACAGCTCTATCAGCTCTCTGAGGGATGGAAAGCCTCTCAGGAGAGTTTACAAGTCCTGGATTTACAAAGTGAAACCTGATCCAGCAGCAGCCTTATTATCACTGCTGGTTTTCAGTCTGCCTTTTTTTAAAGAGTCCTCTCCTGCTGATGTTCAGGTGTATATCAGTATGTAGTGTCTCTACTTTAAAGAGTCCTCTCCTGCTGATGTTCAGGTGTATATCAGTATGTAGTGTCTCTACTTTAAAGAGTCCTCTCCTGCTGATGTTCAGGTGTTTATCAGTATGTAGTGTCTCTACTTTAAAGAGTCCTCTCCTGCTGATGTTCAGGTGTATATCAGTATGTAGTGTCTCTACTTTAAAGAGTCCTCTCCTGCTGATGTTCAGGTGTATATCAGTATGTAGTGTCTCTACTTTAAAGAGTCCTCTCCTGCTGATGTTCAGGTGTATATCAGTATGTTGTGTCTCTACTTTAAAGAGTCCTCTCCTGCTGATGTTCAGGTGTATATCAGTATGTTGTGTCTCTACTTTAAAGAGTCCTCTCCTGCTGATGTTCAGGTGTATATCAGTATGTAGTGTCTCCACTTTAAAGAGTCCTCTCCTGCTGATGTTCAGGTGTATATCAGTATGTAGTGTCTCTACTTTAAAGAGTCCTCTCCTGCTGATGTTCAGGTGTATATCAGTATGCAGTGTCTCTACTTTAAAGAGTCCTCTCCTGCTGATGTTCAGGTGTATATCAGTATGTAGTGTCTCTACTGGGACATGTCTCCATGTTTTAATGTTCAAAAAGCTCTTTATTTTTCTCATACTGCCTGTGCTGCATCACCTCTTTTCACCCTCTGTCTGAAACCAGAGCCCAATCTGCTCTGATTGATTAGCTGGCCGGCTCTGTTGTGATTGGTCGACAGCTCTCACTCACTGTATGACGGTCCTCCTGCTGCTCTGCAGGCTGAGCTGCAGCTCCTCCAGGATCCTGCAGCTCAGCTCCAGCGGCGGTGCCTCTCCGTCGGGGAAGGGCGTGTGATGCACGGTGAAACCTCGCTGCACGTACACCTCCAGCAGGGAGGGAACCCGGTACTTACTCAGCTCTCCTCTGGTGCAGAAAACAAACACATCCTGCACCCCCTGGCTCTGCAGCTCCTCTGAGAACAAGACGAGATGTTAAAACAAGAAAACTCATGCACTGCTCAACTGAGAAGCCATTAGGTTCCATAACATGTTTTCTTTACACAATTTATTACTGAAAACGTGCAGAAAATGGCTATTTATGGCAGTATTTTCAGACTTGTAGAGTGATACAGGGAAGCCCCGAGCCTGTTTTCCAGGTCTCAGGCTCGAAAATGACATTCCCAGAACAAATGACCATAACTAGCTACTACAGTCTGGTGGCTACCATTAGCAGCTAATATTTATTCTCCTATTTTTGCATAAAAATTGAATTATGGATTATCAATACTTTTTTCAAAGTGACAGACACATTGGATTAACCTATGGATTAACCTTCAACCGCGTTTTTATTGTTTTAATGCCATTGAACACAACTTTTGATCAGAATAACAGCTAAAGGTGAGCATATCTCCGTGTTTTGCTACCTAAAGCTACGTTGTGTGTTGTCTGTATTTGCTTCCCCTGTCGCGAGTTCTGATCGCTCAGTGATGATACTTATATTTCTATAATCTGTGGAATCTCAGGATGTTAGCTAAACTTGTTTGTGCAGATCTAATAAGTATATCGATCGATTTATACGATTATACCTAGAGTTTTGTGCTAAGTGCGTTAGCATGTTTTCGCTCAGGGCTCATTTAGACCCTTCTTGTGAGACTTGTGTTTTGTTTCGGTAAAAATGGTTCATATCATCAGTTAGATGAGTTTCTTCCCGTTAGGAGGGTATGACACATTCATAGTTTTTTTAATATTAAGAAGCCCTGAGACACAGTGTCGTGAAAAAAAAAAAAAGACCCGCCGAGGGGGTCTTTGGGGCTTAACAGGTTAAAACCTTTGACTCGAATATGTCATCAAAATGAAACAAGGATTTTGAACATGGCTTTATCCAATTTTCACATCCATGACGAGAGAGTATTTATTTAAGCAGCAGTAAAGATGATGTCGTCTTACCAACGTCTCTCTCCAGATTCCGGCGGATGTCTTTGTATTTGCAGCCTGAAGTCAAATAAAGGAAAGAGTTTATATTATTGTTCGTTTAAAAATCGTACAAGTAAGTAAAACAAGATATATATAAAGTTATATATAGTTGGACTTTACCTGGTAGTGCACAAATCCCCAGAAACTGCGAGCTCTCCACTATGGACAGAGGTACCCTGAGAGACAATAAAGAAATATATAAATATAATACAAACGACGCAGTGAAGCTTGTTTTACATTTTTCATTTAAAAACAAGCTGACTTTCACTTTTTCAAAGATCAGAATCAGAGGTTTATAAATGTGTAGTACAAGTCATTTGCTAAGGTGTAAATACACAGTAAGATCATTTAAAATGTTGAATAAGAAGTCAATTGATGAAAAAAAGGAATATTATAAAAACTATTACAAAATAAAAAAGGAAATATAATATACGACAAAATTAGCTGTGCAGTTTTAAAGGGGACCTATCATGCAAAATGCACTTTTTGATGTCTTTTATACATAAAGATGTGTCCCCGGTGTGTCGGGGAACTCACGCAGCGTCAGAAAATAAAACCCTCTCTCTTTTCCTCCGTACCCAAATCTCTAAAAACGGGGCTACAACGGAGCTGATCCAGATTTGCGTCCGATATGACGTAATATCTGAAATGTGGACCCACGGCCCTATCAGAAACGTTGCTATCAGAAACAATGCCCGACTGTTTTGGACGTAATATGGTCGGTGTTTACATTAGCATCGCTAACACTCAGAGCTAACCTGTACTGGAGAGCATGTGTGTGAAGAAGCAGGAAATAAAAAGGAACTCACCTTGTGGTATAACCGGCAAGAGAGAAAGCCTTTGAGCTCCATACTGTTTCAGAAATAATCCTTGATAATCCATGATATGGCGTTTCATCACGGCAGCATTTAGTTTAGACAGTAGCTGCCGGGTCCCACATGAGCTCAGACCCCTCCTTTTTATTTTGTATCAATTTTCTTTTTTTAAGCTTTATTCCCCAAATCAGCACTTTAGAAACAGGAAGTGAAATAGAGGGATATGAGGCATGGCTAGAATGGGTGATCTGTTTGGTATTTTGAGCAAAACACTTTATAGACATGTTTTTTATATTTTTTTATATATCTGAGACCTATGCTATTGCCTAAAAATAGCATGATAGGTGACCTTTAAAAAGAGGTAGTATAGTGCAGAATAAATTGTGTATTTATTAACCACCATTAAAGAGATTAGCACCACATCCAATCTTATATTTAAAATATAGTTGTATTTGTTCTGTAGGAAAACCAGCACCGACCAGCCCTTTTGCTTTAAATGTAAGATGTATATTTTTTCAGTTTATATACGACAAATAAACTATTATAAAACAGTTTAAACATATATAATAAAAACAAACAAAAATGATATATATTATAAGAAGCTCTCACCAGGAGACTTGGAAGGGTGCGAGCTGCTGGTCTGCAGCCTCCTCTTCTTCAGATGAAGAGTCAAACTCACTCGTCCTCATCGCTGCAGAGCAACACACTGCAGGGAGGAAGAATGACATATATAAATATCACATAACATATATGAAAAAATGCATTCTCTACTGTGCATTTGACTATTAGACAGACCTGTTGGTTTAGCCCTGTAAACTAAATCTGATTAAAATGTTTAACTAAATACATCAATTTCGATTCATCTGCAGATTACTTTTTAGAATAATGGTTTGGATTAAAAAAGTATTACAGAAATATTGTAAAAACCTCAATGTCACGTTTTCAAAAGGAAGATATAGCAAAGGCAATAACTTCAAGACCACTTTGGAAACTGTTGCTGTGCTCCCAAAGCTGTGTTTGTTTCTTACTTTTTCCTTAAAGGTCACCTATTATGCAAAATCCACTTCTTCATGTCTCTTCTACATCAACATGTGTCCCCTCTTCTTCATGTCTCTTCTACATCAACATGTGTCCCCTCTGTGTAAAGAGACTCTGAACGTTTCAGGAAAAAAGATTCTCTCTCTTTTTGTACTGATCCATTTATATAAAAACCTGTCTGAATTATGGGATGCTGCAATGATCTGTTTGGTGTTTGGAGCCAAACACTTCAGAGACATGTTCTGTATATATCTGAGACCTATAATATATTGATGAAAAACAGTATAATAGGGGACCTTTAAGTTTGCATGTTTTATTTTTCGTGCACTCTTTATTTGATTAAACATCGGTCCTTTAAATAAGCTAACATGTCAAGAGCTAGGCTAAACACAGACCTTTAAATTAGGAATAAAACCTGCTATACTCTGGCTAAAGCTAGCTCTGATACCCAAAACATATTAAAACACAACACCTTATTTAACATTTACAGTTTTAATTATTATTATTTATATGAATGATGTTCAGAGAGACATGTGTTACTGACAGTCAGTTAGCTAACGTTAGCTCTACAGCTAATTTATGAGACAAAGTCGCCAAACAAAGAGGAATTATATCAAATATCTTTAAGTAGCTGTTATACGAGCTTAATTAGAAGCTGCGTAGGGTTAAACCCATACATAAATGTGGATAAATACAGTATTAATTGTCGTTATTTCTCACCTCGCTCACCGGCTGTTTTGACAGCTCCGTCAGCTGCTGTAGATTTGAAAACTAACTGAGCCAAGCGGCCAATCAGATTAAAGTACTGCCCCTTAACCACGCCCCTCCACAAAACAGTGGCGCTCCATTTATTCTGCGGACTGATCCACACGGGCGGAGTGAAGAAAATTAAAGGGAAATCATAGGCGACAAAATCATCTCTCCCGTTTTCTGGGACCTGGTGATAAAATCTGTTAACGTAATGTTGTTCGACGTGTCTCAACGATGGTCTCAACGTGAAACCGAGTAAAATCATGCAGTAAATATACACAATAACACAATATATGACAATACTATATTAGTTTATATATTCTGTACATAAATAACACTAAATATAGAATGTATTTGTATGTTATGTAGCCTTTGTAAATGTGTTAGGAGTTATTACACACTTTGGATTTAATTTCCATAATTATTTTGCACATCATATACACACATTTTTAATTTAAATGTAATAATCAAATGTCAGCATTTTACTCGTAGTTATAGTAGCAGGGGTTTAGTTAATTGATTTATTTGTAAACCAACTTTAAATATAATTATTATTACGATATTATTGTTTATTATTATTATTGCACTTGATGATTTAGTATATTCTTTTATTTTAAGTTTACATTTTTAGGTCCAAATATATACACGCTTAACGTCATGCAGAGGTCTATATTATTATAATACTACTCTGGATTTCATCAAACATGCAAAAAAAGGATTTCTATTAAATAAAATGTTGATAAGGATATCACATAGGACAATATACTGTTTTACAATAATATAGTAAAGTGTTTCCTGTACGGTGTGAGAAACACCTCATGTACACACAGTCTGCTACATAGGAGACACACACACACACACACACACACACACACACACACACACACACACACACACACACACACACACACACACACCACACACACACACACACACACCGCTCATTACTACATCCACACGTCTCCACAGAGGAGGAAGCACCGGATATTTGGGGTCTTTTTGGGGGATTTACTGCCTCTTTTCAGATGTCTGGAGGAGGGATATCTAAGAACTCCAACTGAGGTGAGTCCTGTTGCTTTTATTCATTTAACTTCACTCACTTGTTATCATGTTTAAAAATGTTATAAGATGCTTGTAGCATGAACGTCTCACAACCTGCAGGAAAAAAATAGATTTCTGCACATTTTGAAAGTGATATAAGGAGATTTGTTATTAGGCAGTTTAAAAGTGCGTTTAAATTATGCATTTTTGTAAAAACAAAAATGTGTTGCATGTTGGATGTTCAGTTGTTCTGCTGATCCTGCCTTCTGTCTATAAGCAGATCTTGGCTCTGGCAGATATTTCCTGCAGCTCTCTGGCAGCCGGACGCTTCCTCAGCAGAGCGGCTGCTGGCAGAGCAACATCTGAACAGGTACACACATGATGTAACTCCTTAAATCTGGGTTATAATGTGATTTGAACGCTTCTAGTTAATGCATACGCTTAAATATATAGGATGGGAGTATAACATGTGGAAGAAATTAGATGTTTTCAGTGCTTTAAACCAAAACTACTTCATTTTCCATGTACTCAATTTACTAAAAACTTAATTTTGTATTATTAAGTGGAATTTATTATCGTATGCTTATATTAATGCAATAAATATACATTAAATATGTTAAATTATAAATACACTTGGCTAAATATTCTGCAGAAAAGTATTCATAGGCTGTTTTGGTTTTAAATTCATTTGTGCTTAAAGCAACTGAAAATAAAGTTGGAGTTAATATCGTTTTTGTCCTTTTTCCACCAATTAAATATGCATTTAGTTCAGAAGAGGTTAAATATTTAATAGTTTATTTTTTTTATTTTTATGATATCTTATGTTTTGGAGTGAATTACACAAGAGAGCATGCCTTTCGCTGCACAGTGGACTTACTAACTCTACTTTACTCATTTCCTCAGCTTTAGACACTTGTGATGTTTGTGCAGATTATCACAGAGTTTGCAAACAGCCCTGTTGTCTGTGTTGTTTGTGTGCTGTTTGTGTGTCTCTGAAGGTCATGAAGCCTCAGGAGGCCGAGCTCGTCTCTGAGATCTCAAAGGTATTTATCCTGCAGCTCCTCTCATTATCCTCTCTTAAAGGTCCCATGTCATGGCCATTTCTACTGATCATAATTACATTGTTGAGGTATACTAAAATACATTTATATTGTGCAATTTTCCAAACTCACATTGGTTTTTCATACAGCATCTCTGTCAGTGGCGTAACAAGGTTGTGATTGGCCCCGGTGCAAATATTCTTTTGGGGCCCACCCCATCGCCCCAAACATAAGTGCACGCTGATGCGCTCACACACGCACGGACATACACAACCACTCAGAAGCGCCACATGTATAGGCTATCAACAACAGCCTGCCCTGGCCTCAGACCACCACAGCCTGACAACGGCACAGCAAACTAAGAAGAGGATTACACCTGTTTCCTTGATGTTTGTCTCTGGGGAATGGGCCGGTAGGCCTACATAGACCGGTTGCTATAATATAGCTTTTGATCTTGGCGTCAGGGGGTCTCAATAGCGCCATAGAGTCCCCTATCGGTTGGGGCCCTTGGGGGAACTGTTGGACCAACGCCGGGCACAGCCAAATCCAGCCTCTCCTCCTGGCTGGCTGGAGAAGAAGGTTGCACAGCCACGGCCACGGATACAGCTTCACTTGTGGAGCTAGATGGCAATGATGGTGGTGAGGCAGGTGAGCTATCGTTAGCCTCCGGCTCCGGCTGCCGCTGCACGGCAACATTGCTAACGTTAGCGCTCGATTTCGAGGACGATGTATGACCAAAAAAAACGTCTATTTTTGTCAGTTTAGCTGTTACATCTCCTTGTTCTCTCTTGTCCTTTCTTTATTTTGAGCGCTGCTCTTGTGCTTTGGTTTGCTGTACATTATAAATGCAAGCTATTACATTTTTTACAATGCTACCCAACTTGCTGCTGCTAGCTACAGTACAGTACAGGTTGATTAAACGGTTCGCTCGTCATGCAAGGTATCACATGACATGAAAGGGAGCAAGGTCATTGGACAGACAAATTAATTTAGGTTGCTAGGTTACTTTGAAGACTTTGCATGGGCCCCTGGCCGGCTCTGGGCCCCGGTGCGTTGCACCGGCTGCACCGTCGATAGTTACGCCACTGATCTCTGTATAGTATGCGTATTCACTCTCTGTCCTAAACGGCTTGTTGGAGCTCCTGCCCCCCCCCTTCCCTGTGAGCCCAGTGGCCGTCTGCGAGACAGCGAGACACAGCGAAACCCAGCCCGAAACACACACACACCCGCAGCCTGGCTAGGAGTGTGTGTGTGTGCTCAGGCTGAGTTCCGTGGTGTCTCGCTGTCTCGCCGACCCCACACCAGTGAGCCAGCTCACAGTGTCCCGCTCCTCGCAGCAGCGAGCCTCGCAACGTCCCGCCGAGTGTGTGTGTGTGAGGAAGTCCGCGGATTGGTCCAGACGTAACGGCTCCGAGGACGTTACGTTACGTCACTATACCCGAAAATACGTCACTATACCCAAGAAGTAAACAATGGAAAAAGAGAAATGTCCAACGAGGCGTTCTGGGGCAGCATAGACAGGTCTTTTCTGTGTTAGAGTTTTACTCGCTACAGGGTGGACTTTGAGGGTTAGTGACTCTGCAGACCGTTTACATGCAGAACAAGCTACATAACACAAGGGGACGGGTAATAACCTTTATATATACAGTCTATGGTAATAACCAGAAAAGCATGACATGGGACCTTTAAAGACTCACATTACATTACATTTAGAGCTCTTTTTACTTCTGTTTGACCAATGTCTCTGTCTGGATTATGAGACAAATGGTTTAACACCTTTAGTCACAAACACACACATATATAGTTGTTAAATCTCTTTTCGTTTTGTTTTTCACACCTTTGTATTCTTTTTGCATCATGTGTCCTTATTTGTCTTTCCAGTAGATTTCCATCTTGTGCGGTAGTTTTGTGTATTATTATGTACTTTTTATGTACGTGTGTCTCTGTAGTTATTTTTGTATAATGTCTATTTATGTCTCTGTAGTAATTGTTTTTCTTTAGTGGTAAATGTGTGGGTTTCTTTGTAGGTATTTCGTGTTGAGTTCGTATCCGTTTTGTTTCCTTTTTTGTCTATTATTTGGGCAGTCATTGTGTATTTTTCTGATGAACTTGTGTCTCATTTTGTGTCTCCTCCTGGTTGGTACGTGTCTATTTTAGGTTAGAGTACCCCTGTCAGTTTAAAATGCTTACAGCATCAGGAGTGTGAACATAATGTTTTATTGTGCCGCTTTGATAAATGTAATTCATATTGTGACTGATCTATCAGCTGCAGGGCATGGTGTCGGAGCTGAAGTCGGGCTTCAGCGGCGCCCTGATGGAGCTCAGTCAGATCCAGCATGGAGACAGCGACCTGAGGGAGGAGCTGCAGGAGAACCGGAGGAGCTGCAGGAAGAAGGCTCTGCGTGTGGAGGCGCTGGTGGAGGCTCTGAGGGTGAGACCATCAGATGATGAGGGACATGTTGATCATGTGGAGACAGAGGGTTGTGATCACATGATCATAATACATAAAATGGGTTATATTCTCTCAAAGATGTGCACCCATTACAGTTATTAGACGGAATAACTATATACAATTTTTTTAAATCTATGACTTTATTTATCGTATTTTATTTGCAGACATTTGATTTCTCTATTTATTTTTACTCACTAAATGTTTTTTCTTCTTCAAGCAATTCCACATTTTTTAATTTAATTTATCATAATTTTTGCACCATTTATTTATTGTTTTATTATTATTATTCATTTTTTACAATAATTAGATTACTGATTTAATATTAAAGGTAGGGTAGGTAAGTTTGAGAAACCCGCTCGAGATCGCTAGAATTTGAAAATACACAACCGGAAAAAATGTGCCACTCCCTTACAGAGCCCCTCCTCCAACACACACGAACGCGCACATGACCAATGAGGGCACGAGATAAGTTTGTGCACAGATGGAAGGCTGACAGGCAGGTAGGCCATCCAGTTATTTTAGCCGGGCCGGCTCAGATGATTGGTCGTACTTTTTACAGTATTACGGCTTCCACAGATGACATTTTTTTATGGATTTTTTGTCAAAGCGCTTAAGATATTCATTGCTATCGGGATGTTAAGAGCATTCCATGGAATATAACAAGTGTATCTCAAGCCGGTTTCTCAAACTTACCTACCCCACCTTTAATTAATATTTCCAAATTATGTTGTTATTTTTCTGACTTTTCAACACATGTACACAGTAAATTTCTCTGAGTAAAATTGACTCAAATTGAAGAAAATTTTACTCTAAAAATATAACATTTGGTCCCAACCTATATAGAGTAAAATGTACTCTTTGTTCAGAGTTGTATTTTTAGAGTTCATTTTACTCTATTATGTGCTTAGATTTGACTCTGCTTAATGGTTATTTACTCTATGTAGTGTATATTAAAAACAACTCTTCTGCCATTTTACTCATAATAGAAGGTAATTTTACTCCCAATAGAAGGTAATTTTACTCCCAACAGAAGGTAATTTTACTCAGAATAGAATAAATGAACCATAATGATCTTTACAATAAAAAAGGTCAATAAACCAAAGTGCTTAAGGAACATGAGTGGGCGTGTGTGAAGCTGACCATTGAGCGGCCCGACCAAGCAAGGAGGCAGAGGCAGAGAGTTCAAATACAACCCGGTGTGGGCATTTATTCCTCTTTGTGGTACAGGATACACAGCCTCAATATGAGTGTCTCACGTGAACACAGTCACCAGCACCAAGGATCTCACACACACACACTAACAGGAAAACAGAACCTAAATACACACAGGACTAATCAAACCAACAAGACACAGGTGAGGAGGGAGGAGAAACACAGGGCACCAGGTGAACGCAATCACCAGCAACAGACAAGACGGGAGAGGGAACACTTTTCAAACTAAAACAGGAAACAGAGACAGACAAACTAAAACATAGACAGATTGTGACAAATATATGCATAAATGACATATAATCACATGCTTCCTGTGCAATGTTTTAGCGTGGAACAAATGAATATACTTCGCCAATAATGAAGCTATATAATCCGTAACGGAGGACCGAGATCTATGGCCCCAGAGATCACCTCCGTTACAGCGTGGTCATGGTTTAACTCCAATAGAATTGACTCTGCATTTTTGATCGCACTCTAGAAGCTATGAGTAATAAATACACTCCAAAATGATTAAATATCACTATTTCAGAGCAAAATAGTAATTACTCTGGAAAAAATACTCACCAATATTTCCTGTGTATTTTCCTGTTCTTTATGTCACACTGTACCTTTCACTCCATAGTGAACTCTCATAGTGTTTGCTCACCTTCGACAGCATCCGGCACTTTGCAGAAGTTTCCTCTTTAAATCCAGTGCAACCACAATAGTCATATCCATATCAAAAAACATGTATCATCCAAAGTTCAAAGGGACGTAGGAGATAAAAGCTGCACATTTCAGAGTGGTCTTCTGTTGAGGCACACCTGAAGCAATCATCTGTTTAACCCTCCTATTGTCTTCGTTCCCCCCCTTACTTTGGTGTTCGCGGTCAAATTTGACCGGCCCTGTTTTAACTGCTATTACATTAACACAAAAACCATTAATCATTACCAAATGTCATTTAACACCCTTTCAAACTGTACATATTGTATCAGACTACTGGTATACATGAACAACTGCAGTAAATATACAAAGAATAGACACTGAACATGTATTGCGTGTGCCAGGTGTGATCCATGTGGGGGGATGGGCACATAAGAGCGGGAAATGTGTCAAATTGTTCTGTGTGTGTGTTTGTGAATCACATGGGGGGATTGGGCACATAAGGGGGGGGAACATGTGTGTGTGTGTGTGTGTGTGTGTGTGTGTGTGTGTGTGTTTTATCTGATCCGGATGGTTACTAGTTCCTTTTCTTTATGGCGGTCATTTTTGACCGGGAACACCATGGCTGTTACAAAGTTGACTAAATCATCCAAAATTCAATGAAAGTGGTGATCAGCCATTTTATATGTTCAAATGTCTACTGTGAAGGATATCATAAAGCCTTAATGCAATCGAATGTAAAACAAAAAAGTTATGATTGATGAAAGTAGTAGATCGGTCAGATTTGACCCGAAGACAACAGGAGGGTTAATCAACGCCCTGACACACCACACCTGTAACACCGTCAACTGAACATCTTCTAGGAATACAACTTTATGGTGCATATAAGGTCATATATATTTGTATTTGTACATAAAGAGCAAAAGCAAGTGTTTGTTAATAATATTTGTTGGTGTATTTCCTGAGTGTTTTGCTTGTTTTCCTGTAGGAGGAGCTGGGGGTGATGAGCGGTCAGATCCTCCAGCTCTACAGACAGAAACCTCTGCAGGAAGACAAGAGCGCCACAGCCAAGAGGTCAGTAAAACAACAACAAATACTTCAATCATTAAAAAGATTGATAAATAAATAACAGTTGTTTCCATGGTTCCTTGTGTTTCGTTCAGCGGTGATGTGTGTGAGCGCAGGACGCAGTGTGTGTGTGCTGCGTCGTGTGTGTCCCGGGGGAAGCTGCTGCTGCACTGCTTCCTGCAGGGACTCAAAGCCGGACTGAATGAGGGCACTGGTGAGAAAAAGATCAATAAATGTACTTGACTCATTTTGTTACAGATGTCAGATATGTAAGGCATTTGTTTTTGGTGTTTTTACCAAAAGTGGCATTTTTGGGAGTTCTGAGATTTTCAGAAAAAGAAAAAGAATATTCTGAGAGAAACGAAAACAGTGCATCGGGAAAGTATTCATACCCCTTAACTTTTTTCACATTTTGTTATGTTACAACCTTATTTCAAAATGGATTAAATTCAATTTGTTTCTCAATATTCCACACATGATACCCCATAATGACAAAGTGAAAACGTTTTCAAATATATTTTTGCAAACGTGTTAAAAATAATCAAATGAAATATCACAAGTATTCACACCCTTTGCTTTGACACTGAAATTTGAGCTCAAGTGCATCCACTGATCATCCTTGAGATGTTTCTATAACTTGAGTGGAGTCCACTTGTGTTCAATTAAATAGATTTGACATGACTTGGAAAGGAACACACCCGTCTATATGAGGTCACACAGTTGACAGTGCATATCAGAGCACAAACCAAGTCATGAGGTCCAAGGAATTGACTGTAGACCTCAGAGACAGGATTGTATCAAGGCGCAGATCTGGGGAAGGGTACAGAAACATGTCTGCAGCATTGAAGGTCCCAACGAGCACAGTGGTCTCCATCATTTGCAAATGGAAGATGTTTGAAACCACCACGGCTCTTCCTAGAGCTGGCCGCCCAAACCAAACTGAGCATCGGGGGAGAAGGGCCTTGGTCAGAGAGGTGACCAAGAACCTGATGATCACTCTGACAGAGCTCCAGTGTTCCTCTGTGGAGATGGGAGAACCTTCCAGAAGGACAACCATCTCTGCGGCACTCCACCAATCAGGCCTTTGTGGTAGAATAGCCAGAAGGAAGCCACTCCTCAGTAAAAGGCACATGAAAGCCTCCATGGAGCACCAAGAGAACTCTCAGACCATGATGAAAACAAATTGTCTGGTCTGGTGAAACCAAAATTGATCTCTTTGGCCTGAATGCCAAGCATCATGTCTGGAGGAAACCAGACCTGGCCAACACCATCCCTACAGTGAAGCATGGTGGTGGCAGCATCAGAGATCCTTGATGAAACCTGCTCCAGAGCGCTGTGGACCTCAGACTGGGGCAAAGGTTCACCTTTCAACAGGACAACGACCCTAAGCACACAGCCACGACAACAAAGGAGTGGCTTCGGGACAAGTCTGTGAATGTCCTTGAGGGGCCCAGCCAGAGCTCAGACTTGAACCCGATTGAACATCTCTGGAGAGATCTGAAAATGGCTGTGCACCGACGCTCCCCATCCAAGCTGATGGAGCTTGAGACGATCTGCAAAGAAGAATGGGAGAAACTGCCCAAAGAAAGGTGTGCCAAGCGTGTAGCATCATACTCAAGAAGACTTGAGGCTGTAATTGCTGCCAAAGGTGCTTCAACAACGTATTGAGTAAAGGGTGTGAATACTTATGCACATGTGATATTTGAGTGTTTTATTTTGAATTCATTTGCAAAAATTATTTTAAAACTTTTTCCAATTGGTCATTATGGGGTTTTGTGTCTAGAATGTGGAGAAAATACATTTAATCCATTTTGAAATATGGCTGAAACATAACAAAATGTGGAAAAAGTGAAGGGGTATGAATACTTTCCGGATGCACTGTATATATTTCTTTTTTCAAAAAAGGAAATTCTGATTTCTGAGATTTTCTGGCAACATTTTTTCTGAGAAAGAAATCTGAATACTGAGATTTGCAGGATAAAAAATGAAAAAAACATTTCTCAGAGAAAATAAGAAAAATTCAGAAGAAAAAAACGGAAACAAATAAATGATCAGAGATAACTCATGAGATTTAAAAAAAAAAAATCTCTGAGAAAATGTAATTGTTTTTTCTTCAGACTTCTAATAAAAAGTCAGAATTTGGACAGTTCTCAGAATTCTGAGATTTTCAGAAGACGAAAAAATTTAATTTTCACAAAGTAAATTAAAGGGCGTTTTATGTTGTCGTTGCTGTGGACCTTCTTAATCTACCTTCTTTGGGGGCCCCCTTCTGGTCCGGGGCCCCAAGCAGTTGCCTGCGTTGGCTGTTCGCAAGGAGCGCCCCTGTCCACAGATATACATAGCACGATGAGTGATCATTAAATAACTAACCCCCCCGAGCCTACAGGTGGAAGCTGGGGTGGAAGCTGGGGTGGTGGTGGGATGGAAGCTGGGATGGTGGTGGGGCAGACAAGCAGCAGCGACGTGGAAGTAGCTGCAGCGATAGCAGCAGCAAGCAATGCATAGAGAGAGATCTGGCAGGTTAAGGAGACTCTGTTTGGTTGGTTGTAGAGTGGCAAGGGGCGTTATGTATGAATGCAGCATAAGTGCTCGAGTTGACTGCCTGAACTAGCTCGCAGGCTTCACCCCATTTCTCAGAGAAAAGAAAATTAAATGTTTTATTTTCTTCAGATTTCCCCCCCAAGAATATTTTTTCAGATTTGTGATTTATCGTTAATTACACGCCTTGAAAATGTTTCTCTTTTCTTCCAGACGCTCGTCATCAGGTGGCGATGCAGCTGCTCCACTCAGAGTGGGAATACGTGTCGACGTTAAACCAGCTGCACGACAAATACAGGAAGCCCCCGGACCACCTTATGACTCTGGAGCCATAGTGAGTACACCTTCATATATACAAACATACAAACACAACTTTACTCATCATGGTTTCTGTATGAATTCTGCAACTCAGAGGGAAGTTTGGGGTGTTTTAAAATAACAAATAAAACTATAATTAAAGGTGGGGTAGGTAATTCACTTCAGAAACACTTGTTGTATTCCATGGAATGCTCTTAACATCCCGATAGCAATGAATACATTAAATGCTTTGACAATAAATACATTACAAAATGTAATTGTTATATAAATGTATAAAATGTATCATCATCATAAACAAATTGCAGAAAATGTTGCTCAATAAAATAATAAACAAATAAATAATAACATAATAATGTACTTAACTGCTTCAAAAATAAAATGCTAAAAATAAATAAAATAAAAGAATCAACTTGGTACTTCTGCTCCATAGAAAATACCCAAAATAATGCTAAATAAAATAAGATAAATAATAACAAAATAGGTTAAAATAAAATAAATGAATCTGATATCTAATCAACCTAATCAACCTATTACTTCTGCTGCACATTTCTATATATTAAAGTGGACCTATCATGCAATATTTGAATAATATAGTGTAGGACCATACCTATATAAAGGCATATTTATACTTTTTTTTTTTCAAAATACCAAACAGATCATGCATTTTAGCCATGCCTCATTTCGCTCAATTTGACCATTTCTAGCTCCGTTTGTGCAAGGGCTGATTCAGTGAGAACAGCACCACCTACAGGCCTGGCATATGTACTACAGCATCTCCAGCGCTTTCGAACGGCAATGGCCGTGGCTGTCTCCTCCTGATTGGTGGAGTTGGCCCAATAGCCGTAGCGCCACCGTCCTGACGTCAGGACAGTGTTCAAATCTGGATCAGTTTTTATCAGATCTGTTGCAGCCCCTTTTTTAGAGATTTGGGTATGGAGGAAAAGAGAGAGGGTTATGTTTTCTGACACTTGGTGAGTTCCCTGGAACACCGGGGACACATATTCATGTATAAAAGACGTAAAAAGTGCATTTTGCATGATAGGTCCCCTTTAAGTTAAAATATCCCCAAATCACCTGAAACATCGTGTTTACCTGCAGTTCCGCTCCTCTTGTTGTGAAATCAGAAAACGTGTGTGTGTGTTTTTGTGTCTTTCAGTCAGACGTTTGTGAGTTTTGTGGAGCAGCTGCTGCAGAGACACCTGCTCTTCAGGAACACCCTGCAGGAGAGACTGTCTGCAGAACACTGGAAGTCTCTGATCGGAGACATCGTGGTGCAGCTCATCGGACAGAACGACGTGAGTTTCTGATCTGAGAATGATTTCCGTCCTTTACTCTGAACCCTGAACTGAGTCTCTCTGCTTCGTGTCGTGCAGACGGCGTTCTCAGAGATGTACCTCGGATACACAACCACGCTCGCCTCCTTCCTCTCGCTGGAGTTCAACAGGATCAACGTCTCTGAGAAGAAGCAGGTAAACTTCATCAAACTGTGTACGGATCATTTAGCACGTTATTAACTATTTAAAACTGCACAACTCTTTCACTTCTAATTCAGATAGTATGTATATATTCTTTTACAGTATTTGTCAAATTATTATGGAGTTTTTTCAAAAGGTGCAGACTGGTACCAAATATATATAACTTGTTTTTTAGAAAAGGGGGAGGTGCTGATTTGTTTGGGTTACATTACAGAAGAAAATCAATACACAGCAGGGGAACGTTACTTCCTGTTAAAGAACCTGAGGAACGTTACTTCCTGTTAAAGTATCTGAGGAACGTTACTTCCTGTTAAAGAACCTGAGGAACGTTACTTCCTGTTAAAGAACCTGAGGAACGTTACTTCCTGTTAAAGTATCTGAGGAACGTTACTTCCTGTTAAAGTACCTGAGGAACGTTACTTCCTGTTAAAGTATCTGAGGAACGTTACTTCCTGTTAAAGTATCTGAGGAACGTTACTTCCTGTTAAAGTATCTGAGGAACGTTACTTCCTGTTAAAGTATCTGAGGAACGTTACTTCCTGTTAAAGTATCTGAGGAACGTTACTTCCTGTTAAAGTATCTGAGGAACGTTACTTCCTGTTAAAGTACCTGAGGAACCTTTACTTCCTGTTAAAGAACCAGAGGAACCTTTACTCCCTGTTAAAGAACCTGAGGAACGTTACTTCCTGTTAAAGTACCAGAGGAACCTTTACTTCCTGTTAAAGTACCTGAGGAACGTTACTTCCTGTTAAAGTACCAGAGGAACCTTTACTTCCTGTTAAAGAACCAGAGGAACCTTTACTTCCTGTTAAAGTACCTGAGGAACGTTACTTCCTGTTAAAGTACCTGAGGAACCTTTACTTCCTGTTAAAGAACCAGAGGAACCTTTACTTCCTGTTAAAGTACCTGAGGAACGTTACTTCCTGTTAAAGTACCTGAGGAACCTTTACTTCCTGTTAAAGAACCAGAGGAACCTTTACTTCCTGTTGAAGTACCTGAAGAACGTTCCTTCCTGTTAAAGTACCTGAGGAACCTTTACTTCCTGTTAAAGAACCAGAGGAACCTTTACTTCCTGTTAAAGAACCTGAGGAACGTTACTCCCTGTTAAAGAACCTGAGGAACGTTACTTCCTGTTAAAGAACCTGAGGAACGTTCCTCCCTGTGTTCCTCAGAGCGGTCAGGAGGAGATGAAGCTCCTCTCTCTGCTGCTCGCTCCCCGTCTCCAGAATCCACGCCTACCTGAGCCACATCCAGGTGAGTCTGTAGCTACAGGTAATCAGGTCAATTTAGGCAAGTCAAATGTGTACAATAATTAAAAATGTAAAAGCTGGAACCATGAAGTATCTCATTCAATATAATATAATTTAATAGAATAGAATTTAAAGGTAGGGTAGGTTCAGAAACACTTGTTATATTCCATGGAATGCTCTTCACATCCCGATAGCAATGAAAACATTAAATGCTTTGACAATAAATACATTAAAAAATGTAATCTGTGGAAGCCGTGGCGCTGTAAAAAGCACGACCAATCATCTGAGCCGGCCCGGCTAAAATAACTGGATGGCCTACCTGCCTGTCAGCCTTCCATCTGTGCACAAACTTATCTCGTGCCCTCATTGGTCATGTGCGCGTTCGTGTGTGTTGGAGGAGGGGCTCTGTGAGGAAGTCTGAAGGAAGGGGCAGATTTCTTTCGGTTGCGTACTTTCAAATTCTAGCGCACTCGAGCTGGTTTCTCCATTCTTACCTACCCTACCTTTAAGGTAATTTAATAGAATATAATATCTAGCAGTGTTGAACCTGATTTTTTTCACATTTAAAGCACAGACTTCAGTTAAGCAGTATTTATATGGTTACCTAATGTTCTATAAAGTGAAGATGTGTTTACCTCCTTGTGATAAAACAGAAAATAAATAACTTTAATTATTTCTTTAGGAGTTAAAACAAAAATAAAATAAAGTGTTGTTTTTTTAAATGAAATATAATACTGTGGCCTCCCTCCCTCCCTCCCTCCCTGCAGAGCCTGCTGCAGTGGACGAGGCCGGAGCACCCTGACTGCAGTCTGCTGCTGGGAGCAGAGCGCGCGCTGAGAAGCGTTCTGACTCGCTGCCATCAGATCCTGCAGGAGGACGTCCAATGGGAGGAGGCCGGGGGTCAGAGGTCAGGAAACACCAACATATACACACTGTAGTTATACTCAAACATCCACATCTCCTCTGGCTGGAAGAGAACTCTCTGCTCCAGAGCCTCTCTTAATAACTGGACTTAACAAATGTAACATTTGTGATATTGGGCTATATAAATAAACATTGATTGATTGATTGATTGATTGATTGATTGACTCCCACTGTTCATTTTACATTCATATTATATTTATTATTGAATAATCCATTCTTGCACAATAATATCCTGCATTATATCCTTAGAAAACAAATCTCTTTGCATTGAAACTTTTTGAAGTTAAAAAGTGAACATGATTTGAAATGTGTATTTAAATGTGTTTTCCTGTCAGCAGTGATGCAGAGTCCGCAGGATGCTCTGAAGGCTGCAGGAGACAACAGACTGCAGACAGCAGCTCAGTGAGGAGGTCAGTGTCGCCCCCTGCAGGCTGGAGGCAGCACTGCAGGACTGTTTCAGTTAAATGTGCAAAAATGTTGCACCATGATCTCTGTATCTTTTGCACAATTTAGAGATTACGAGTGCAGGGAAATGTACTTGCAGACAAATGCAAGATGTTAGCTTCTTATTGTTGCATTCAACTAAAAAGTGGATATTTTTTGTGTCTGTAGTAATTTCACATTTTTTACTTTGGCCAAAAAAATCGTTATGACATCAAAATCTGATCAGCTCATTTTCAGACAGGTTTTTATATAAATGGATCAGGACAAAAAGAGAGAGAATCTTTGTTCCTGAAACTTTCAGAGTCTCTTTACACAGAGGGGACACAGAGGGGACACAGAGGGGCACAGAGGGGACACAGAGGGGCACAGAGGGGCACAGAGGGGACACAGAGGGGACACAGAGGGGCACAGAGGGGACACAGAGGGGCACAGAGGGGCACAGAGGGGACACAGAGGGGACACAGAGGGGCACAGAGGGGGCACAGAAGGGACACAGAGGGGACACAGAGGGACACAGAGGGGGCACAGAAGGGACACAGAGGGGACACAGAGGGGACACAGAGGGGGCACAGAGGGGACACAGAGGGGGCACAGAGGGGACACAGAGGGGACACAGAGGGGACACAGAGGGGGCACAGAGGGGACACAGAGGGGACACAGAGGGGGCACAGAAGGGACACAGAGGGGACACAGAGGGGACACAGAGGGGGCACAGAGGGGGCACAGAGGGGACACAGAGGGGACACAGAGGGGACACAGAGGGGACACAGAGGGGACACAGAGGGGACACAGAGGGGACACAGAGGGACACAGAGGGGGCACAGAAGGGACACAGAGGGGACACAGAGGGGACACAGAGGGGGCACAGAGGGGACACAGAGGGGGCACAGAGGGGACACAGAGGGGACACAGAGGGGACACAGAGGGGGCACAGAGGGGACACAGAGGGGACACAGAGGGGGCACAGAAGGGACACAGAGGGGACACAGAGGGGACACAGAGGGGGCACAGAGGGGGCACAGAGGGGACACAGAGGGGACACAGAGGGACACAGAGGGGACACAGAGGGGACACAGAGGGGACACAGAGGGGACACAGAGGGACACAGAGGGGCACAGAGGGGACACAGAGGGGACACAGAGGGGACACAGAGGGGACACAGAGGGGACACAGAGGGGACACAGAGGGGACACAGAGGGGACACAGAGGGGACACAGAGGGGACACAGAGGGGACACATGTTGATGTAGAAGAGACATGAACAAGTGGATGTTGCTAGGTGACCTTTAAGTAAAAACTAAAACAGAGTGTTGAATGCATTTCCCTCTCCTCCCCCTGCAGAGAGGGGGGGTCCGGCCTCACTAACGGCCCCTCGATGCGGGTGGAGTGCTTGTCCTGCAGCCCTGTGAGGAGGACCTTCCCCCCTCACCCGGACTGTGGGCACGCCTGCTGCTCCCTCCTCGCCCCCTCCTCCCCCGCAGCGTGGGGGGAGAACAGCGACTCGGGGAAGGGCACCTACAGGCAGGAGCCCCCCCACCCTCACCCTCACCTGCAGAGCGGGGGGGAGACGGACGCCGACGACACCTCGGGGTTCAGCTTCTCCTCCGTGTCCTCCTGCAGCCCCGATGGGACCCTGACGGGGGGCAGGCTGGGGGAGGAAGAGGAAGAGGAGGAGGAAGAGGAAGAGGAGGAGAGCCAGGAGCCAGTGCTGCTGAAGAGGGAGGGGCCCCGAGAGAGAGAGGGAACCAGAGAGAGGGAGGGTCCCAGAGAAAGAGAGGGTCCCAGAGAGAGAGAGGGAACCAGAGAGAGAGAGGGAACCAGAGAGAGGGAGGGTCCCAGAGAGAGAGAGGGAACCAGAGAGAGGGAGGGTCCCAGAGAGAGGGAGGGTCCCAGAGAGAGAGAGGGAACCAGAGAAAGGGCGATGTGTCTGAGGTGGCAGATCCCCAGATTGACCCCCCACCCCCCCCCCTGCCTGGTCAGCTCCTATGGGAGGAGAGTGGTCAGCGTGAAGAGAGGCTCCCCCCCCCCACTCCATCCCAACAGCGCCTTCAGACCCATCTGGGACGACCCCAAACAGGTGGGTGCTTTATATTCATAAAATAATAATAAATAAAATATAATAATATAAAATAAAAAATAATAACAAGATGGGACGACCCCAAAGCAAGTGTTTACCTTTTTAAACATTTAAAATAAATATAAATAAAATAATAAATACAAATCTCCCCTGCTCTGTGCGTGTGCAGCAGGTGGACTCGGCTCCGGAGAAAGACGGTCGAGGATTCATCCCGATTCAGACAGCCGCGGCAGGGAGGAAAACCTCCAACAACCCCCCCCCCAGCCGGGAAAACATCAGGTACTACAAACACACACTTCAGACATAAAAGGTCATCCATTATCTTTTAGTTTGAGTCTTTTCCTTAAAGGTCACCTATTGTGCAACATCCACTTCTTCTTCATGTCTCTTCTACATCAACATGTGTCCCCTCTTCTTCATGTCTCTCCTACATCAACATGTGTCCCCTCTTCCTCATGTCTCTTCTACATCAACATGTCTCTCCTACATCACCATGTGTCCCCTCTTCTTCATGTCTCTTCTACATCAACATGTGTCCCCTCTTCTTCATGTCTCTTCTACATCAACATGTGTCCCCTCTTCTTCATGTCTCTTCTACATCAACATGTGTCCCCTCTTCTTCATGTCTCTTCTACATCAACATGTGTCCCCTCTTCTTCATGTCTCTTCTACATCAACATGTGTCCCCCTCTTCTTCATGTCTCTTCTACATCAACATGTGTCCCCTCTTCTCATGTCTCTTCTTCATCAACATGTGTCCCCCTCTTTCATGTCTCTTCTACATCAACATGTGTCCCCTCTTCTTCATGTCTCTTCTACATCAACATGTGTCCCCTCTTCTTCATGTCTCTTCTACATCACATGTGTCCCCTCTTCTTCATGTCTCTTCTTCATCAACATGTGTCCCCTCTTCTTCATGTCTCTTCTACATCAACATGTGTCCCCTCTTCTTCATGTCTTCTTCTACATCAACATGTGTCCCCTCTTCTTCATGTCTCTTCTACATCAACATGTGTCCCCTCTTCCTTCATGTCTCTTCTACATCAACATGTGTCCCCCTCTTCTTCATGTCTCTTCTACATCAACATGTGTCCCCTCTTCTTCATGTCTCTTCTTCATCAACATGTGTCCCCTCTTCTTCATGTCTCTTCTTCATCATATGTGTCCCCTCTTCTTCATGTCTCTTCTACATCAACATGTGTCCCCTCTTCTTCATGTCTCTTCTACATCAACATGTGTCCCCTCTTCTTCATGTCTCTTCTACATCAACACGTGTCCCCTCTTCTTCATGTCTCTTCTACATCAACACGTGTCCCCTCTTCTTCATGTCTCTTCTACATCAACATGTGTCCCCTCTTCTTCATGTCTCTTCTACATCAACATGTGTCCCCTCTTCTTCATGTCTCTTCTACATCAACATTAGTCCCCTCTTCTTCATGTCTCTTCTACATCAACATGTGTCCCCTCTTCTTCATGTCTCTTCTACATCAACATGTGTCCCCTCTTCTTCATGTCTCTTCTACATCAACATGTGTCCCCTCTTCTTCATGTCTCTTTCTACATCAACATGGGTCCCCTCTTCTTCATGTCTCTTCTACATCAACATGTGTCCCCTCTTCTTCATGTCTCTTCTACATCAACATGTGTCCCCTCTTCTTCATGTCTCTTCTACATCAACATGTGTCCCCTCTTCTTCATGTCTCTTCTACATCAACATGTGTCTCCTCTTCTTCATGTCTCTTCTACATCAACATGTGTCCCCTCTTCTCTCATGTCTCTCTGCACATCACACATGTGTCCCCTCTTCTTCATGTCTCTTCAACATCAACATGTGTCCCCTCTTCTTCATGTCTCTCTAACATCAACATGTGTCCCCTCTTCTTCAGTCTCTTCTACATCAAACATGTGTCCCCTCTTCTTCTTCATTGTTCTCTTCATCATCAACATAACTGTGTCCCTCTGTGTAAAGAGACTCTGAAAGTTTCAGGAACAAAGATTCTCTCTCTTTTTGTCCTGATCCATTTATATAAAAACCTGTCTGAAAATGAGCTGATCAGATTTTGGCCATTTTATGATGTCATAACGATGTTTTGTCTTGTGTAGCCATTAGCCAATCACCAACCAAGGTAACCCCCCCCCCCCACCTTATCACCTGAATCTCCTCCTAGAGCACCATTGAGTTCTTTTTTAACCAAATCTCTCTCAGAGGGGCGTGGGGAGGGGCTCCTTATTTTCATCTAAAGTAACAGACAGAGAATCAGCACTTTGGAAACAGGGCTGAAACAGAGGGGATTATGGGTAATGCTGCAATGATCTGTTTGGTGTTTGGAGACAAACACTTCACAGACATGTGTTGTATATATCTGAGCCCTATAATATATTGATGAAAAACAGTATGATAGGGGACCTTTAAATTAATTACCCTAACCCCTACCCTAACCCCTAACCCTTTCCCTTGAATAAAACGTTATTAATTAGATAATTTCCGACCTGTTTCTTGTGTTCAGGGGGGGCCTGTGGGAGGACAGCGAGGACAGCGAGGGGCCCTGCAGCACCGTGTGAACATTTACATTTACTTTATTTCCAATGTATTTATTTCAAGGAGACTTTCGCCCCAAATGGAAATGCATGAATGGCGAATCAACAAGCCTCAAATAAAGATTTGTTTTTTGCTTTTTGGTGGACATCTTTGTTTGTTCCAGATGACATTTGAATGTTTTAAAGATTTAAGAAACATACTGTACATTGACTTTTAGATTATAACTCATTTGATAAGGTTTGCTAAATAGGTTTTAGTGCATGTAAATGGTCTGCAAAGGCTAAAAAAAAGGCTAGACACTACATACTGATATACACCTGAACATCAGCAGAAGAGGACTCTTTAAAGTAGAGACACTACATACTGATATACACCTGAACATCAGGAGAGGACTCTTTAAAGTAGAGACACTACATACTGATATACACCTGAACATCAGGCAGGAGAGGACTCTTTAAAGTAGAGACACTACATACTGATATACACCTGAACATCAGCAGGAGAGGACTCTTTAAAGTAGAGACACTACATACTGATATACACCTGAACATCAGCAGGAGAGGACTCTTTAAAGTAGAGACACTACATACTGATATACACCTGAACTCATCAAGAGGACTTATCAGCAGGAGAGGACTCTTTAAAGTAGAGACACTACATACTGATATACACCTGAACATCAGCAGGAGAGGACTCTTTAAAGTAGAGGCACTACATACTGATATACACCTGAACATCAGCAGGAGAGGACTCTTTAAAGTAGAGACACTACTTACTGATATACACCTGAACATCAGCAGGAGAGGACTCTTTAAAGTAGAGACATTACATACTGATATACACCTGAACATCAGCAGGAGAGGACTCTTTAAAGTAGAGACACTACATACTGATATACACCTGAACATCAGCAGGAGAGGACTCTTTAAAGTAGAGACACTACATACTGATATACACCTGAACATCAGCAGGAGAGGACTCTTTAAAGTAAAGACACTACATACTGATATACACCTGAACATCAGCAGGAGAGGACTCTTTAAAGTAGAGACACTACATACTGATATACACCTGAACATCAGCAGGAGAGGGACTCTTTAAAAGTACATATTTTAGGTATTTTGAATATTGTTCAAACTAAATCAGACATTTGAAGACAGCAAGCTTGGCTCTGTGAGATTGTGATGGACATTAGTTGACATTTGATCAACTTCAAGATGATCAATGAATTAATAACAATTCTGAACAGATTAATTGATCATTAAATAGGTAGTTTTAGCCCCGACTAACAAACGCAGCAACGTTTTTTTAACCCAACACACCAGAAAATATGACAATAACCCGAAACTTCCCAAAATATTCAACTTTTTTCAACTTAAAAACCTTGAAAAAGCTGAATTTACAGCAAAAACAAAAGAAAACAAGGAGAGAAATGAGTAGTTCAGTACAAAATAAGACTGGGTGATTTATTAATCTCATCAAGACCATTAATACAAAGCAGTTAAAAGGCCACATACCATGAAATAAACCGACTGCTGGATGAAGCTTTTACAGTGCCACCGGAGGAAAATCTGGGGGTTAAAGTAAAAAAAACAAACAAACACGGAAAAAAAACTAAAAAGGACAACATCTGAAAAATAATTAACCCCGTCAACACTGGCCGGGGCGGGGGGGCACGGACAGAACATGAGAGAGGGGATTATATTTTGAAGAGGAAAGAGCACAAGTTTTCCTTTTGTTGAATTTTCGCTGAAATCCCACTCATGCTGCTGCGACGTCCTCGTGTGTGTGTGTGTGTGTGTGTGTGTCAGGTGTGTGTGTGTTCCGCCCTGATGCACGTAGAAAGCGAGTTTGAACAGTTGCATAGGACCATTGCATTTTTTTTTCTTTTTTCAAACAGGACCTAAAAACAACCACGGCTCTTCAACAACAGTACAGCCTAAGTGCACAAAGTGTGTTTTATCAGAAGGAAACAAACGAGAAACAAAGTCCAATTCTTCACCTGCAGGCTGAATACAAGTATGTGTGTGTGTGTGTGTGTGTGTGTGTGTGTGTGTTCACCTGCATTCAAACCGCCTGTTTTAATGAGCGTTAAAAAGTGTTTGAAAAGGAGAAAAAGGCCATTAGTAGAAAGTGAAGCACACGTCTAAGTGCTCGGCATATTTTAATATCATATATATTTTTTTAATGGGGAGGGGGGGGCATGGCTTTCCTCAGGAGATTGTCTGTTAGTGACCGGTTTTTATTTGTATTTTATTATCTGCCTGCTGCAGGATTATTAGGCTAAACTCGTCTGAACAGATGCGGATGAAAAGGGAGGAAAGAAAAACACTTTATACAAATTATTTAGTTAGTGTATACATGTTATATATACACAGTATCCACAAACATGTACAATTTCATAGTGTATAACTTTGTTCTAAACATGACATTTTTTTAGCTTTTTTTTTGTTTTTTTAAACACCATTTTGCTTATTTCTGTAAAGTAGAAAAACAAAAATAAAAAGGCACATCTGAGCGTGATGCAGGGGCTATTTCAGTCTTTCCCAAATGTTTTTCAAGCAGAGAAAAAAAGGTTTAAAATGTTGTTTTTAACGCAGAGAGGGGGGAGGTTTAATGCATGCTCCCAGTACTGCTGCTTAATACCAACGAAGAAGAGTTTGTTTAAAGAGGGGGGAGGGGGGGGGGGGGGGGCACAGTGTGAAGCAATCATGGCGGCCCCTCCCCCCCCCCCCCCCATGTCATTTTTATCTGATTCGCCCAAACTCGATGTGCAAATGGAGTGTTCTCGGGTTCACCGGATGTCCTTGAAGGCAACGTTTTGTGGCTGCAGAGTCACAGTGTTTTACATTTCAGATCCACGGTAAAGTGAGAGGGGGGGGTGGGGGCGTTCAGTGTCGCCTCCTGTAATGTCACATTAAAAAAAAAAGAAAATCCCTTTTCCCCCTGCATAAAATAAGACTTTGGCAACTGTTTTTTTTTCTTACATGAGAAAGCAAAGAGCTACGTCAGGAGGAGGAAGAGGGGGAACATCGCCGCACCGGAGAGATGAAGCATGGCGTTTGAGGCTATGTGCCCCCCCCCACCCCGATAGTCTAGTTGCCAGCATTGTGAACACAGAAATGTTGAGGACCCCAACGTTTGATGATAGAAATGTATAGTACGGGTCCCCAGCACATAGAAACTGCCGGATGCTAACCTGCATATGATGAGCAATTAGCACCATTAGCATAAGTTGCTTTCATTAGCATTAGCCTAAGTGGACAATAGTTGAAAAATGGCTCGGCAGATTTGGAGTGGTTTTGGGGGTTATTGAGGATGCTGAATCCATTTCTGACATTTTCAGGATAAAAATAAATGGCAGTTTTAACCAGAAACAGGCCATATTTGTACGGTCTCGGCTGATTCTGACTACCATGTGTTGGGACCATTGGATATAGAAAGCACAAGATGAACATCATTACCTCCACTGTGGACAATTCATTTTCAAACAGATAAGCAATCTGTCCAATCCAGATGATCCAGAGTCCCCTAAAACTTCCAAATCGACCCAAAATTCCTCAAAATCAGCCCATAGAGAATACAAATATAACCAGTCTTGTTAAAACTGCCATTTTGTATCCGAAATGGACTCAACTTCCTCAATAACCCCCGAAACTACTTAAAAACTGTCCAAATCTGCCAAGTCATGTTTGAACTATTGTCTGCATATGCTAATTTATGCTAATTAACACAAACCAACATATGCAAGTTATCATCTGGTAGTTTCTATGAGCTGGGGACCCGTACTGTACATTTCTGACGTAAAACCTTGGGGTACTCAACATTTCGGGGTTCACTCCAAGACTCAAACTGACCATAGAGGGGGGGGGGGGGGGAAGTGTTTCAGACTCCTGGGTGTTGGTCCAGCTGGCACACCAGTGTCTCATGGCACAGAGGGTGAAGATGATGAAGGCGAGCGACTGATCCCTTGAGAGGCACCGCAGGGGGGGGGGGGGAGTTTGATTCAGGCGGGTGGAGTTGAGGGAAATTCTTGAAATGATCAGCTGTTTATCAGAAACTCACACTGTGTTACCTTCCTGGAGAAAAGACGGTTTTATTTCTCGCAAGCCTCCTTGATAAACGAAGAATAAAAAAAACGGATAAAATAAATCAAGAATTTTACACGAATTATTTGTCGTTTTCGTTCTTAGTCAACTATAATGTCTCTTATAGGGCTGAGACCATGGAGAGGAAGTCAAACATCTCAATATTTTTGATCAATATGCATCAAATCGATGCTCAAACGAAATGAAGGGTTGATTTTTGATGCTTTCAAAATATTTAACACCAGTTTTTCATTAATTTAATCAATAAAATATCTGTTATATTGTAAATGCAGCCTTCAAAATCTAAGAATATATCTGGTCTCTCATCGCATTACATCGGTGTGGTCTTACCTATAGCTAGTCCATAAGTCTCTCAGCATGAACAAAATAAATCTAAGTGCACAATTTCTGGTAAGCACGAGATTTAAATTGGATCTTTAGCATGATTGTGTGTGCAGACCCTCAGTTTCACAGATCTGTTCATGATAAATACACTTCTTTTATCTATTAATGAACAATCTAGTCTTTCCACTAAAATGGCTTTGATCGAAGCGTTAAAAATACATCTGTAGGAAACACAAGATCATGATTCTGTGTGGAGAGATCTGTCCGTGTATGCACCATGTAACCTTTTTTGTAAAGTCATTGCAACACTCATTGAGAGTAGCACGCCTGCACGAATTTGACACTGCTTTAAATAATAAGGCTGTTACTTCCATTCATAAACACTTTTCTACGTTTTTTATGATTCTTTGTTCACCGTGGAGGCCTGAGAGATCAATAAAGTTTCTTCAAGACTTTAACAACGCTAACACGGTGCCAGTGACTGATAAACAGGGGATCATTTAGTTGTGTGTGTGGGTGTTCCCTCTCAGAGTGTGTGTGTGTTCCCTCTCAGCGTGTGTGTGTTTTCATTTTCATTCGTCGGTGTTCTCCACCAGCGAGAGGCCCTGCAGCTGAGGAGGGGGGGGGCAGCAGCAGCTCCCTCTTGTAAGTCTTTGGTGGGAGTTTGGGCAGCTGGGGGTTGCAGTTGTGGCGGGGGGGCAAGCGTGGGCTTCTGGCAACCGGGTGGGGCGGTGATGGCAGCGGGTAGAGGCTGTTATGACTGGCGCTGAGCGGGCAGCTGCGGGCGAGGGACGCGGGGCGACAGGCGTGCTGGGGGGGTGTTGGGGAGCAGGGGGCGGAGCCAAAGTCCCAGTGATAGCGGCCCACTGGGAGGGCTGCATGTTCACCGGGTAGTTGATGAAGATCTCCGGGGGTCGCTGAGGAACCGGAGGGGGCGTGTCGGGCTCAGGGTCGCGGGGCGGCGGTGGGGGGGGGCTGGGCAGCGGGCCGTCCATCGGGGGGCCGTTGTAGAGCGGGGTCCGGGGCTGGATCCGAGGCGGGGGGGGCAGCCGGGGGGGATCGCTGGAGGACTGTCGGACCTGGAGCTCATCTGAGACACAAGGAAGAGAAAATATTAATAAAACAAAAAGACCCGGATATGGACGGTTAGTGTCGTTTTTTGTTTGTCACTTTATGTATTTTCTTCATTTTGTTGTATTCTCTGTCAAAGCGTTTTGACAGTTTTTAGAAAAGCGCTATATAAGTGTCATGTATTATTATTATTATTATTATTATTATAGTGTACAGCAGACAGAACAGCCATAATGGGGTTCCCTAGTTGCAAGGCGAGTGAAGAAGTGTCTTAAGGGTGCATTTTCTCAAATATCCAGCAGGGGGCGACTCGACTGGTTGATTGTATAGAAGTCTGTGAGAAAATGTTCCTACTTCTCTCTCAGTAAACATTTCCCTGATGAGTTTGTGGTCTCAATCTCCAGTTTCAAGTCTTCTTCAACACAGCATGATGTTCAATTAGTCAATGATAGTGCCACGCTGTTTTCCTACTCACCAGTATTTGCATCCCAATATAAAATGCTTTATGGATGCACCACCTTGCCCTTTCACAGGTCAACACTCTCATACAAATATGGTCACTTTTGGCTAAGTTTAAACTCCTTATTTATCTATTAAAATCTGCAGTGAGATGTCACACTTGAGTTTTAAATGTAGTCCTTCATACAGGGAAGGAAATTAGCACGTGTCAATAGATGGTAAAAGGTGTTGAAGGTAAAATAATTCAGGTCGCCTGTCACCATGGCTGATAAGGTTTTGCCTATCTTAAGAAATATTATTTTTTAATATTGCAACTCCGTAGGTTGCTTCTTCTGTCCGATGACACTGACTCAGAGCTTAAACGTCTTAAGAGTTAGAAAAAGATATTTTATAGGAACCTATAGTATTATTATTTGCACTTGGCAATAAATATGTTAATCCCTAATCAAACCCAAGTAGTTATGATTATTGGTGTGAAATGCAGAGGTGGGGACTCGAGTCACATGACTTGACTCGAGTCAGACTCGAGTCGCATATTTTTTGACTTGAGACTTGCTTGACTAACATTGATAAAAGACTTGACTTTGACTTGGTATTCATGACTTGAGACTTGACTTAAGCTTGAGACAGATGACTTGAAAGGACTTGACTGTTTAAAATTAAATATTTGCGCTTGTTTTGTAGTGAGATATTACGTTAGTTTTTTCGAAAAACCTGATTGGGTGATTATAGCACCGTGCGCGCTAACCTGGCAACCCACTAGACGGCAAGGAGCGTCAGTTAACATGGCAGCGGCTAGCGTTTACTCCACAAATAGTGAAGTTTGGATTCAAGGATTATGTTGTCGATGACGCTAATAAGAAGAGAACAGCGGTATGCAGGGTCTGCAGCATAAAGATCAGTGACACGACCACCACAACATCCAACTTCATTCGTCACTACACGACTTGACTTGCTTGACTCTCACCACAGTGACTTGGGACTTGCTTTGATACTTGTAGGTCAAGACTTGAGACTTGCTCATGACTTGCACATGTAGGACTTACTCCACCTCTGGTGAAATGACTTCCCTGTTCTCACCTTGGATTCAAGAGTGGCGTCTTTCCTCCGCGGCGGCAGAGGAGGCGGTTTCTCAACTCGTCCCCGAGCTGATGGAGGCTGCCGCACGACCACCGACTCGAACTCTGCGAAACAGAAGAAAACACCATCAAAGAGTTAAAACAACAACAACAGTGTGAATAGAAAATGGAGAACAGGCCCTGCTCACTATCACAGCACAATTATGGCGGCATTTCCACTGGCAGGGTTTTAGCGCGGCTCAACTCGCTCTTTTTTGCTTTCCACTAGGGGTAAGTACCGGCTTCACGGGTACTTTTTTTTAGGACCCCCTCAGTCGAGGTTACAAGCGAGCTGAAAATATGCTTAGCTAGTGACGTAAAACACTGCCGACCGCTGATTGGTCAGAGAGAATCGTCACAATTATTGCGCGAGACAGTCCCCAAGCGTCGCATAAACAACCATTTTTAAAAACAGAGCGAGCTACCGTCAGCAAGTATTCTAATTTCAACAAATCCATAAAGAAATGGCAGCAAAAAAACTCAACGCCGTGGTCGTTGGACGACGTACAGACATTCCTCAAACTCGTTGCGGATGAAAAAAATACAGCGGGAGCTCGACGCTCTGTTCTTTGCTTGAAAGCGTTGTGTCCCTATCTATTGTAAAGCTCACTTCTAACAAACAAGCCTATTTTATCCTTACATTTATGTTCGACAACCCAGCCGATCGCTCCGCCTACACTGCGTGGTTACTATAGTTACTACCCTCGTTACTAACTCAGTGTATATGCAGGAATCCTGAAGTCAAATGTAAGACCTTTTAAGACCTTTTTTAAGACCCTTTCCATACATTTTAAGACCTCATCGCCACTTGGAGTTTTAACCGGTTACCTTGGCGACACACTTTACCTCACATTGACTATATACAGTATTGATTGTCCTTCCTCCTTATCTTCCAACCATTTGGACGCAAACTTGCATTTCCCCATAACGATGTTGTTTAACAACCGGCGTAAACGGACCTTCGCGCGCTATCAAGCAGTGAGCGTGCGATGTCCTGTTCAGATGACGTCAAATCCAACGGGATGCCATAAATAAACTACACAGAATCACACTGCACACCTACGCAATGATTACATTCAGGCACACTGTAGAATACCTCTTTGGACAATTTATATACTTATTGAAAACAAGCTACAAAATGTAATACCTTGGAAAATGCCGTTTAATACTTTTTAATAGCCTTCATTTTCGCTAAATTGATTTATCAACTTTTAATACTTTTTAAGACCCCGCGGACACCCTGTCACTGTAATGGAAACGCAGCTTAAAGTGAGCCGAACCGAGCAAAGGTGAACCGAGCCATGGCGAGCCGCGCTAAAACCTGTAGTCGAAATGCGGCTTTAGAGAGACTCATCCACCAGACAGCAAGAAAACAGACGGAGTGAACATAAAAAACATGGAAATTATTGGAAAATAAGACACATTTTGTACTTGTAGTTAAATTAGATAAATAAAACACAAGATGTATATAAAAAAAAAAATACCCATAAGATGAATTATGTACATATTAAGTGAATAATACAAATAACAGAGATACAAATAATAAAATCTAACGTTAAGATGAATTATCTGTATAATATAGGATGGAAAATAAAATCTAACCAAAATAGATTAAATATATGCAATGATAAAATGGAAAATATATAATGTTCGTACGTAGAAAGACTTGAAATGGGGACAGAAAACATCTTGTAGCAACGATTGAATTGAAAGGGAAAGCCAACACTCACTTGAAGGCGGCAGAAGCACAGGAGCAAAAATGGAGTTATTTCCTGTAAAATTTGAAGAGGGAGAAGAGGATTGATTTCAAAATAAAAGTGCATGCTCTTACCTTTCAGAATAAAAGCAGGGCCCATTTTAAATCAAGTGTGACATTAATGTAGCGCAGTCAAACGTTTTCCCCTCGTCAAATAAAAGCGTAAATAAGCTTTGAATGAAAAGAGACTAAATATTTATGCGACCCCCTAACTTGTAACCACGGCTGCTGAATTTCAGTTTGATGTTTATATCGTTTTCAGTATCTTCTCTACCTTTGTTCAAAGCTGAGAGAAGCCACCAGTAAACATGTGCAATGTTCTTTGTTGAATGTACAAAGAAAACTAAAAGAAAAGATTGTAAATACTTAAGTAACTCCAAGTTCCCTCAAGACCACCAGACTCAGGGACCGTTTCACCCCACAGGCCATAAGACTATTAAACACCTGAACTTCTTAAAGAACATCCATAAACAGTCCTCTGATTGCATTTTGCTAATTATTTATCTAATATATAATTCCATTTACTTGTATATAGACTATTCTTGCACTATTTCTATTTTATTTGTATTTACTTGCACATCTCCATATATATGTTGCACTGTTGGAGGAGCCTGTGACCTAAGTTTATCATTGACATATCTACACTGTAGCTAATGTGCTAATGACAATAAAAGCCTTGAAACTTGAGTTATCTTAAAAGGTCCCCTATTATACTGTTTTTCATCAATATATTATAGGTCTCAGATATATACAGAGCCTGTCTCTGATTGGCTCCAAACACCAAACAGATCATTGCAGCATCCCATAATCCCCTCTGTTTCAGCCCTGTTTCCAAAGTGCTGATTCTCTGTCTGTTACTTTAGATGAAAATAAGGAGCCCCTCCCCACGCCCCTCTGAGAGATATTTGGTTAAAAAGAACTCAATGGTGCTCTAGGAGGAGATTCAGGTGATAAAGAGGGGGGGGGGGGGGGGGGGGGTTACCTTGGTTGCTGATTGGCTAATGGTTACTCAAGCCAAAAACTCGTTATGACATCATAAAGTGGCCAAAATCTGATCAGCTCATTTTCAGACAGGTTTTTATATAAATGGATCAGGACAAAAAGAGAGAGAATCTTTGTTCCTGAAACTTTCAGAGTCTCTTTACACAGAGGGGACACATGTTTGATGTAGAAGAGACATGAAGAAGAGGGGACACATGTTGATGTAGAAGAGACATGAAGAAGAGGGGACACATGTTGATGTAGAAGAGACATGAAGAAGAGGGGACACATGTTGATGTAGAAGAGACATGAAGAAGAGGGGACACATGTTGATGTAGAAGAGACATGAAGAAGAGGGGACACATGTTGATGTAGAAGAGACATGAAGAAGAGGGACACATGTTGATGTAGAAGAGACATGAAATGATAGACAGAAGAGGGGACACATGCTTGATGTAGAAGAGACATGAAGAAGAGGGACACATGTTGAGTAGAAGAGACATGAAGAGAGGGGACACATGTTGATGTAGAAGAGACATGAAGAAGATGGGGGACACATGTTGATGTAGAAGAGACATGAAGAAGAGGGGATCGACCAATGTTGATGTAGAAGAGACATGAAGAAGAGGGGAACATGCTGATGTAGGAAGAGACATGAAAGAAGATGGGACAACATGTGACGTAGAAGAGACATGAAGAAGAGGGGACAATGTTGATGTAGAGAGAGACATGAAGAGAGGGGACACATGTTTATGTAGAAGAGACATGAAGAAGAGGGGACACATGTTGATGTAGAAGAGACATGAAGAGGGGACACATGTTGCTGTAGAAGAGACATGAAGAAGAGGGGACACATGTTGATGTAGAAGAGACATGAAGAAGAGGGGACACATGTTGATGTAGAAGAGACATGAAGAAGAGGGTGACACATGTTGATGTAGAAGAGACATGAAGAAGAGGGACACATGTTTATGTAGAAAGACATGAAGAAGAGGGGACACATGTTTATGTAGAAGAGACATGAAGAAGAGGGGACACATGTTGATGTAGAAGAGACATGAAGAAGAGGGGACACATGTTGATGTAGAAGAGACATGAAGAAGAGGGGACACATGTTGATGTAGAAGAGACATGAAGAAGTGAATTTTTGCATAATAGGTGACCTTTAAGATGTAATATTTGTGCGGCCCTCACCTCCGTATGAGTCGTGCTCCATGAACACGGAGCTGATGTCGGAGGCGGACTGCGGGGGGGTGGGCGTGTTAGGGGAGGTGGGCACGGAGGCAGGGGACTCGGGCTCCGTCTCCGGGATGCTCCGGAAGGTGATCTTGTGGGGCGGCTCCCTCTCCAGGGGCACCGGGTGGCCCTTCAGGGTCCCAGAGGTAGAGGTTCGGACAGGCCGGATCCCCGGGGACTTCAGGTTGTACATGGTCTTCCTGGGCTGCAGCACAACACACAGAACAGGCTGTTATCAATACAATACATTATCGCTTTAGAATGAACTGACAACAAGAAGGGGAAACAGACACAACAGGGATAAATGACCAGTTATTGGAAAATAATATAATACGGCAAATGATACACAGTGATATAAATATAGGAGAATAGATACACAACAGGGATTTAATGCCACAATGAATGGAAAAAAGTATAATAATAAAAAAATTAAAAACATGTATGTAAAAATCAAAAAACTAAGAGAAATATAAAAAGAGAAAAATATCAAATTAAGATGAGAGAATTAAGATGTAAAAAACACACTTGATAAAACAAGGTGTTCTCTAAAAGCACTCTATATACATAATGTGGATGGATGTACGTACGTGATGAAAAATAAAACATACTGAATAATAATAATAAACTTACAGGTAATGCAGAAGACAATGCTTTACAATAAGGGAAAATAGACAAAAGAAAAAAACATAAAAACAGGAATAAAATGCCAACTTAATGTAAAATAAAATGAAAAATAAAACACACTTGATATTAATAATAAAAATAAGATAAATATAAAAAGGCGATACGATTTAGATGAGATATATGCATGAAATAAGATAAAAAAAAATGAAAAAGCCAAGGGATCAGAACAGTTTTGACAAGAAAGTGCAGTTTTGGAGAATATGTAAGTTATGAAAGACACTGTGTATATTAGGGCTGTGCAATTAATCGTATTTTAATCGCAATTACGATTTTGGCCTGCCACAATTACGAAAACAACATAATCGAAAAAAACGATTATTTTGCTTTGCTAGGTTGTGACAGTGCAACATATTTGATCTAATTTATTTTAGTCTAATTTATTTGTATTTATCATATTTATATATGTTTAGTAGCTTGTTGGAGTGCGCTCCAAAATATTTGTTGATCTTGTTTATTGGTATTTATTATTTTGATATATTTATATAAATGTATCATTTATTTATTTATTTTTGTATTGGTTTTTCAGTTGAATTATACGTTCAGGGTAATCAACAGTTAAAAAGATACTGTTCAAATTATTATTTGTATTTGTTTTAAAGTTCAATAAATGGATGTTTTCAAAGTCAATGAATAATCGTATTTAATAATCGTGATATCAATTATTGACCAAAATAATCGTGATTATGATTTTTGCCATAATCGCACAGCCCTAGTGTATATTGCTCTAAAAACCGGACTCAGCTACAATTGCTGCATGTCTAGCATTTGGGACGAATACAGAGCACAGGAGTGAAACACTTACAAATCGAGGAGCCTGCCTGCAGTGCCGTGGCTCAATATCCAGAGACATTTTGAACAAGTAGTCTGCAAACTCCTTCTCACTCCGGTTGTTCATCGGGTTCAGGTTCTCGAAGAACCGCTGGGGAACACACCAAGAGACAGACACATCTCATTCAGGATATATACACACATTAACAACAATTCAATGTTTTAAAATGTAGGATCTATGTGCAACAAAGAAAGAAAAGACGTTCATGATCTATTAGGGATGTAACGATATACCGAATATCGCGCATTTTTTTAAACCTTTATTTAACCAGGTGGTCCCATTGAGATCATCGATTTATTTTTCAAGGGAGACCTGTCCAACATGGCAGCAAGATCAGCAACAACAGATAACACAAAAGGACATCGTATTTACAGGGCTACATTTATTTACCTAGAGACATTGACAAGTACCAACAGTATATGTATATCTCGCCCTGTCAATAAGCCTCACCTTCTTGGCAAAAACGGTATTGTTTTTGAAGTGGTGGAGAGACAATGCACAGTTTGACCCACTGCTGTCACCCATGGACAAAGCATATCATATATAGAGGTGGCGTTAGACTTTTTCGCTGATCGTAACATTTCCGTCATAATCCATTATTACCCGTCGGGTCTGAACTCGCCACTAACGTGTCGCGCTGACACGGGGGTGGGGGGGGGAGAGAGAGAGCACGCTTGTGAACTGTCAACGTGTTATGCATGCCCACCGAGATATGCATGCACCTCGCGGGAGCGCGCACAGCGTAAAGCAAAAACTCCCAGACATTTCAATGATCTGTTCGGCAAAGCACGGTTTGGAAACTATATAATTTCCTTTTGGAGGGCATGCATACGGCAAAACCCCAGAGCCTCGCTGCGGGGAAACTTTGGCGCTGTTCCGAGTTTGTTCTACTTCGTCATTGTTAAAAAAGATATTCGGATACGCGACCACTGCTGTCCCAGCAACATCAGTAACCAGCAACATCAGTACCAGCAACATCAGTACCAGCAACATCAGTACCAGCAACATCAGTACCAAGCGAGAGAGTTTTTTCACAGCAGGGGATATTTGTTTGATCAAATGTAAGACTTGTTAAGACCCCGCGGGAACCCCTGTATATAGGAAATATCTTTGGAGTTCAGGGTCTATGAAACGAGTTCAGGGACCACACAGAGAAGATGGTAGAAGTGAAGCGCTCACCCGGATCTCGTGCTCCACCTTCAGGCAGTACGGCTGGTTCTGGTACTGCTGGATCTCTCCGGTGATTTCCGCCACTTTCCTCCTCTTGCTGAAGTTGATCAGCTCTTTGCCGTGGCGCTTCAGGAAGTCCGGGTTCCCCTCCTCCGTCTTCAGGATGTTGGTTAAATAGATACCTGAGGAGGAGGAAGAGGGGGTGTTTCATTACTACATTATTATTATGATGATGCGCCGCTTTCCCCCCTTGTACTCCAGTAGGACTCAGATGAGGGTGTTGCACTTTTTTTGTACATGTCATGTTTTGGTGTTTTGTTTCTTTCTGTCAAGTGGGAACTAAGTATTTCGTTTTGTACGTTTTTGGGTTTCTCTTATTTTCCTACGATACTATTAACTAAATAATTGTTATACATTAAGTTGTGCATACCATGAACAGAACAAATAGAAATGACAGGGTATATGCAGGAATCCTGAAGTCAAATTTAATACATTTTAAGACCTTTTTTAAGACCTTTTTTAAGGACCCTTTCCATACATTTTAAGACCTCATCGCCACTTCGAATTCTAACCGGTTACATTGGCGACACACTTTACCTCACATTTACTATATACAGTATGGATTGAACCTCCTCAATAAACTCCAACATATCCAGAACTCTGCTGCCCGCCTCCTCACCCACACCCGCTCCCGAGACCACATCACTCCCGTCCTCCAGAACCTCCACTGGCTCCCCGTCCGTCAAGTCCTCCTCATTTCTCACAAAGCCCTCAACAATCAGGCCCCCCCCCCCCCTACCCTCCCTCACAGACCTGCTGCACCACCACACCCCTTCCCGCTGCCTCCCTCATCAGAAGCCAACCTCCTATCCATCCCCACCGGCATCAATCACCGGACCTGGGGGACAGACAGAGCCTTCTCTCCGTCGCTGCCCCCTCCCTCTGGAAACTCACGTCCCACAACCCATCAGAGACTGCACTGACCTCACCAGCTTCAAAAAACTCACCTCTCTTTCAATCTGGCTTTTAATGTGTGGATTGTTTTTGTATTGCTGCTTGATTTTAAATTTGACTTTAACTATATATATTTATTTGTTGTTCTTTTCTTTTTCTTTGTTCCCAAGAGACGCAAACTTGCATTTCCCCATAACGATGTTGTTTAACAACGGCGTAAACGGACCTCCGCGCGCTATCAAGCAGTGAGCGTGCGATTGTCCTGTTCAGATGACGTCGAAATCCAACGGGATGCCATAAATAAACTACACAGAATCACACTACACCCTACGCAATGATTAAATTCAGGGACAGACTGTAGAATACAACCTCTTTGGACCATTTATATACTTATTGAAAACAACTACCCAAATGTAATACCTTGGAAAATGCCGTTCTAATACTTTTTAATAGCCTTCATTTTCGCTAAATTTGATTGATCACTTTTAAGACTTTTTAAGACCCCGCGGACACCCTGACATGAAGATGACGGTGAAAGCAGGGTCAGAGGTTAGGCACCACATCGTGGTCAAATGAAAATAAGAACGTACCAAAGAAGGCACACAGGGCGGGTTTATTGACTTGAGTTTAGCCCAAATATTTCTTAAAGTGGTCCTGACTCAGCTCCACGGCTTCCTCCAGGATCTTCCTCTTCCTCTCTGGTATCGCCTGTTGGTGCAGAAGAGAAGAAAATAAATTATGTCAGCATTGGGATTAAAATGCATGTAAAAAACTACAAACATCAGATGTGTCTTCTTAATTATTAATATTAAGGTAAGATTTACAACAATTAGATATTAAACAAGTTGTATTGTGTTGTCCCCTGACCTCGAAGGTGTGGTCCAGCCGGTACACGGGGACAGAGTTGATGGCGCTGACCCCTCCAGAAACACCCGTTGAAGTTGTTTGGCTCCTGGAAAACCTGCAGGATCTCGATGACCCGAGTACATCACGGCCACGCGCTCCTCCAGGTTCATCGTCTCCACCAATGCACCTGAGATACACACAGTGTTAGAAAAATGTCACTCGTCACCGGCTTGAGCTTCAATATCAAGATCCATGTATTTGTGATCCTCTCCAGAATGGAAGCAGTCATCACATACAGAGCATCAACTAGTTCCCTGAACAGTGTCCTTCACATGCTGATGTACAAGAGAGGGAGTTACACAGTCACAAGATGGAGGAATACCGGTTCTTGTAGGTAATCATAAATCCTGTCATGTACAACACACTGAGTTTTTTTCTCCAAATTCTGTCTTTTTCTCAAATTCTGTCTTTCTTTCTACAAATGTGGACTTTTTCTCAAAACTCAGATTTTTTTCCCCCCCAATAAAAGAATTTGGACTTTTTTTCTCAAAACATCTAAAATTCAGACTTTTTTTCTCAAATTCAAAAAATTCTGTCTTTTTTTCGGAAAATCTCAAGATTCTGACTTTTTCTCAAAATTCTGACTTTTTCTCAAAACTGATTTTTTTCCCCCAAAATTCTGACTTTTTTCTCCAAATTCTAAATTATTTCTAAAAATCCCAAATTCTGTCTTTTTCTCAAAATTCTGTCTTTGTCTACAAATGTGGACTTTTTTCTCAAAACTCTGATTTTTTCCCCCCAAATAAAAGAATTCGGACATTTTTCTCAACACTCTAAAAATTCAGACTTTTTTTCTCAAATTCCTAAACATTCTGTATTTTTTCGAAAAAATCTCAAAATTCTGACTTTCTCCCAAATTCGGACTCTTTTTTCTCAAAATGTCAACATTTTGACTTTTTTCTCAAACTTCTGTCTTTTTCTGAATACTTAAAAATGTTACATGCTTGTCATATGTCTATCTCCATAGAGGATGAATCATCATGGTTAATCACATAGCTATCATATGCCTCAAACATTCCTGATACTCTTCTAGGTAATCATACATCCTGTCCATGTTCACAGCTACAGTGGGATACCTTTGTTATCATGTGGACTCTGATATTGGAAGAGGACATTCAGTGTTTTCCCAAACACAAAGGTACAGGTGTGAGATGATGGTCTGATTTAGACTGAAGATAAAGAGGTGAGTGTGTGGTGTGTGTGTGTGGACTCACTTCTCGAACCACAGCGTGAGGTTGGTGGTGTGGCGGGATCATACGCCGCAGGTTCGGGGAGTTTCTTCTCTTGTCCTCTTTGGTCCAAACGCTGCCCACCAACTCTGAGGGACGCACCGCTCTGAGGTAGAGGAGGAAGAGGAGTAGGAGGGAAGAGGAGGGGTTTATCTTACAGACAGGCTTTAAGCAACAATTTCATCGTAACCAGAAATGGTTAAAAAAAATTTCACTCTGCAGGCAGATTATTGTATTTATCTGTACAAACTAAATAACAGTGTTTGTATAATAATATTAATAAAAAGTTATTACAATTAAAATTAAAATAATCTTTAGACAAAAATTCATAATTAAAAAATCTTTTTAAAATCTTATAAAAAAATGTATAATAACAAAAATATTTAGGAAAACAATTAATACAACTAATCATAAATAAAAATCATTACAAAAATGTATAAATACAATTAAAAAAGTTAATTATTTTCCTTAGGGAGTTAATGTAACTGTAGAAATATAATACATATTTATAAATATTAAAAAGGTCTTATAAAACAGATATACATACATTATTGTCACAGATATTTGTATTATTACTCAATTAATTTTATATTATACAATTTTTTGGGCCCTTTCAGCTAAAAAGTGTATTTATCATAATTATTATACCCATTATAATATATGTTTTGTCTGTACGCCCCCCTGCCCTCCTCACCTGTACAGCTCAGACTCGAGCAGCGTGAGTTGCCGGGCGATCTCGATGGGGTGAAGGGTCATGAGGTCGAAGGTCTCCACCTGCCCCGCCCGGCAGATGTGCCACTCGATGGGGGGGGGGGCGGCGACTCGAAGGTGATGTTGTGGCTGACGCCGTTCGACTGCGTCTGCAGCTTCCTCTTGATGATCTTATTGATCGACTCCACCCACTTCCTCATCGACTTTCCTGAGAGGGAGACACGGAAAGATAACTTTTATTATGTGTTGGGAAAATACTGAATGTCCTCTTCCAATATGAGGAGTCCACATGATAACAAAGGTATCCCACTGTAGCCGGTGTACATGACAGGATGTATGATTACCTAGAAGAGCATCAGGACTGTTTTAGGCATGGATCCTGAGATTGAAGCTCAAGCCCGGTGACCAGTGAGGTTTTTCTGACATAATGTAAATTATTAAAGATCACTAATTGACTAATTGAATAAAAATGAAGTTATTTTTATTACCTACTGTGTGGAGGTTTAGAGAAATGTGTGCATGATAATCAAATCAAGTTTTTAAGGGCTACTATAGGAACTGTAAATAGAGCTGATTAACATGAACATATTTATAAACTCACATGCTTTCAAATTTGGAGATTGGGTTGGTTTAAAAACTGTAGAATAAACGTTTAAAGTACAATAAAAATATGGAACGGATTTCAGTCAGTATTAAACAAGTTTAGAGAAAAGGTTAATCTGTGGAAGGGTTTGAAAAAGGAAATGAAAATATGGTTTAGATAGTAATAGGAAAGGTAGGTTTGACATTTTTCGGGTCAGCGTTGAACTAGATTTGGCTTTTTCTTAGCCTATCTTTTATGAAATTAATATATTATATTAGTCAAATATGTATAATAAATCATTTGTTTCTCAAAGATGTGTGTATTTTTTCTGCATCATGTATCATTTTAATCTTATGGAATTTATACGTAATACGAGTGAGTGAGTGAGTGAGTGAGTGAGTGAGTGAGTGAGTGAGTGTGTGTTGTGTGTGGTTGTGGTGTGTGTGTGTGAGAGAGTGTGAGTGAGAGTGTGAATGTTGTGAGAGTGAGTGAGTGAGTGAGTGAGTGATGTGAGTGGTGTGTGTGTGTTGTGTGTGTGTGAGAGAGTGTGAGTGAGAGTGAGAATGTGTGAGAGTGAGTGAGTGAGTGAGTGAATGTGTGAGAGTGTGAGAGTGTGTGTGTGTGTGTCTATGCATGTGAGTGTGTGTGTGTGTATGTGTGAGAGTGAGTGAGTGAGTGTGAGTGAGTGTGTATGTGTATGTATGTGAGAGAGTGAGTGAGTGAGTGAGTGAGTGAATGTGTGTGTGTGTGTGTATGTGTGAGTGAGAGTGTGTGTGAGAGTGAGAGTGTATGTGTGAGTGAGTAAGTGTGTGTGAGTATATGTATGTGTGTGTGTGTGTATGTGTGTGTGTGTGTGTGTATGTATGTGTATATGTATGTGTATGTGTATATGTATGTGTATGTGTGAGTGTGTGTGTGTGTATGTGTGTGTATGTATGTGTATATGTATGTGTATGTGTATATGTATGTGTATGTGTGAGTGTGTGTGTGTGTGTGTATATGTATGTGAGTGTGTGTGTGTGTGTGTGTGTCTGACCTCGCAGCTGGAACTTGCTGGTGATGTATTCCTCTAACCGACTCCTCAGCTCAGGATCGTTCTCAAAGTCGTAGAAATGATGTTCGACCCACTGACGGAAAACGTTGAGGACCCTGCGGAGCAAACACACATTTACATTACTTTCAAACCCTACAATTGGAGAGATGTTTTTACTGATTCAAATGTTTATTTTTTAGCCATTTTTGTCGATTGACTTATCACTTAGTCGACCGACTGTTTTGTAGGATTTTCTTTTCTAATTACTTGATCAACTTTGAATGAAACATTTTGCTAAATGTACTAGAAAAATCCAAGTTTCTTTATTGTTAATGTACAACTTTAATATCTTAAAGGTCCCATGTCATGCTTTTCTGGTTATTACCCGTCCCCTTGTGTGTTATGTAGCTTTTTCTGCATGTAAACGGTCTGCAGAGTCACAAACCCTCAAAGTACACCCTGTAGCGAGTAAAACTCTAACACAGAAAAGACCTGTCTATGCTGCCCCAGAACGCCTCGTTGGACATTTCTCTTTTTCCATTGTTTACTTCTTGGGTATAGTGACGTATTTCAGGTATAGTGACGTAACGTAACGGCTCCGCAGATTGGTCCAAATTGACCAATCCGCGGAGCCATTACGTTTGGACCAATCCGCGGACTTCCTCACACACACACACACACGGCGGGACGTTGCGAGGCTCGCTGCTGCGAGGAGCGGGACACTGTGAGCCGGCTCACTGGTGTGGGGTCGGCGAGACAGCGAGACACCGTCGGAACTCAGCCTGGGCAAACACACAAACTCCCAGCCAGGCTGCGGGTGTGTGTGTGTGTTTGGGGCTGGGTTTCGCTGTGTCTCGCTGTCTCACAGACGGCCACTGGGCTCACAGGGAGGGGGGGGGCAGGAGCTCCAACAAGGCGTTTAGGACAGAGAGTGAATACACATACTATACAGAGATGCTGTATGAGAAACCAATGTGAGTTTGGAAAATTGCACAATATACATTTATTTTAGTATACCTCAACAATGGAATTATGATCAGTAGAAATGGCCATGACATGGGACCTTTAAATACAGGGTTTAAAACTGCCCTCCTGGCACTGTCATTGTTCTGACTTCTTTGCATGAAGAATCACATAAAGTTTAATCAATTACAGTAGGAAAATTTAGTAATTTTTCATGCAAGAATCTCTTTAAAATAGTGGGATGGACATGTTTTAATATCATACCTATCAATGAATCCAGTAAAATATCTGCATATTAATCGGTTACCTGGAAGCACTTTTTTTATTTATTTGTATTTATTTCAATCAACCAAGAAATCCAAATAATAAACACATTACCTGACAAAGGAATAATGTAGAAAAGAGACATTTTTCCTATAAATAAGGTCTAAATTACACTTTTCTTTTTATGGTCAGTGTGTTTTCTTTGTTAGTTCACTTCTCAAAAGTAAGGACGTTTAAAAATAGAAACAGCGGGAAGGTTTTGTCCTTTTCTCTGTGTCTGAACAGATAGTAAACTCTGAGTATCCTGGATTCAAAGTCAACAGTTTGGACCACATTCAATTGTTTATAACAAGCGACCACCCAAAGACAATCTGCTTTAAGTTTGTGTTATTCAATGTTCAAACACTTTAAGATTTGATTTATAATGTGTGTTTGTTGCCTAATGCACACACTTTAAAGATGCTACAAACCCAATGACCGTCTTCATGCCATCTAGAGAGATTTATTTTGTGTGAGCAGAAGTCGTTTACTCTTTTACCTTAAAGGATTTTATTGCAGCTGCTCTTGATACAGAGAGGTTTTTAATGGTTCTTCACTTACAGGCTATTCTTGTGTTTTACTCCTTATAAGGATATATATATATAACAGAAATACTGCGGCTCAGTGAGGACGCCAGGGCCTTAAGAGGACAGATCCTTTGTTCTAATTTAAAGGGAATGAAACCTGCGTTTTACCTACAAGTTTAGAGACTCAAACTTTAAACAAAACCTCGTCTCAATCCAACCGTAAGGGTTTAATTCAACCTGAACACAACATTTTATCTAGTGTGAAATTGTCATAATTAGCATCTGAATTCAACATATATGGCAAAACATTATTTTTGTGAGATCTCTCTGACGACAGAAATGTAACCATTGAGTCAAAGCGGACATATGCACATTTTCAAACATTCTGTCCAAGCTTTTCTCAGTACAGACGCGTGACTACGAGCGCCTGTTGTGGTACTTTAGGTACATTACAAAATTCCGTAATTCCCCATATCATCTAAAACTGTACGCATAGCAAGCACATACTCCTGTTTTGTACCACATTTAGTGCAGTTGGTGCCCTTACGACCTTTAAAACAGGGTATGCAGGAATCCTGAAGTCACATGTAAGACCTTTGAAGACCTTTTTTAAGACCCTTTCCATACATTTTAAGACCTCATCGCCACTTCGAGTTTTAACCGGTTACATTGGCGACACACTTTACCTCACATTGACTATATACAGTATTGATTGTCCTTCCTCCTTATCTTCCAACCATTTGGACGCAGACTTGCATTTCCCCATAACCATGTTGTTTAACAACCGGCGTAAACGGACCTTCGCGCGCTATCAAGCAGTGAGCGTGCGATGTCCTGTTCAGATGACGTCAAATCCAACGGGATGCCATAAATAAACTACACAGAATCACACTACACACCTACCCAATGATTACATTCAGGCAGACTGTAGAATACAACCTCTTTGGACAATTTATATACTTATTGAAAACAAGCTACAAAATGTAATACCTTGGAAAATGCCGTTTAATACTTTTTAATAGCCTTCATTTTCGCTGAATTGATTTATCAACTTTTAATACTTTTTAAGACCCCGCGGACACCCTGGGTGTTTCTCAATCTCGAGTACGCTTGCTTGGTAGCACATGTCTGCCGAGCATCTTGCTTCAGAAGCGAGGCAAGAATACTTCCTGGCATTCGGAAAACAAAGAGTGGAACAGGCTAGCAAGTGTGCAGCTTTACTCGCGATTGAGAAACACCCCCTGTACTCTCTCTCCTCTCAATCAGTGATCGGGGGCGTTACTCCCCAGCTAATCACTTCGCCTCTATTCCCACAAGCCTATCATAGTGCATTGCTAAAACCTTTTAATCTGCTCTCTCCCCTTCCTCACAGTTGTCATTTCAGGTGACTCAACGCAGCCCTCCTCCTCCTCCACCTTCCTTTCTTCCAAATCCAGGGTCAAGCTTAAACCACTCCTCTTCAGACCGACCTCCATCAATCCCTTCATGCCTTCACCACCACCAGTGTCTAGACCAGGGGTGTCCTTTTTTCACCGGTTCGGGTTTTTCCCTCCCGAATGATATTCCAGCACAACGGGGTCTAATCGCCAAAACACCATTACATGCATCTGTGTATTCCCGGCAAAAAATATATATCGTTACATCAACGTTACGTTTCTCCTGATTGATCTGTGGTACCTGAGTTGGACCGGCTGCACGTACTCCTTCCTGAACCGCTGCAGCTCGGCCGCCATCGGCTGGTCTCCGTTCCAAAGCGCTTGCCGGTCCTCCTCCGTCGGCTCTGGCTCCGGGATCTCAATCCTGAGGAGAATATTATCAGATCAATCAAGACACAGCACTGAGAGATATCGCTCTTATGGCTTCAGGAGGAATGCAGTAAACCAGATCGTGTTGTGTCTGAAGTGTACCTGTCTATGAGCAGGGTGAGCAGCTCCTGTGGTTTGCAGAAGGATCGGTACGTGGTAAGAAACGTGCGCACAAAGTTAGGGTCTACAAATGGATAGAATAGATTAGATAACAAACCAAGAGACCCTACATCACAATGCAGAAATACTATAAAAACTATAAGAAATATCTGTTTACAAACTCTCACATAACTCCATGATATTTGATACATTTTTCCAGTCACTTTTTCATGCAAAAAAATGCAGTTTTTTCATATGATATAGACATTTAAAGATACCTACCTTGGACTATAAGAAACTAGGATGGAGATTATTTAATGCAGCACTATCCCAAATGTATGCATTTCCAAAGACATCCAAACACTTACAATGCTTTCTCAGACGCCGCAGTGTAAGTCCTGTTTATCCTTAATTCGTGTAAGAGTTTGGATGTTTTGAAATGTTTTAAATAGTGCATTTTAGTCATGTGTTAGTGAAGAAGTGAGCATAGACTGGATATATTAGACATAATGCTCACACAACTCAAATCTAGACTTCTAAAATGAATCCCTTATTTCTATTCTTTAAGGTGATGTCTTAGAATGTTTTATATCATATCATATATAGGCAGAGTAAAGTCGGAAAACCCTTTATGAATTAAAGTTGCAAAAATTGTGTTTTTAAAATAAAGACTTTGGGTCTACTTTTTGATTGTCTGTCACCGTGGAGGCATGAGAGAAAAGCAACATTTTCCTCAGGCATTCAAGGCAACATGTAGGGGAGGAACTGATATACTGATGATCATAGAGTGCCACAGTGACGTGTCCTAAAACCCGGAAGTAAACTCCTTCCGGTTCCTTTGTCAAAAACGCAATGCAATTTCTCCATAGGATTTAGGAAAATAGCTGGAAATAAGGTCTGTGGTTGAGACACATTTAAGAGACGGGTCACGTTTTGTTCAGCCGGATAATCTCCACATGTCTACCCTACTTTTATAATTTTCGAATCATAAATCTAGTCGCCAGAAGCTAACGTTATGCTATAAACGACCAACAGCAGGGTCGCTGCTTCAACGTCACGCCAACTTAAGATCCATATTCAAACATACAGATTCTAAATGGTACAAGTTGAAGCGTTTGTTTGAACAGTTTGCAGGAGGCAGGTACTTGCTTTCAGCAGAACAGGGCAAACAACTTAGCGGGAGTGTTTACGTGTTCGGCGTAATGACGTAAAACGGCCTCGACAACTTCTGTAGTCCTATTCAGCCACTTGGTAACAACCATCGTTTTTCAGACACGTCAACTCTTCAGAAATCACCAGTGGGGTCACTGCTGATGGATTTAATGTCGTAGAACAAAACGTGATCCGTCTCTTCAATGTGTCTCAACCACAGACCTTATTTCCAGCTAGTTTCCAACATCCTATGGAGAAACTGCCTTGCTTTTTGTCGAAGGAACCGGAAGGAGTTTACTTCCGGGTTTCAGGACGCGTCACTGTGGCACTCTATTCTGTGGTGAATTACTCCTTAATATTGAACCCTCCAGAAGAACAATATGTACTGCAGCATCTCACCAGCATACATGTGGTAGGTGAGCCTCTCTATGAGCTTCACCACGGTGCCGGCCTTTATGATGGGGATCCCCGTTTTGCTCTGCACTTTGTCCTCAAACACAATGTTCTCCTCAGAGTCCTGCACGGCGAAGCGGTACACCTCTGGCGACGGCAGCCTCAGAGGGTGCGCCTGCTCCTCGTGCTGCAGCACCGTGTCCAACATGCGGTCCAGCGTGGATCGGTACTGCAGCGTCACTAACCCCGCCATCCACGCCGCCTTCTCCTCCGCCGTCCGAGCGCAGAACACCGCACAGTTCTCGTCCTTCCCGATGAGTTCGAAGGCGTGCCGCAGCTCCGTGGAGTCCTCGCGGTCCACGATGCGGATCTTCCTCAGCACGAACTTCTCCTTGAGGCGGTACTCGGCGCCGCTGCCGGACCCCGGGAGTCGAGAGCTCTGATTGGCCTTGCAGCTGATCATGAGGCCGTCGAACAGGAAGTTGTGTCGCTCGTGTTTGGCGCCGGCCCGCAGCAGAGGACCTTCGAGGATGAACTCGCTGCAGCACTGGCCGATGTCCTTCCCCTCCCAGCCGTCGATGCTCTTCTGGATCTCGTTCATACGTTTGATGGCGAGCTGTTTGCTGCGGACCTGCCTGCTGTACAGCCGGTACATCGGCTCACTGTGGGGGGGGGGGGGGCGGAGAGTCAGATAATGCAGGAAAATCTAACTATTAACACAGTGCTTCTCAAACCTTTTTCAGTAATGTACCCCCTTTGAAACATTTTCTCAGCCAAGTACCCCCTGACCGACCCCGAACATTTTTGATCGAAAAAGCCTATATAAATAATTACAATATAGTGATGCATGAAAGAAAATAACGTTTTTATAAAACTGATTTTTCCAAGGAGTTTTTCAACTGAAGTAATATATGTTTAACAAACTAATGAACAAAATGATATATTGTGAAAAACTATAAAATACAATACACACATTTGACATGTTTATATGAGGACCCCCTTGATGGTTCTAGGAATATTTTATTTAAGATTGTGTTTTCTATTTAACTTATTGTATTAAGATTATTTTTGTAATCATGCATGGTATTTTTTTTTTTTTTAAATCTCACGTACCCCCTGCAGTACCCCAACGTACCCCTAGGGGTCCGCGTACCCCCATTTGAGAATCACTGTATTAACACACCGAAATAATCCTAAATATGTAAATAAATAAAGGGCGGTGGAACGGGGCAGCATCTGCTTTATGTGTGATAAGTAAGGGGGATAAAACAGATCCAATACACGGCCGCTGAATGCTCCAACGACATCTTTGTAAAATAAATTAATGTAAGAATTAAGATGTCTATCTTCTAAGGTTTACGACTTCTGGAAATCCATTTATTTCATTTTTCCTCCAAAAGAAGCTGGATAGTTCCTGCACACCTGATCAGAGTTTGTGTCATTTGTGGAAGATTTGCACAAAATACTAGTTTAACAAGTTGCCAAATACATCTTTACACGCTGTAAATTACTTTTTAGTTGCGTAAGATTGCCTTCAGTCATGGTCTTGTCTTTCAAAATTAAGGACCCCGGCGTCTTCATATTTTATTCTGTCATCAGTTAAAACCATGACGGCTAACATCGGCTGCTGCTTCTATGCATGTCACCTTTTTCTTTCGATGTTTCCATGAGAGAAACTAGGGAATAAGTGTGAATATGAAATAGAGCATTTGTACCCAGGTTTGCGGCGAGGCTGGTGCTTGGTGTAGATTCGCTCAACGCTGCACTGCAGGTTCAGCAGCGCAGTGATCGCCTGCTTCAGACACTCTCTGTCGTCCTGGTCCTGACTGCGCTCCTGCAGTTGCTGCAAAAAACAAATTGTTGGGAAAATACTGAATGTCCTCTTCCAATATCAGAGTAGACATGATAACCCTACGTAGCTGTGTACATGACAGGATGTATGATTACCTAGAAGAGCATCAGGACTGTTTGAAGGCATATGATAGCTATGTGATTAACATGATGATTCAGCCTCTATGGAGATAGACATATGACAAGCATGCTCATTTCTGACGTGGAGCTAATCTGAAGTAAACATTGAATACTGCTTTATATTCCTCCATCTTGTGACTGTGTAACTCCCTCTCTTGGATATCAGCATGTGAAGGACACTGTTCAGGAACTAGTTGATGCTCTGTATGTGATGACTACTTCCATTCTGGAGAGGATCAGAAATACATGGGTCCTGAGATTGAAGCTCAAGCCGGGGACCAGTGAGATTTTTCTAACACAAATGCAGGAAAAAACACTCATCAGATGTGTGGGTATATTTGATAAATACAGAAGACTGTAGGTGTCTTTAAGAAGCACTTATGCAGATTCAAGATATCAGCGCTGCAAAATCACATTTGATGTGACAGACATTTTTCTAGAAACCCTGAAAACCAATCATTTCTAAGTTAGAAGCATGCATGGTTTCAGACGTACCTGCAGAAGCTCGAAGTAGTGCATGCAGTGGTAAACCGGGACCATCATCAGCTGAGGGAGGACGTACTGCACGGCTTCTTTGAAACCTTCTGCAACCGCCTGCACACACACAAAGGGAACTGTTAGTGATGGACTTTATTATAACTTTCAGAACATCTACGAATATGCCACCGAGTAAAATAGGATCAAAAATACCAGGTACGATGATAAAGACTTGTAAAATAACCGTAAACATCTAAAAGAAAACTTGAACTGCAACTTAACTATTAGTTCTATTATGGATTCATCCGTCAGCTATTCTTTTACTTAATTGAGTTATTTGGTCCCATGGTCCTGTAGTGTACCGCAGATTTGACTGTTCTATGTTGTTGTAAGTTTTATTCCTTAATTTGATTTTAAACCACACATTTTATGTTGATGATTGTGGTCTTCTACTATGCAACATGTTCAATTTAATCTTCCACGGACACCTCAAGTAACCTCATCTAAAAAAAGTAACAAAGAAAGTCATCCATTGCTTCACAAAGCTTAAAATGACTACGTCAAATGTCAGGGTTAGGGGTAGGGGTCTTGTCCACAGCTCAAATAAAATCAGCCAATTATTATAAATTAGTAATGAAACCAGAGAAGAAAATGCACATTTAAGAAGCAGGAATTAAATAATTTTGACATGTTATTTCTTTAAAAAAAATGACTCAACCTGCCTAATCAAATATTAAAAGTAAATATTTAAAGCTCTAAGACAGAATACTGCAAAAAAGGCTATTAAAATGTGCATGTTTCAGAGTATAACTGAGACAGGAGGAGATGCAGCACGTTGGAGGAGGAAAGGCTGCAGGGTAACCGGAGAGGAGGCCGTCATAGTATCCATTTAAATCTCCCGTTCCCCTGATAGAAGAATCAATACTCCACTACTCAGACTCCACAGCACTGTGTGTGTGTGTGTTTGAGTGAGTGTGCAGAAAGTGTGTGTGCATGGAAAAGAGAAAGACATCACATGTCTGACGCAGGCTGATGGACAGCCGGGGAACAATGACCTAAGTTTAGACGCGTTATTGATACGTCAGCATCCTGAGGGTTTACAAATTGAGACGCTTCATATCAGAAGCAATGCAACACAGGAGCGATGCAATTATGAATCTTAAAAAGGCATTTTTGTTTTACTCATGCCTCCACAGTGAAGACAATAATACAAAAATAGAGTAAAACTATAAATGAAATGAATTAAAACTATAAGAAATCTTTAAGGGGTGTCAGAAATAGTACGATTTGTGATATAGACATGAAAACGCAATGGATTTGTAATGTTGCTGCAAAAGGAACTATTACTTCCATTATCAATTCATCTGTTGATGACTTTCTACATTTATGGTTACGTTTTGAAAGTGTCAAAAACAGCCAAAGATTCAAGGTGATGTCTTTATATGTCCAAAGGTATTCACTTTAACGTGATATAATAATAATGAAATAGCCTAATGCTCTAGTACACACGTGTCCAAACTCAAGGCCCGGGGCCAAATCAGGCCCTTGGTGGATTTAATTTCGGCCCGCAGGATAATTTCTAATTACTATTAGATCTGGCCCGCCGTATATTGCACGCACACCTTCACTCCATCCTGAGGGGTCTCCTCCGCTCAGAGCCTGACCCAAACATGAAGAATTGATGAACTTGCACACCAAGATGAGATGCCAAGTATCTGGCTTGAACTAGCATCACAGAGCAGCACACTGAGTTTACATGGATGTTTCCTTCTGCACTTTTTCTCTCACGACAACAGGGCATGTTTGGTTTGTTCTTTGAGGGAAATAGTTTTTTTTAAGCTGTTGTTGGCCTGTGGAAAAATGTAATCATAAGAAATGAAGCTGCAGATAGAGCCATAAGAAATGAATGCAACTGATTATTTAATGTTTAATGTTGTTTTTATAGGCAATCATTTAAGCTTTGTTAGTTCCAGGTTTAATATGTGCAATAAGTTCATTTCAATAAGTTCTGCAATAAACATTGAACCAGTCCGGCCCTCGACTAGTACCCATTTTTTTAATTTTGGCCCACTGTGTATTTGAGTTTGACACCCCTGCTCTAGTATGTGAACAAGTGACTGAATGAGAGGCTTTTTACTGCCGAGTTGTGAGAGTTTGTGAACGGACGTTTTCATATCGTTCTGCTGTTGTTAGCTTGTGATCAGCTGGTTAGCTTAGCTTAGCACTAAGACATGATATAGCATGGCTAGTGAGAGAATAACTACAATATCTTCCAGAATTGAAGGAAACACAGGGTGAGTAACTGGTATGTAATTTATAATTGTGTAGATGTGGTATCCCTTTATTGTCGAGGTCTACTTTTACAGCTGACGTTGTGTTGGATAACGTGTAAAAACCAGTCTCCACACGTCACAGTGCTGGCAGCCTGAATACAAACAGAGCAGAGTGAATCCAGTACAACATGTTCCCTCCTCACTGAGGTACAGACGCTCCATGTGTCGGGGTCCTTCTCCGTCTTAATTCACCGATTATTTTCAACATGAAATGCTTCTTGAGACACCAGCCTTTACTCTCCTCCCTCCCTCTCCTCCCTCTCCTCCCCCACAGGAGAAAATGGCCCCGCAGTGTGTGGCAGCCTGGGCTATTTTTAAAAGGCGATGTAATTTACCCCACAATGCCAGACGCTGCAGAGTGCTGCACAGACACATCTATCTGAGGGAGGAGGGAGAGGAAGCACTGATTTAAAAAGCCACCCTAAAATGTTGATTTTCAGCTTTAAAATCAATTATCTTCTCACATTTTAACTTTAGGCTCTAATGTTTATATAAATAGTTTCTTCTTGTATTTTATGTTATATCAGGGTATATGCAGGAATCCTGAAGTCAAATGCAAGACCTTTTAAGACCTTTTTTTAAGACCCTTTCCATACATTTTAAGACCTCATCGCCACTTTGAGTTTTAACCGGTTACCTTGGCGACACACTTTCCCTCACATTGACTATATACAGTATTGATTGTTCTTCCTCCTTATCTTCCAACCATTTGGACGCAGACTTGCATTTCCCCATAACGATGTTGTTTAACAACCGGCGTAAACGGACCTTCGCGCTATCAAGCAGTGAGCGTGAGATGTCCTGTTCAGATGAAATCCAACGGGATGCCATAAATAAACTACACAGAATCACACTACACACCTACGCAATGATTACATTCAGGCAGACTGTAGAATACAACCTCTTTGGACAATTCATATACTTACTGAAAACAAGCTGCAAAATGTTAATACTTTTTAATAGTCTTCATTTTCGCTAAATTGATCGATCAACTTTTAATACTTTTTAAGACCCCGCGGACACGCTGTATATTCTTATTGCACATTTTTACTTGTTTATCAAAATATTTCTATTAATTTTGCACATTTTCACCTGCTTATGTTAATATAACATGTTTTATTTTATCTCATTATTTTTTTTGTATTTTCATTTCATTATTGCTTATTTGAATATATAAATATTTTAAATGTTATCTTCTTTTTGCATATTTTTTGTTTTTAAATACGTTGTATTATATATTCTTGACTTTTATGTTAATACAAATATTTGTATTCTTATTTCTTTCATTCTTATTTCAAATATTTACTTCACTTTGTATTTTTATGTAAATATTTATTTTTCATCAGTGTACCTTGTTTGTATGTATATTTTTAATACTTTATTTTATCATTAAAATGTCTAATTTATCATAAAATGGAGCAACTTTTCCAAACCTAATTACTGATAATACATTTTTTTTAATTAAATAAAAGTACAGAACTTGTTTTAAAAGTCCTTCTGATTTAAAGCTGTGTTCCATGTGAACGCTGGGCCTCGCTGATCGCTGGCCTGAGAAAACACCAGCACATATTTCATCTTCAAAGGCTGGCAGACTGCCCCCCCACCGAGAGAAATTCAATGCTATTCTTTTGAGGAATGTCCAAATAAAACAATGTGAATAAACTGTACACAGGACGCCAAATATGTCATGACATGCCCTCAAACGATATCTGGAGGAATTCACTTCAAAGCCAAACAGGAACAAATATCCGAGCCCTGTTTGCTGCGT